AGCATGGTCCCAGCTATGCTCAAAGTATTTTATGAACCGAGCCTGAGCCAAGCTATGGCTGAGCAGCTCATGCATGTTTGCAAAGCAATAGAGCAGTTCATGCCTGAGCTGATCCGTGTTAGAAAGCCAATCCAGAGTCGAGCTATGGCTAAGAATACGGCCCTAAGGCTGAGTCTTGGAGACAGTGGCTGGAGATGAAGCCGAGCGTGTGTGCGGTGGACCCTGCATTTTGGTTCCCGGCCCGGTCCTCACGTTGACAGATGGGGAAGGTGAACGACCACGTCCCGTCTGCCATGCACTCCCTGGTCGTGTGTCGCTCCGAGATGATGTACCTTGCGGGAGGGTTCGCGGAAAAGCAGAGCAAATAAAAAAAAGCCAATCGAGTGATTGTGGGCATCCAACCAATTTATGAACAATTAACTACTGTAGCCTGCACACCTTCAACAGAGGAATAGCACAACTGCATGAACACTCTCCTGAAGCCCTCTCGTAGTTCGAAGCATACCTCTACGTTGGCATTTAGCTCCTGAAGGTATTTTCCAGACGCAAGAAGAGAATAGTGTTATAAATGTAAATATACAGCCCTGCAATTACTTCCTCAAGCCACTGCTGGCAGAAGGAACTCCACTACAGAGAGCCATAGATATACCATCGAGAAGGTATTCCATTGAGAGGGTATATTGGAATACTTTTCTAGCCTGGCCAGACATCTTTGAAGACGAGGGATAGATAGAGAGACGCACTGCCACGTGGCAGTGCGTCTCTATCCCTCTCACGCTGCCTATCAGCAGCGTGAAGGAAAGCTGTAATGCCAGTTGAATTAAACACCGGATTCCAGAAGTCGCCTCAACGACCTTTATTACACTACCATGCATCATTACACAACACCACTTAAGCATTTTACCAACAATGATTATTATTCACGATAAGTCACATGGGAAATGTATGCTATTTGCATTTATAGTCGTTATATCGTTGTGAAATATACGCAAGCTTAACTCTGCAAATGAGACACTGTATGTTGAAACAACACGAGACACCAAGTCGAAACCGGTCCAGATTTTGCCTTTATTGAATCAATGCTGCTTTACTTATGTACTCCCAGAAGACCATGTGGTTGACGGGATACGAATTTTTTTTACGTAGAGGAACATAAATTAAGGACATTTACTGCCTGCTTATTTATCTTTAGCAATACAGCATTGCTTATCTTTTAACAGCAATCCTCCCTTCAATGCGTAACAGAGGTGTGTTCCTATATTAACCATTTCTCCATCTCTATGTATTTCCATGTCTTCCTTGCAAAAGGATATTGTGTCTCTTTGGGTTTTCACATGTGTAAACAAGGGATTCTCAACCAAGCATCGAGAAATCCCCCTCGATATTTGACCTTATTTATATTTGTGTTTCGATAAATTGTTGAAAAATGGTTAATCATCAACTCTTTATTTACATTCCTGTAAAAGTAAAAAACGATGTTCCTGTAAGTCACGTGGGTGTGCTGCAATACATCTGCATTCCTCTGCTAAAAGTAAAAAAACAACCTTATTTCTTGCAAAGTTTTGCATTTCATCGTAAATACATATTGCAGTATGAATACGTGATTTGTTTCTCCACTCCCTGATCTTTATCTTTGGCACACAATGTGGATATTAAATCAGAATCATAATATTTATACTGGAGGAGTCCGAGGAGCTACAAAGCAATTTTTTACATGTCCAGTAGTTTCACACATGTTCAATAGACATCTGTGACGGTATGGATGCATATTGTGCAGTAGGGATGCTGCTGTGGTGTAATGGTTAGCACAATTAACTTGAAATCTAGAAGTTTCCAGTGTGGCATTTGAAACAATGTACAAGTTTCTTAAATCCTCCCACTTCTATCCACCTAGCACTATATATGAGTACCACATAGTTGGTCGATCAGCAGGTCACGTATGGGTAGGTCATGTAAGATGTCTGGTCAGTGTGGAAGAATAGGCCAAAAAAAACTTCGTACAGGGGCTCCCCAGAGCTCCCACTAGTTGAGGCCCTTTGTCAGCAGTGGCGTGAGCAAGCATAAAGTAAAGGTTGCACCTTTACTTTATAAATAGGTTAATATTCCCTTTAGCCGATCTCGCCATCCACCACCAGTCGTCATTTCCTTTAGCGATACTGTATGTTCTGCCTAAACTCAAATATCTTTCTTCATCTAATTATAAAATCCACGTGTTGCCATTGCTATATCGCAGTGTAATTTCAAGCATACGCCTCACTCTACGTTTTTCGCACACGTTTCAGCTTTCGAACAAAATATGATTAGTATTGAGACTTAATAAATAATTATAGGCATGGAACCATATCACTAAGAAGACACCTCACCTGGATGAGATATTTCCTTATCTATAATTCGGGTATTTTCAGCTTTGGTTCAATTTATTGTCAATGCCGATGTTTCTGATCCATATGTCACAGTATGTGATATGGGCTGAGTAAAAACATATTTTAGGCACATTGGCATGTTGTTGACATGAAAATATCTGTTGGACAGACACAACTAAAGTGCATTTTAAGCACAAAAGTTAAATGTTGAAAATGTGAAATACAATATAAAATCTTAGGAAAATTGAAAATGATAATCACCATATTGTGAAATGCAATATCGTAAATCATCGCTATGCACGGGTTCTGGATTCATGAATTTCGCATATGTAATGACTGACCTGGAGACGTAACTTCTTGGAGGCAATTCTTTAATTAAACACCGAGCACACTTACATACTGTCTGCTGTTACACCACGCTCTGTCACTCGCTTAAACGCAACTCTATAATAGTTGCTAGCCTACAACACAATGCTAGCCGTCTGACACTGACGGCGCTGAACTAAAACAGCCAACTACTGCTAGCAGCGCAATTATCAAGTGGACGACGACAGCGACGAAGGCACGAGATGACAGTGGTGAAGGCGACAGCAATGACGACGAAGAGGGAATTCCACTCCAAATGACAGCCCCGATCCCCCGCACGGGTCCCCTTTTATCCTGTTAGCGTGGCCTCACTCCGCTTCAGCCACGCCCCCCTTCTGGAACCTACGAGCGGGCTATCAACGTCCCCCCCCCGTAACCTTTACCCTACATACCTCTCGGGTCTGTCATGTGGCCTGCTATCAATCAGGGCTGCTTCACTCTGCAGATGGGGTTTGCCTGCCAGCAGCCAACGCTATACTACGTAGTGACCAATTCTATGTCACTGCACATATTCGCAAGTTACTAAATGTATACTAATGCCTGATTCGCGACCTGCCAGACTCCAGTATTCGCGAGTGTATGTTGTGCCAGACCACTGACACTGGTGAGGTTACGTGCAGAATGTTACATTTGAAACTGTCTACGAAGACTAGGCTGTCCGCTCCCTCGGCTGCCCGCTTTGTCTTCAGTCTCACAGTAATCCCGCTTGGAGTTCGCTGTTGTGCATTTTTACTTTGACTCGCTCATACATTTTGGTATGAACGAGTTGACTATAAGGTCCATTAAAAAGACCGCAAATGCAATCATGGAAATTGTTACAGGGACTCCTATTGAAGAACGAGTTAGGTTCCAAGGTATGTCTGTAAGTCGATTTGTTCGTAAGTCCAACTTTATTATTATGTTTGATGGCTTTAAAAGGTGTAATTTCCTGTAGATGCCCCTGTTTTTTTTTATCTTCTACAGATGTGAATGCCACTTGTTCTTCATGTTCTGCAGATGTAGATGCCACTAATTCTTATGTTCTGCAGATAAAAATGCTAATTCCTGTTGGTGGTCTTGTTTCCTCTCTACTCGCTTGAAAAAATTACCAAGAGATGTCTGCACAGTTACTCTCTTCTCTTCGTAAATCAACTTACACTTCCGAGTCATGATGGGAGGTGATCATGTTCCTGAAAAGCACAGAACATCAGTGAACCACACAGTGACAACAACAGACTGGCTGCGGGCCAGGCAAAAATGCTGGGTAATGACACCGAACAACCACCGCCATATCTGTAATGACATAAATGAGCCGTTCTATGGTGATAGTGGGTTTACTATACATAAGGGCTCACTAGAGGGCAGATTCCCGATGTTACGGTGGTCGGGTCAGGACATGACAATCTGTGTGAACACCCGAGAGCACGTGACCGGACGAGGGGGCATGGGCACCTCCAGAAGGGGGTGAGCGGGCCATGTCATGTGGACCCAGAATCTCCATGAAGGATCGAGAAGGGGGCGTGACTAGGGGCGGAGCCTGGGCACACCACAGGAGATATAAGCCAAGTCCCGAGAGGGAGCGTGGCTGTTCGACCCGGGAACGAAGCCGCCTTCTTCGATTCTCGCTCTTCAGTCTCCGACGACGACCCGACAGCATGTAGGCTGTTCTGGTTCAACCATATAGAGATCCTGTTCAAGTGGTTAGGTGGTTAGGAACGGTAGCCACCAGCTTACGTAGTTAACCTGTAATGTACATAGTTACCTGGAATGTATACATAGTTAACCTTGGAACGTTGAGAAGTGTTGGTTGTGTTAGTGAAAAAACGTGTGCCTCCAAGTCTTGGTGGGTGCCTGATTAGTACCCACTACATATCGATTGCGTGGCAGTTGAACTGACGACTCTTGGTCCGAACAAGCAACTGAACATACGGACAGGTTGTTTGTATCTCTGAAAGTTCATAAGTCGAATGTTTGTAAGTAGAGGAGTCCCTGTATAGTTATACAAATGTTTGCTTTCTCGACCTTCTAAAACATAATTTGAAGTTGTATCAGTCACTAACACCCATCTGCATGTTGTAAGTGGTTGTGCTGCATCTTATTTCCCTCGTCAAAATACATTAAACAGAATCCTTTCGTGCTGTATAGTACCAGCATATAATATATATAGTACCAGCATATAATATATAATATATATAGGCTTCTCAGCCTGTTTGCGTCCTGCTTTCCTGAAGTCAGCAAATTCTTATCGCAGTTTGGAGCCAGGTCGTGACCTGTCCATAATGTTGGTTAAATACTTGAAACGGGGTTATGCTGGCTCACATACCGGGAGCTTGACACCACACGGCACGGAGAAGTCACTGGTAAGCCCTGAAAGCTCTTTGTAATACTATAAACAATCATAATAGTGTTTATAAGATATACATTACGTTATTCAGGTACAATTTTAAATTCCAAACGTGTAGCTTAGCATCCCGTTGTGTACCTTTAATAATAATGCTTTATTTTTTTACTGCAGTTCTGTCACACTACTGCCAGATGAAGTTTCCCTTATACTGTCATTCATACGGGTTTCTTTTATTATACTTCACAACGCTAGTTGGTACATATATTACTCACCACTGATGTTAGCCGTGGCAGGGGATTCATTTTGGATAACTGGGTTCATGGCGTAGCGTGCTAAACTCTGCGCCACCACAGTGTATATTTGGAAACATACACAGTACTGTCGTGTTTATTTCAAAATAAATATGAAAATGAATGTAATTGGTAAATATGTTAACATTGCAATGTTTCAAACATCGCAATGTTTCAAACATTGCAATGTTTCAAACAATGTTTCAAACATTGCACGGTAAAAATTATAATCGGCGCTTATATGGTGGACTCTTATGGTGGATTTCTATTCTTTGCGCATATCCATGCAGTTTTCTCTTAGTTTAAGAAAAAATACGGAAAATTTCAGAAATTTGGATGTCTGCCAACAAATTCATCCTAATATCCATGCCTAATACCCACGGCTACTGCTTCTGGATGAGTCCTCTTATCGGCGAATATTACCTGTATTATTGTTTTCAGCTATGATCAATCCATTGCTACTTGGTAATGCAATGTAACAATTCACCCAGCACCTGCACACGAGCTTATGTCACACTCAGCTCAATAGTTATGCTCACGATTGACATATTCGCAATATTAAAGTAGATTGATTTTCCATTCTCAAAAAGGGCAAGCTGTCGTACATTCCTACGTGAAATTTTACTTTAAAAAGTGTTTTAACTCCAAGTACAGTATATTGTTGCTGTTAATTCGGGTTTTGTTACAATATTGTGTTTCAGGCAGCCATGGGGCCTAAAAGAAAATCCAAGCTCAAGATGTGTTCTGCAAGCGGTTTGAAACTTTTGGGGATGTTCGTGTTGTTCAACATTATTCCTCAAGCAAAAGGTAGTTAATGCCAGAAATATAATCGCAACATTGGTGCGCCAAACTATTATATTTTGTTATTCAGCCAAATACTTGGTTCGCTCTCTTGCAATGCATTTAAACAGTAAAGAGATCAACACGAATGCAGTTTAAATACTATTGTTATGACATTTGTTCACCCAGGAAAATCTTACGGAGCCTCACTCTTTTGCAGGAGGATCCTGCCGAGTTTTCATAGTTGGGGGTGATGTTTCTATGTGTACTCTCCATCGAGTAAAATATAGGTGATTTTTCAGATTTGGAATGTTTGGCCTATACCATTTATATTGTGCACGTTGTTTAATCTATGAAACCAAGACCATTTTGAAAACAAATGCTAATTTTCCTTTAAATTTGATGTGTTGTATAATGACTAATTTTCTTTCAGCCGCTTGTGGAAGGCCAATTGCTGTGCAATATAGTTATTTGCACCCACAATTTGCAAGACAGACATCTTCTTGGTTCTTTCGGTAAAGTCACGTAGAATGGAAACAATTAAAAAATAATAAAATAAAACATAATTAAAGAATTCTCACGACGTTTCAGCCACAACGCAAGCAGCCGTCATCAGGTGAAGACCAGGTCTGTCGGGGAGACAGCGTCTGAATGAAACAGCACCATGCTTGGAGCGTATATTTAAGCTGGGTTGGAAGGGGGGGGGGGATGAGGCGCCTTGACAAAAGAATTTGCATATCAAGAAGAATTTAGCATATTTATGGGGAATGAAGGTATGTGATTAGTACTACTTATGCCCGTGCATTATGCAGGACTAGCAGTATCAAAGGGAGGGGATATGGGTAGCACTAATAAAGGGAAGGAGTGTTAATAGTATGTAGCTGCCGCAACTAGAAACCACCATGTAATTTAGCATATTTATGGGAAATGCAGGTATGTGATTAGTACTACTTATGCCCGTGTTAATAGTATGTAGCTGCAGCAACCAAAACGACCACGTAAACAGCTAAAGTATAAGCTACATAGTATCATCAGTATACTAAATATACTGCTGTATATTCACTATACAATTACTATACTATATATTACTTTGTACATTGTATTAAGCATATACATTTTATACTATTTATTATTATACACTGTACCATTGACCATCGTGTGAAAGACACTGAGAGGAAGCAACGAAATATGTCAATGGGAGAGTAGTGAGGAAACTTGCAGCGGAGCAAAGAATCCATTCCCTGCGGAGAATACAATGCCAGTGAGTGGAACGCGGACTGAAAGTCACCGTAAACGTGAACACAATCAGTTAAGATCCGAAATGGCTTATTACGTCCTTCCAATGATTGCTAAGCCAGAATCCATCTTCTCGGTTGAAATTGTCTCTGTGTTTGTATATGTGGATCGCCTCATGAACGAATCTCTCATGGTAGCCAGATGGCTTGCAGAGAACCTCTGTCTTGGAGAAGTCAATATCATGTGAGCCCACTGAATTGTAACAGTGATCTGCCACGGCTGAGGTGTTTGTCCTACCGTGTTTCAAGTCTGCTTTATGTTCACGGATGTGGTCCGAGACATGTCGTTTGGTTTCTCCAATGTAACTGCTACCACAGAGGCAACTTAGTTTGTAGACGCCAGGGTACTGTATGTCTGGAACCACATCTTTTACAGACGGGACCAGATCATGGATTTTATGTACTATTAACACTCCTTCCCTTTATTAGTGCTACCCCTATCCCCCCTCCCTTTGATGCTGCTAGTCCTGCATAATGCACGGGCATAAGTAGTACTAATCACATACCTGCATTTCCCATAAATATGGCCATAAATATGCTAAATTCCTCTTGATATGCAAATTCTTTTGTCAAGGCGCCCCTTCCCCCCCCCTTCCAACCCAGCTTAAATATACGCTCCAAGCATGGTGCTGTTTCATTCAGACGCTGTCTCCCCGACAGACCTGGTCTTCACCTGATGACGGCTGCTTGCGTTGTGGCCAAAACGTCGTGAGAATTATTTTATTATGTTTTTTTTTTCCATTCTACGTGACTTTACTGAAAGAACCAATAAGATGAATCCCTGCAGTCACGAAAGCTTTAAATCGAAAAAGACATACATTGTTTGAAAATGGTCAAACTGCAATTTTCTGGTGCAATACAGGTGTAGTGGGTTCCACGGAGGCAGACACTTCTTACTTGGAGGCAACACGTTTATTATACACCCCAACAGGGTAACTGCATAACTACACACACACTCGACGTGATAACGATATAGGGTGGTGACCACCATGGCAACTACTTAACCACTTGATGTGATAACTATATAATCTGACCAGGTCAGCTAACACGCGGCCTGGTCTAAGAGCGAAGCCCGAAGAGCGTAGCACGAAGAGTTGATCTCAGAGAACAGCCTCACTCGGCTCACAGGACCCCTTTCTTATCCCCCTGAGCGTGGTCTTGTTCCGCCCTCTGCCACGCCCCCTTCGGGATATTCCCAGCAGGTTCTGGGACCTCGCATCACATGTCCCCTCCGTCCCCTATGGCCCCAGTCCTTATCCTCTCCTGGTCACGTGCCCTCTCAGGTCCATGCAGCCCCCATATGCTATATGCACTCTGATGACAGAGAGAGGCTCCAAGACGCACAGCAACATTCCTCTTTCAGTGGCTAGTGCTAACACCACAGTGACTCAATATACGTCACTGCATATATACTAAGAGTGGTGTCACACAGTGGAAGGTTTTGCCATCGCCACACGTTCGTCTCCTTGGTGTTGACATTCACACAGCACAGAAGGTGTTAAGTTAAGGCAGACCCAACATTGGCAAGGCCTAGAAAATGTTCAGATACCACTTGCCACTAGTTTGCATGACCAGGAATCGATTTCAAATTGCCGAGATCATAACGATGTGTGCAAAACCACATTGCATCTCTCCCCCTATGCATATTCAAAGTTGCACAGGACTTAAGACTTTGCCTTATGTTGTTGATGAACATCATGGATCATATTGACCGCAAATCTACTCCAAAAGTGATTAATTTGCTGCATGACCCCTCCTATCCATGAACCATTCATGGATAATGGAAAGCTGTTCCGATATGCAAGATGGGAAAACCCACGGATAGTTACGAGTCAAAAAAAGAATATGGACTCTGATAAGGGGAATTTCTGCCGACCCTATGACTGCCGTGGATAATATAGGTCACGGGTGACAGGGTCACCGATAAGCGGAGTTACATAGTATGATTGGTAAATGTTGTAATGTATGTTTAAGTATGTTTGTTTTGCAGCCGTAAAATGCGACACTCCCGAAGAAGTGGAAAACGGAAGAGCTTCCTTTCCATCTGAATTGGATTATGATTCGATCGTGACATACCACTGCAACCAAGGGTTCTCTCTCATCGGGAACACAAGTAGACGATGCAATGAGAAGGGAGTTTGGAGCGACAGTGCTCCCGCTTGTAAAGGTGAGCTGTGAAGGGGCAGCCAAATGCTTAAGTTTAGTTTCATCAACACATTTGGTTTCCGAGTCTTTCCACAGGCTGGTTTCGTCTGCCAGTAGGGGTCGATGTTGTTAGGTTATTTTACCCATCTACATTTGCCCCCTGTTCATCCATAAAATCCTCAATGGCAAATCTGTGCTATACTTCACTAATTCATTTAACGCTTTGTCAAACCCAATAAACTTTTGCCTTTGTATCACAACCTTGTTTCCCCCTTAACATCGCAAAATTTCCTTCAAAACATTCTGAAGCAGATTAGTGCTGGACACAGCTGCATTTGCCAATGTAATTTGTATTTTTGATCCTGACCCATGTATCGATAGTTAAATTTTAATGAAGAACTGTGTTGTCCTGGCGTGATCTGAGACTCTTTTTGCTGTTGTTTAACTGCCTTTCCCAAGCTTTGGAATTGAAGTACTTATGCAATTTGAACTTTTTATTTTTTAATTTAAGGGCAGCCAAGGTGGTGTGATGTTTTGATCGTCGCCTGTTATGCAGGAGGTTGGGGGTTCGACCCTGACAGTGACATCTGTATATTTGGAGTTGGCATGTTCTCCTCATGGTCGCATGGATTGTGTTTCCGGGTCCTCTGGTCGCTATTCGAAAACGAGCATTGTTCATGGCGTTGAACCAATGATGGAAATTCCACATCACAATGACAGATCAGTCTCTAATTAAATCTAACTCTTCCTGTAAATGATAAGAACCCACATTGAAACAGAAAAATGTGTTTAAAGGCTGGAATCAGAAAAAAACTGCACACAATGGGAGTGCTGCTCAGGAACAGTAGGAAAGCATGTCATGCGACCACCACATTCCATATACTGTACAGTACAATGCTGTCAGACTTGTCAAGACCACCAACTCAATAGAGAGATTTCGAGTACAGCCACAAATTCAGGAGCTGCCAAACTATTTACTATTTTGAGCTGGTGGTCTAAACAATAATATGTCCACACATTCAGATCTCTTTTGAGTTGGGGTTCTTGACAATACTAAGTGAATTGAACGTGCAAAGTTTCGTGACGTTTGCCCCGCCATACTTCTCATAAACCCCACCCACTCTTCTACCCACCACACCCACTACCTGAGGTGCAGTGTTCCCATTTGCCTGCATCTATGAATTCAGCACGAGGTCAGAGAATTTAAAACCGGAACAAAGTCCAGATTTTTGCCAATTCTTTGGGAAACCAGAAATAGCCTTTCTGAAACCGAGACGTTTTGTAGATTTACACGGAGGTGGTGAGCAAGGAGCACTTTGAGGCCACGTGGGCTGTAGAAGCCTCGCTGTGCAGATGCAGGTGTCATGGGATAATTGACTGAGATGACTAGCAGATGTGCTTCCCAGTCTACCAACAAATGTAGCACACACACACACAAGCACATAACATAAATACTATAAATAATACAGCATTACCTCCGATTAGCACGGTAGGCTACGAACAGTGGAAAAGAAGTTCAACGTACAAACATATGTAATAGTTCGTAAGAGGCGCACACACTCTCGTAGGGAGGCAACACTATGTATTAACATAACTAATTACACTCCACATAGGGTGGTGACGACCGACATAACCTCGCTAACACTCGACACTTGGGTAACAATTGGCGTGGCTAAGCCAGGAGGGCTACTGCTTGGCCACGCTGACTTGAGGCCTCCCTTCACTCTTCATGAGGTGTTTTCATCCCGGAACCAAGCAGCCCCGCACCAGGTGCACGGCCCTCTTATATGCGCCTCGGCGTGGCCAAGCCACACCCAGGCCATGCCCACCTTCTCGAACCCTCGAGAAGGCTCTGCTCCTGGCCACGTCTAAGTTAGTCATCACTTTTTTGGCACTGTGAAACTTTCATGACTTGTATGAGAAGTAAAGGCCTACCGAAATTTGGTTTCAGTTTCGGTTTCAGCGCCGAAAGTTCGCAAATGGCCTCTTTCGGCATACTTTCGGTTTCGGCCGAAAGTAAATTTTTAACTTTCGGTCTGGTTTCGGTTTCGGCCGAAACTGAACTTGACTATCGTTCGTCATTCGTCAACTGAAGATCTATTTTTAGAATATAATGCTAGTGCTATGTCTTTCACTCTGCCTATCGGCCGGTCAGTCGGCGCTCGGCAATCCTGCAAACACACGCACACACGTCAGCAGCTTGGGAGCTCGGTTACAGCCGCAACTAGAGGCCGACTGAAATTCGGTTTCGGTTTCGGCGCCAAAAGTTAACTTTCGGTTTACTTTCGGTTTCGGCTAAAAGTAAATGTTTTACTTTTGGTTTACTTTCGGTTTCGGCCGAAACCAGAAATTCAGTTTCGGTCGACCTCTAATGAGAAGTTGTGGTTGTGCGCTCAGATGTCACTTGGTGGACTGATTGTGCTTGCTGGTGTGGGGATCTAAGAGACAGACCGTTGTGCGATACACAATTTTCAATACCTCAGTTATGAAACTTTTTATGTATACCTTTTGTTTATGTACTATTTCTTAATTTGTTCATCAGTTAATATTTTCTGAGGGTTTTCTTTTATTTAATAATTGTTATAAAGATGAGTTCGCCTTTAATGTGGGTATAGATATAATTATTGTACTGCGTTGTGAGATGCAATTAGCATGAATGATGATCTATGAAATGAAATTATTATTACTAGGAATACTTCGCAGGACCCTCCTGAATAAATCTTGAGACTGTCAGGCTTTCCTAGGGTAAAAAAGTGAACAAAAAATGTTGCATATAATCTGCAAACCTGAAAAATATGTTTTTGGTACCCACATAATCACACATAATTGTACATATTGACAATTGTTTGCTTGTGCTATTTTCTTGCCGAACAGCTGTTTGCAAAGAAAAAACAATACAAAATGCAAATTCTAACGATGGATACGAAAGAGAATTCTTCGTCCTGGGTAACCAGTTGCAGTTTACTTGCAAAACAGGTTTTGCAGATAGAAAACTAGCTATGTTATCCACTACATGCACACTATATGAAAACAAAGCTGACTGGTTCCCGTTGTTGAACATCTTTAAGTGTGAGGGTAAGTATTTTTTTACTTTTTAATTTATAAATCGTAACTTTTGTCTTGCTTTAATAACGAAACGGTTAATGTGTGAGTATATATGCAAGTGCTATGTGTATGTATATATCTTATGTATGTAAGATATGTGTGTGAAGGACGTAAAATACGGGACATTAGTAATTATATAAATTAGTCATTACCCACTGGCTGATTGCTGTTCTAGGACGCTCCTGATTGTGGATTCACGTGTGAGCCATCAGTTGCGCAACCAAAGTGTCACAAAATCACGAAACTTTATTTCCTGTTTGTATGCGGACACCCCTTGTTGGAACAGCCACACCGATATTACTTGAAGAATGCACCAAAATACACATTAAAACTAAATTACCAACTCTATTGAAAATATTCCTGTTCTACAGGTTGGGTCCTCATTCTAGGGCAGAGCTGTCTGACAAATACGAGGTGTTTTCTAAACGGTTCTGTACTCGTTTTATGAATGTGTTTGTTGGCAGAGCTATGTCCACTTTTTCCTACGAACAATTATCAAGATACAAGAATCGAATATGTGCTGGGATTTCCTACTGGGAAAAGGTTCTTCCTCAACGATTACGTGGAGTTTAAATGTGCCGAGGGATATAGAGATATCTCAAAAATAGACTCTGATGCCTTTAAAGTGCATTGTTTACCAACTAGTTATTGGGATCCATCTCCAGTATGGAAACAAAAAACATTTTCATGCCGACGTAAGTACAGTACATGCATTTGACCTGGATTTATGTATTCAAAATCATGGTTTATAATGTCTTTGTGAGAACGTTTGATACTGTAAACAATAAAATCAAATGTGATCATATGCACCGTTGCAATATAACCATCCAAAATGTCCTACCCTCATTAAACAGTTAAAGTATTTTACATGAATTGCAATTGTACAATACCTGGGCTGACAACAAACATCAGTGAAGGATGGGAAAATAACCCTCATGACCTCTACAGGCAATAAAAAGGCCCTCATCCAGCAGTAGGTTGACAAAATTGCTATACCTTTTGAAGACACTTATTTAATTAGGCACTTGGATATATTCTGCAATGTCTACCCTAGCGCTCCAGACAGTGTCTCACAACAGCTGTAAATAACCAGTTTTTACGACCCGTGTGTGTTTTTTAATGTGATTCAAAGCAGTACAAACCATATCGATAGTTAAACTAACTATTATTTGTTTTCTGCCAGGATACTGTGGACACCCAGGTACGCCTGGCCATGGACAGACGATCGGAAGTAGTTACATTGAGGGAGCAACTTTGACGTTTAAATGTGATCTTGGGTAAGTTTTACATGAGGAATAGTTTGTTTGTTCGTTTCTCAATCCGCCTGTCATGGTGAGGGTTGCGGCGGCAGCATGTTGAGTAGGGCGGTGCAGACCTCCCTTCACCCTGGCAACAGACTCCAGCTTTTCCTGTGGAATTCCCAGGTGTTTCCTGTCCAGCCAAGCGACATTCCCGCCAGCGTGTCCTGGGCCTTGGCCCGGGGTCGTCGCCGAGTGGGACGTGCCCAGTAGAGTTTCAGGGGGAGTCTATTGGGGGGCATCCTTACAAGGTGCCCGAACCACCTCAACTGGCTCCTCTAGATCCGGAGGAGCAGCGGCTCAACTCTGAGGCTCTCCCGGATTACAGAGCTCCACACCCAATAACGGAGAGTGAGCCCGGCAACCCTGCAAAGAAACCTCATTTCGACCCCTTGTACCCGAGATCTCATCCTTTCAGTCAGTACCCAAAGCTCATGACCATAGGTGAGGGTGGAAATGTAGATCAACCTGTAAACTGAGAGCTTTGTTCGAGAACTCAGCTCCCTCTTCCCTAACACGGAACAGTACAGCGGCCGCCTCACTGGAGATGCCGCACCAACCGGCAGACCGATCTCCCACAACCAATTACCATCACTCTCGAAAGAGACCCCGAGGTAATTAGCTCCTCCACTAAGGGCAGCTGTTCCCCCCTTTCCTGGAGAGAATACTCTGGGAGTGAACCATCTCCTGGGAGTGAACTATGACCTCAGATTTGGAGGTGCTGATCCTCATCCCAGCCGGTTCACACTCAGCATCAAACTGTCCAAGTGCACGCTGGACATCACAGACTGACGAGGCAAAGAGGACAATGTCATCTGCAAAGAGCAGCAATGCCACCTCCGTGCCCCCATACTGGATACTCTCCATACCTTGGCTGTCCCTTGATATCCTATTCATGGGGACAAGACGCACCCTTGGCGGAGTCCAACATCCAGAGTGAACGACTTTGATTTAACACCAAGAATACGGGCACACCTCTCACTCAGGGAATAGAGGGACCAGATTGCACACAAGCGGCACCGGTACATCATACTCCCGCAGCACCTCCCAAAAGACATTCCAGAGAACACGGTCATATGCCTTCCCCAAGTATACAAAGCAGAGGTTGACTGGAGAAGCATACTCCTATGACTCCTCAAAATCTGTGTGAGCGAAAAGAGCTGGTTTATTGTTCCACCACCCTGAAGGAATCTGCATTGTTCCTCCTAAATCTGAGGCTCGACTGGGCGCAGCCTCTCCAGTACTCTGGCATAGCCTTTACCTAGGACTCTGAGGAGTGTGATATGTAGTTGGAGCACACCCTCTGGTCCCTTTTCTTTAAAATGCGGACCAGTTTCCCAATCCAGAGTTATTGTACCCGCCTTCCATGCAACATTGAAAAAGCGCGTTAACCATGACACTCCTACACTCTCCAGCCCTTTCAACAACTCTGGGCGAATATCTTCCACCCCAGCAGCTTTGCCGCTATAAAGGGCCTCGACAGCCACAGCGACTTACGCAGCCTTGATGGATCCAACCCCCAAGCTGTTTCCAGGGCTGCCTTTTGAGAGAAGTGCATGTCTACAGGGTTGAGGAGCTCCTCAAAGTGTTCCTTCCACCTCTCGACTATCACCTTAGTTGAGTTCCATGTTATGCCACCCTTACTGAGAACAGCCTGGCCACGTCCTGTCAACCACTCCTAAGGCATCCGATGGTTTGCCAGAAGATCTTTGAGGTTGCTCGGTAGTCCCTCTCCAAGCTCCTTCCATGCCAGGGCATTCGTTCAGTGATAGCTACCGCTGCCGCCCTCTTGGCAAGCTGGTACCTCTCAATCGAGTCGGGAGACCTTTTCCGAGCATATCTCGGAAAGCCTCCTTCAACTTGACAGCTTCCCTCACCACTTGTGCCCACCAGTGGGTCCTAGGGTTTCTGGCAGGACAGGCACTAATTTCCTTTAGGCCACAACTTTTCACAGCTTCATCCACAATCGAGGTCCTGAACATCGTCCATTCCCATGACCTCTCCTGGAGTGTAGGATAAATTTTCCCGGAGGTAGAAGTTCAAATCTTTCTGCACTGGGTCTTCTGCCAGACGTTCCCAAAAACCCACGCTATTCGTTTGGGCCTTCCACGTCTCTCTGGTCTGTGCCCCAAGCGTCGGATCCAAGTTACCACCAGATGTTGATCAGTTGACAGTTTTGTGCCTCTTCACCTGAGTGTCCAGAACATACGGCCTTAGGTCCAATGGTACAACTGTAAAGTCAATAATTGATCTTTGGCACAAGTTGCTGTGGTACCATGTTAATGTATCAGCATCCTTGTGTTTGAATATGGTGTTTGTTATTGACACTCCATGACTAGCACAGAATTCTAATAACATCTCACCATTTTGATTCAGATCGGGGGGGGGGGCATTCTTCCCAACCATGCCTCTCCAGGCATCTCCATTGTTTCCCATTTGAGCATTGAAGTCAGCCAGTAAGACTATGGAGTTGGTAGGCGGCACTCTATCGAGCACTGCACCCACCATCTCCAAGAAGGGCAAATACTCTGAACTGCTGTTTGGTGCATAAGCACAGACAACAGTCGGAGTTGTCCTTTCTGAGACACGAAGTCTCATTGAGTCGACCCTCTCATCCACTGGAACAAACTCCAACTGAACAGCACTCAGCTGGGCACTTGTAAGTGTCCCACATCCACCTGGGGCTTCTCACTAGGGGTTACTCCGGAATAGGATAGAGACCACCCCCGATTGATAAGTTTGGTTCCAGTTCCAATGCTGTGTGTGGACGTGAGACCGACTATATCTTGTTGATACCTTTACACCTCCACCTGCTCCGGCTCCTCCCCCCCCCCCCCCCCCCCCCCCCAGTGACGTGACATTCTACGTCTCAATAAGTAGTGTCCATTGCCAACGTCCAGTTTGTCCGAGACCATCCCTCTCCCTGCCATACTGGCATCGTACCCGCTCCTCACCCATTGTCCTGTGGATGGTGGGCCCAAAGGATGGCCACACAGCCATTTAGGGCTGGGCCTGAGTGGGTTATGTGGGTCACCCGGCCACAAGGCGCTTGCCGGTGAACACCACCCCTGGGCCTGGCTCCAGGGGGGTGTGCCAGTATACCTTGACGAGCGAGGTTCTCTGATTTTTATATTTCAGAACTATTCATGAGGGGCTTTTGTTTGGACTGGCATTTGTCTGGAACCTTCCCCCAGAGCTGTTCGCCAAGGGAGACCCTACGAAGAGTACAAGACTCCACGCGACATAGCTCTGAGGGTTATTGGAACATACAAATCCCACCACCATGATAAGGTTACGGTCCTTTGGTGGGGATAAGGAATAGTTTACACAAGAATGTACATATTATACTAATGGAAAATTGTATTTTTGCATTGCATTAATTTTAATAAGCAATAACTGTTGGTCTTTTTGAAAAGCAATTCTCCACTCGTCTAGGTAGTATTTGCCTTGGAAACCTTATATCCTTGTAGTAGGTTCTATGGAGGCACACACTTGACTTTGGAGGCAACACATTTATTATAACACCCCAACAGGGTTTCTACATAAATTTACACCGTTACTAGACCCCAACAGTGTAACTACATAAACGGGTCAGGTCAGCAACACACTGCCTGACCCACGAAGCCGAGCATAATGACCGAAGACCGAAGAGACACAGCACCGAGGGTTCCATTCCAGCAGACAGCCGCGATTGCTCTCAGGACTTCCCTTTTATGCTCCTGAGAGTGGCCTCGCTCCATCCTCGGCCACGCTCGCTTTTGGATCCCACCAGAAGGTTCTCGACCGAGCATCACGTGTCCCTTACGCCACCCTCTGGGCCCCCTCGCTACCTTGTCCCGGTCACGTGCCCTCTCGGGTTCACCCAGGCTGTCACGTCCTCACTTTCCCTCCTTCTGACCGTCACCAGAACTATGCACCCTAGGGCCCGATCCCATGCCATTCCTACTCTGGTGCCAGAGAAAGGCTCAAGACGCACAATTCCACTATTGTGACAGTAGCTGGCGCAAAACGCCATAGTGACTCCATTTACGTCACTATATCTTGACCAAAACTTTTATTTGATGCTTAAACATGCCATTCATTCAGCGGGTTTGCCATAATCTCTGGTGATGTGGAAGAAACAGTCTGCAGCTTAGACTTAGGCCTGTATTCTTAGTCACGCCCCAGCTCAATCTTGGCTGTGGCTCAAGTGGGCCATCACAAAGCAATTATTAAAAAAGACTTATAAAACTATAAACTATTTTTTTTATATTACCAGGTAAGGCCCACTGAGCTATAAAGCTATTTTTCAGAAGCAACCTGGCCACAAATGATAGCCCAATTAAGTGACTCGTGTGGAAATTGATAGCAGCTAAATATGTGATTCTAAATGTGGAGAGGAAAACCGGAGGACCTGGAAAAAAATCCTCATGACCATGGGGAGAACATGCAAACTCCAAAAATACAGGCGTCAGGATAGAACCCACAACCTCCTGTATACCAGGTGAGGTGGTTAACATCTCACCAACTTGAGACAGCCCTAAGCATCAACTTCGCCATGCTCAGAATTTCAATGTGCTCGGCCTGAGCCAAGCTATAGCTGAGCCACTCATGTGTTTTTGAAAGAAAGAGCGCCTTACGCCTGAATTGAGCCCAAGTATTCAAGGATAAACCAGAGCTGAGAAATGACTTAGAATAAGGGCCTCAAAAGGGTGGGCAATTAATGCTCTGCCCAAACATAGCCTTTGCGTAGCAGTAGGTGCATCTGTGGTTACTACACTTGGTCAATCCTTGTAGTGATGACAAAAGGAAGAGTAAAGGATTATGAAAATACTGCATGGGAAAATGTCAGCACGGAATTGGTACACACACAGCTGCAGTGTGTGGAAACCAGAAAGAAAATGTAGTTTCTATAGGCCGCTAGTCAAATTATATAGAGTTGCGTTGACTGTGAGCTTCCAACCATTGAACCCAGTGCGTCACAGTTAAAAGTCGGTCAACATCTCCCTGCTCTTACAAGCATTCGAGTGATGCGCATATTCATTGGTTTCCCTGATCCATAATTATTTTTTATACTGTATCCCCCATGCAATACATGTTGAGGTAACAGAGCAAATGGGTATTTGAGATTATTACTCAGCAAGGAAGTAATTGCAAACCAAATACTGAACAATGGTTCAAACAATACAGCAGAGACACTATTCATAGCATACAAGAAAACTAAATAGAAATGTTAAACATACATGCGTCTTCTCCATTGGAGTTATTATATGCTATCTGAAAATATGTTTAATCATTCATAAATTGACAAGTGGGTGCATTAATCCTATTACCGCATAAGCTGTTCAGCACTTTTCATCCTAACGCTGTTAAACAACAAACCCAACAGTGGAAATTTCACATTCCCAAGGTGGGCACAAGTTTATTCATAGGATTCCCACTGTTGACTTCCTGTGCATTACTGGCAACAGGGGTTGAGGATAAATGGGTAATTGACCACGATGTAAACTCAAAACCTTTCAATTTTGTCCACCATTGCAATCACAGTGCCACCTCACAACGCAATACATTAGTGACTTTCATATTATTTTATTTCTTTACATTCATGATTACAGGTTTCACATCAATGGAGAACGACAAGTGAATACTCGATGCCTGAACAATGGGACGTGGTCAGTCCCAAGAGTAGATTGTCAAGGTAATCACTGACGTTAAAATAATTGTAACAGTGGGAGCAGTTCTGTTGGTCGGGGTTTACCATCAGATTGGGTCATAATTGTAAAATGATGGATCTGCAATCCACACAATTTGAAGGATTGCGAAATTAGCATAAGATGTCAACAGTCAAATTTGATTAGAATACAAAATCAGATTGTAACAATATTGCTGCATCAAGGTATGTCCATCCATATTAATTGAGGGTTAAAACCCTCTTCTTGGTTCTTTCGGTAAAGTCACGTAGAAGGGAAGTAATAAAATAATAAAAATAAAACATACTAAAACAATTCTCACGACGTTTCGGCCACAACGCAAGCAGCCGTCCTCAGGCGAAGAATGAAGCATCACCAAGCTTGGAGCGTATATTTAAGCTGGGTTAGAGGGGGGGAGGTGGGAAGAAGAGCGCCTAAACAAAATAATTTGCATATCAAGAGGAATTCAGCATATGGAAAATGCGTAGGAGGTGGGCGGGGGGGGGGTTCCAAATCAATACTATGCCCGTGCATTATGCAGGATTAGCAGCATCAAAGGGGGGGGGGGGGGGGAGGGGGTAGCATTAACAAAGGAAAGGAATGTTAATAGTATGTAGCTGCAGTTACTAAACAACCACGTAAAAAACTAAAGTATAAACTGCATAACAAACTAAAGTATAAACTACATAGCATCATCAGTATACTTACTATACTCTACAATAAGTTGAGTTACTAACAGTAAGTAATACATAAAAAAATTTCTACGTTGTAAAAAATTATATAATATGCTTCCATCTAAACTTTATTCTCTTACATCACACGCGTCTATACCGTACTATATACTGCCATAGGCAAACCCAACATTAAATTACATACTGTATTGCTATAAACCACCCTATACCTTATACATTTTAATATTTTAATATAACACTATGTATTATTAGCAATACAGTATGTAATTTAATGTTGGGTTTGCCTATGGCAGTATATAGTACGGTATAGACGCGTGTGATGTAAGAGAATAAAGTTTAGATGGAAGCATATTATATAATTTTTTACAACGTAAATTTTTTATGTATTACTTACTGTTAGTAACTCAACTTATTGTAGAGTATAGTAAGTATACTGATGATGCTATGTAGTTTATACTTTAGTTTGTTATGCAGTTTATACTTTAGTTTTTTACGTGGTTGTTTAGTAACTGCAGCTACATACTATTAACATTCCTTTCCTTTGTTAATTCTACCCCCTCCCCCCCCCCCCCTTTGATGCTGCTAATCCTGCATAATGCACGGGCATAGTATTGATTTGGAACCCCCCCCCCCGCCCACCTCCTACGCATTTTCCATATGCTGAATTCCTCTTGATATGCAAATTATTTTGTTTAGGCGCTCTTCTTCCCACCTCCCCCCCTCTAACCCAGATTAAATATACGCTCCAAGCTTGGTGGTGCTTCATTCTTCGCCTGAGGACGGCTGCTTGCGTTGTGGCCGAAACGTCGTGAGAATTGTTTTATTATGTTTTATTTTTATTATTTTATTACTTCCCTTCTACGTGACTTTACCGAAAGAACTAAGAAGATGAATCCCTGCAGTCACGAAAGCTTTAAATCGAAGGTTAAAACCCTGTTAAATAATGCAATTGTTGAGTTAAATATGAAATATTATTTCATCACACCAAATATTTAAAACAAATATCTAAGTGTTAACGTTTAAAACACATTGTCATTTAATAATAGTGAAAGTTCGTATTTTATGCAGTATAGAAGAGCGAATTGTATAGAGGGATTCCTCACTAACTTAATGTTTTTACACTAAAACATAATTTAAACATGACTAGGTGACTGCCCGTTGCTCTTAAATTCTTTGCCACAATTATGGATAAAAAACAATGAGAAATCAATACTTTTTATCAAAAATGTATCGTTGCATTTGCTCTGCTTATTACTTGTGTCATCTTTACATTCGCCTTAATCCTTCCTTTAGACATCATTTGTGTAGATCACAAGTACTACAATTTATCCTCTCATACTCGGTCCAATGTTTGTATAATCTGATGGCCAATTCCAGTTCATAGTTACAAGCTTGTAACTTAAAATAACATCTAAACCGTACTGGGTTGAATACATTTCTTGACATCCTGGATCGGATAGAATTAGCTCAATTGGATTATTGATATGATCCCGGCTATGTGAGCAATAAAAACAGGTGACGTAAGTGAATGAGTGGTAAAGTTAGAACCCCCCCCCCCCACACTTTTCCCCCTCTCCCCTCTCCCCCCACTTATTCCTCCTGCTCCCTCTACTCCCTACTTAACCCTCTCCCATTCCAATGACGTACCTATACATCATCGTGTACGTCATCGGAATAGAATTGGAAGTAAAAGGTCGTGCAGAAGGGGGTGTGGCACAGTTTGGCACCAGCTATTGTAGAATACGGACGTGTGGCTACAATGGTCTGCGGAGAGTACAATTTCTTTAAAAACAGCGGTGCTACCCCTCTAACTAAAGTTTACATTAACCACTTGTGTGTTCTGGGATTCAGTGGTGAATAGGACCCACCCTGCAACTAGCAGGTATCTCTAAATAGGATAAGGTTAACTTCTTCTTCCCTCGCCTTCCTCAGTCCCACATAAAAGTACACATACCCAGCTCGCGGTCTCCACTCGGTGGGGCAGCGAGCCCAATCTCCCGCCTCTAAACTCAGGAGCACAGCGTTTGGACTTCTGTCTGCGGAGTTCTGTACTCCACCACCCCCTCCCTTCACGTCGTGGTTTGTGCTCTGTACCAGACCCTTACTGAAATATATAAACGTGAAGTAGAAAATATTCTCCTCCAGTACCTGATTAGCATGGATAATATGCTCGCAGTGATGCATCAATTTTGTGGGACGTTTAAAAGTGCTAGGTCTTTATTTGGCCACTTGCCATATGCAATAAAGTAATGAGCTGCATCTGGCCCCTGGGCTGTAGTTCCCTTTCATTAGTTTAAGGTATGCTTGGGTAAGATCACACTATGCCACAATAAAATATATTGCAAATGCAGGGCTGCAGGAAAGTGACTGAAAAGGCCCAATTTAAAGAGACCACTTGGATGGGAAACAATCGCTTTCTCACTCTTCTACCCATTACATGTTTTCGTGTTACCTTGAACACAACCAATATCGTCATCTAGGCAAAATGGACATCGTTAATATGATCAGTTAAAGACAAACGGCAAGAAAAACCCTTTTAAAGGCCAGAAACCAATACTAATTTGGCATTTAGTTCCTGAACATTGCCAAGGGGCGACATGTCCCCTTCGGAACTGGATTGGCTTGGTGAGGCTGCTGTGGGAATCCAGGTTAAGTCCAGCTTGCCAGTTTGGTAACCGGACTGACTCACTTCATAGCGATCATGGATAGAGGCATAAGAGACATGAAGAGACAGTCAGATAGAGGAAGAACACTCAAGGAATGGCCTTATAAAAGAGACACGTAGACAAAAGCATGGAGAAAAAAATGTATTATTCTATTGTGTGGTCATGTCGGCATTAAATGCCATCAATTTTATGACGGTATAGACAAAGTTTAAAAACTGTTGAAAGCCATAATCTTTCTGCTTTATTTACAGAGGTCAATTGTGGACGGCCAGAAATTACCAATGGTATATGCAGTGGTCAATACCCTTCTCATTTTGCTTATGGTAAAAGCGTCTCATGCCAATGCAATACTGGGTGAGTTGTTTTCTTATTATAACATTCGCTGCAATGTATGTCCATGAAGCCCAGATGGTGGAAAAATACTTACTTTACATACGCCTTCATGCCATCCATCCAGACCATCTTGTGGATTTAAACTTTTATTGCAACGTGGTTATGAGACCTGAGGAGTTAATCCATTGATATTTCAAGATTAATCATTATCATTCTGTGAGGCTGGTGAGCAGAATGGCAATAAGCACACAAATTGAAGCTGCACATCAAGTTAAAGTCTTTCCCTGCTGTCTGCATCAACATGCAATGGATTGGCGCGGTTTCAGTGATGGTATATGGTCATAAATCTCATATTTGAGGAATGCCTCTCCTTAAGGGTGTCACGGTGGCGAGATGTTATCTTTTTCGCCAGGTATGCATGAGGTAGCGGCTTTGATCTGGACCCTGATGCCTGTATATTTGGAATTTGCATTTTCTCCCCATAATGGTATGGATTTTTCTCCGGGTTGTCAAGTTTTTCCCTTTACATTTAGAAACATGTGTTTAAATTATTTGGCTGCTATAAATTTCCACATAATACGCCACTTCGTTGAGTTCATTTGTCGCTAGGTGGCTTTTGAAAAAAAGGAAAAAATAGTTTAGTTTAAGTCTTTCCGTGAAGTGGTATTCAATTAATCGACCCCGAAAGAAAATTGTGCCAGGTTAACCCTCAAAGTAAGATTTGAACTCGCAACCGTTTTATTGTGATTATGCTTATGTCCAGTCTAAAAGCACTGCCCATGCGTGTGTATTCTGTGAATTACGCCATCCGCAATCCGAAGCCATATTTTCGCACTTTTTGGCTTTTATTAAACTATTTGGTCAAAGTCCATATTTCTAATTCATATGTCGTGACAGATAATATTCACTGATAGAAAGCTAATTTGGACCAATTGGTATTTTGATATTCATATTCTTACCATAATAATAAAAAGTGGGCCATTCCTGGCCCTTCCCCCCCCCTCAACCACTATATATACGGAGTGGTATCTCCTGTAATCTCTCATTTACTTGATACAGCTGTCGGGCTGTGACGGTTCCACCTGAAGACGGAAGCTTGTGTTGCCTCCGAAACGTCGTGATTTTTATTTAATTTTACTTTTATTAATTTTAATTTTGTACCTACGTGACATTACCGAAAAAACCTAAGAATATGAATCCTTGCAGTCACGAAAGCTTTAAATCTAGAATGGTATTTAGCTTTTTCATTATAAAATATAGCCCTCTTCAGCTATAGGTTATCTGCTGGTTCCATCAACCAACCCCATCTTCCAACCTCAAACATGTGTTTCTGTAGCTTATCTATCTTAACCTGAGTTTCCTGCTTGGCCCCATCATGTGACTGTCCTCACAAGATGATATAACTGCCAGTCCCTAATACATAATTCCCCATTCAGGATCCAGCTCTGTGTTTAAATATTTCAACAAATCTTGTTTTAACAATGTTTTAACTTTCCTTTTGTTAATGCTGTGAAATGATACACTATATGTAAGTTATTACATTGTTTTTCTGACTTTTTTTCTTACAAAGGTATGAATTAACGACCTCCAATAATGCTATTCGTTGCCAAGAAAACGGACGTTGGACTTATTTACATTGCAAAGGTAAATAGTTGCAGCTATGTAGAATAAAGTCGCGTAATCGCCTCAGACTGAGTTTGTATAGAGGTGATGGTGCATTTCCAACAGCTGCCCAGTTGTGTTTGTTGGGACTTAATCAAGTTCAGCATTTTCTGTGAAATAGACTTGTTGGACACTAAAATAATTGGCAAATATAAACCACAACGCTTCAGTCCGAGCCCAAATCTCGATGAGGAAATGTCACTGGCAAGTACTCATGCACCTGAAAATTTACCAGGTGAGAACACTGAGGCAGCAGATATCTCTTACAAGGGTGACTTCAACAAATAACAAAACCAAAGGAAGATATGCAAACAAGGGGGGGGTTTGTGAATTCCAGAGACTGGCTGAGAATGAAGAACAAAAACTATCCGACCTCCAGTTTTTTTTATGTTTTATTGAGGTACGCACATACGTCTGGTACAACGTTTTCGGGGTTTCTGGAAAGGGGGACAGAAAAACTGCGAGGGGAAGGAGAGACTTTGCCTTATGTTGCTGATCAACATCATTGATCCTTTTGAACGCAAATCTACTCCAAAATTGATTAATTTTCTGAATGACCCCTCCTATCCATGAAACATTCATGGATAATGGTAAGTTGTTCCGCAGTGCAGGATGGGAAAAACGACGGATAGTTAAGATTCAAAAGAAGAATAGGGCCTCGGATAAGGGGAGTTTCTGCCGACCCTATGGCTGCCGATAGAGGTCACGGATGACAGGGTCACCGATAAGCGGAGTTACGTAGTACGATTGGAAAATGTTGTAATGAATATTTATGTATGTTTGTTTTGCAGCCGTAAAATGCGACACTCCCGAAGAAGTGGAAAACGGAAGAGTTTCCTTTCCATCTGAATTGGATTATGATTCGATTGTGACATACCACTGCAACCAAGGGTTCTCTCTCATCGGGAACACAATTAGACGATGCAATGAGAAGGGGGTCTGGAGCGACAGTGCTCCTGCTTGTAAAGGTGAGCTGTGGAGGGGCAGCCAAATGCTTAAGTTTAGTTTCATCAACACATTTGGTTTCCGAGTCTTTCTACAGGCTGGTATCATCTGCCAGTAGGGGTCGATGTTGTTAGGTTATTTTACCCATCTACATTTGCCCCCTGTTCATCCATAAAATCCTCAATGGCAAATCTGTGCTATACTTCACTAATTCATTTAACGCTTTGTCAAACCCAATAAACTTTGCCTTTGTATCACAACCTTGTTTCCCCCTTAACATCGTAAATATTCCTTCAAAACATTCTGAAGCAGATTAGTGCTGGACACAGCTGCATTTGCAAATGTAATTTGTATTTTTGATCCTGACCCATGTATCGATAGTTAAATTTTAATGTACAATTTTATTGAAGATCTGTGTTGTTCTGCCGTGATCTGGGACTCTTTTTGCTGTTGTTTCACTGCCTTTTCCAAGCTTGGGAATTGGAGTACTTATGCAATTTGAATTTTCTTCTTTATTTAAGGGATGCCATCAGTGTTGTGTTATTTTCCTCGCCTGGTATGCAGGAGGTTTGGGGTTTGAATCTGACAGTGTGACATCTGTATACTTGGAGTTTACATGTTCTCCTCGTGGTCGCATGGATTGTGTTGCTGGGTCCTCCGGTTTCCCTCCACATTTATAAACATGCGTTTAGATTATTTAGCCAGATGTTTGGAAAAACAAATCATCAGAGTCAGATTTGGCACGGTACATAAAATACAGACATTAATATCTGGGTGTTGACTGTTATGTTAGACGACTATCTGTGTTGTATTGCATTATATTTCTAAGTTTACTAGGTTTGTTTTCTCTTTCATTTGTACCTAATGATGATTGCTTGTGTTGCAATCGAAATGTTGTATGCTATTATTTAATTTATTATTTTCTCTTTCTACGTGACTTCACCGAAAGAACTAAAGAGTACAAAAGATGTATTACAGAAGCTATCAACAGAAGGTATGTACCGGATTAATCACACATGTGGCAAATTCTATGTTGGGCAAACAGGATGAATGATCAGCATTAGACTAAAAGAACACTAAATAAATATTAAATATTCTCAGCAGTAGCAGAACACGCGTGCCAACAAGGACACTCAATTTATTTTGATAATATTGAAGTTCCGTGCAAAACTAGTTACTATTGGCCAAGACTAATTAGATAATCTATAGAAATTGAAAGAAAAAAAACACTTTTAACCGTTCAGACAGCTATCGACTTCGTGCTGCGTGGAAGCGAATGATCAAATAATACATTGTTTAAATGCACGCCTATACAGGCCACCACACTTTTAATAGAGAATCAAACATACATTATGCGCATTACCTCCGATTATCATGATAGGCTATGTACGGTGCAAAAGAAGTTCAACGTACATACATACATACATGTTGCATAGCTCATATAACATACAATGTTTAACTGGAAGTGATTGAAATTCCCTCTTCCTTTTTAAATCCTTTATATTAAGTTTGCTTGCTTGCGTGCTTGCTTGCTTACGACCGTGCAAATCTTTCGGTCGTTTTTTAACCCACTTCCCGTGATCCAATCGAGCTGACATTTTCCACACAGACTCGTTGTGCGTGACAATTAATTTTCGTGAAATTTTTTTTCAAAAATGTTACACTGTTTAGGGGAAAATATATATATATATTTAATTACCCATTGCTTAATGCTGGCAGACAATCATCTGACCCATAGGTGGCAGCCATCTCAAGCCAGAGGACGAGAGGACTCTAGCCGCCACGCATATAAAGGATTTAGAGTGAAAAACTTTGTTTTTACGGGTTAATTTTTTACCTCTCCTTTTCTTCTTACGTTTTCCTTTATGTGCAAGACTGCTTACTTTCTTCTCCGCAAAATATCTCGCATTTTCAACACTCTCCCGTACGTGCTGCAGAAACAATAATTAATGCATTTGTAACTTCCAAGCTAAGACTACTGCAATTCTCTGTTATTTGGTGTTACTTTGGTCTCTAATCCAACGTGGTCCGATATATTCAATATGTAGCTGCAAGAGTACTGATGCTCGTGTAGTGACTGACTTGGAGACTTAAGTTCTTGGAGACAGTTATTTCAATTAACACCGAGCACACTTTGCACAATCTTGATTTTAAGCTTTCGTGACTGCAGGAATCCATACTCTTTGGTTCTTTCGGTAAAGTCACGTAGGCATAAAAAAATCACGACGTTTCAGGCGTAACACAAGCGTCCGTCATCAAGTGGGAAAGCATGATCTGCTGCTGAGGCAGACTGTTTTAAAAGGTTTGAAATGGGTGTAGCCCAAAGGTCATAAAGAAGTGGGCGGGGCTAGTGATGTTAATGTAAGAAATTAGCATGTAAATGTAAGAACGAAGAGTGGTGAAATCCAAAGGCATCACTTTACCATACATAGCAGGGGTTACCAAATATATTTCAAAAATCTTAAACAAACACGAGATCCAGGTTCGTTTCAACACAGTACACAAAATCCGTTATTTAATTCCATCTGTAAAGGATGTGATTCCTGACATGCAATACCCGGGTGTCTACAAACTGAGTTGTAGTTGCGGAAGCAGTTACATTGGGGAAATTAAACGACATTTCTCGGACCGTGTTCGTGAACACAAGGCAGATCTCAAACACGGTAGGACCATCTTCTTGGTTCTTTCAGTAAAGTCACATAGAATGGAAATAATAAAATAATAAACATAAAACATAATAAAATAATTCTCACGACGTTTCGGCCACAACGCAAGCAGCCGTCCTCAGGTGAAGAACAGGTCTGTCAGAAAGACAGCGTCTGAATGAACACCACCAGGCTTGGCAGCGTATATTTAAGCTGGGTTGGAAGGGGAAGAGCGCCTTGACAAAGGAATTTGCATATCAAGAGGAATTTAGCATATTTATGGGAAATGCAGGTATAGGACCAATACCTCTGCCGTTGCTGATCATTGTTTTAACGCTGTGGGCTCGCACTAAATTTATTTTTCTAAGACGGAGGTACTCTGCAAACCTACTGGCTACGTTCATTGATTTGTTCATGAAGCCATCCAGATATATAAACTCGGACACAACTTCAACCGAGAAGATGGGTACAAACTGAGCAATCATTGGAAGGACGTTATAAACCAAGTAAATTCTTAACTGACTGTGATGTTTTCATCCTACCTGCTTATTTTAGCTGTTATTTCAGACTGTGTGTCTCTCCATACCTCTCTCTTAGATCTCTCATTCTCACATGTCCTTTGGATTGCACTCTCATGCTGACATGTCCTTTGAATTGCACTCTCATGCCTTTTGGATTGCACCACTCTTTAATCTTACATTAACATGCTAATCTCTCTCATTAACATAGCCACTTCCGTGTCCACGTCAAGCAGGCCCCTCTCCGTTCTTACATTTACATGCTAATTTTTTACATTAACATCACTAGCCCCACCCACTTTTTTATGACCCTTGGGCTACACCCATTTCAAACTTTTTAAAACAGTCTGCCTCATCAGAAGATCATGCTTTCCCACCTGATCATGGACACCTGTGTTGCGCCTGAAACGTCATGATTTATTTTATTTTATACCTACATGACTTTATCGAAAGAACCAAAGAGTACACTTTGTACACTTCATACAATACACACCTTACACTGTTACACACTCTCTGTCTCTCACTTATAGGCAACTCGACACTGGTTGCTTGCCTACACACAATGCTAGCCGTCTGACACTGAAGGCACTGAGCTAAGGCAGCCAACCATATCTCGCAGCGACGAAGGCACGAAACGACAGCGATGATAGTGATGATCTTCAGCAGCAATGACGGTATCCCACTACAAACGACAGTCCCAGTCCCCTCCCGCAGAGACAGCTTTCTTTCGATCCCAGTCTCAAACGATGATAGACCAGAGGTCTATCGCCTTTTGGTGTCCTCTGATCTAACACCGTTTGAGACTAGGCTCAAAAGCATGATGTCTCTGGTGTAAACCAATCAGTTTCAAAGACAATGCATATATATATTATGAGAGTGTTTTTGTTTAACAAAAAACATACTCTCATAAGAAAAAATGGGAAAACCTATTCTCATATTTTGGTACTGGCAAAGGAGGTCCCATGATATACCATATCCCTTCTTCTAAATGGATGGAATTCACAGGCCCCGATTGGCTTATTCCCATTTTCATGCTCATATTCATCTACTCATGCCCATATTCATATGTTATAAAGTTCGACCGCATCTGAGGACCCGTGTTACAGTTCTATAGCTTTGGAGCTGTACTGGCAAATGCCCAATCGCCCCAGGAAATGAGAGTTAACATCGGAATACTTATGTAGTGGGTTTTACAGAGGCACACACTTGACTTTGGAGGCAAAACTTTATTACAACACCCCAACAGGGTTTCTACATAAACGTACACAGTTACTTGACCCCAACAGGGGAACTACATAAACGGCTCATGTCAGCAACACACTGCCTGATCCACGTTGCCAACCGAAGACCGAAGAGATGTAGCACCGAGGGCTTCCATTCCAACAGACAGCCGCTATTGCTCTCGGGATCTCCCTTTTATGCTCCCGAGCGTGGCCTCGCTCTGCCTTTGGCCACGCCCCATTATGGATCTCACTAGAAGGTTCTAGACCGAGCATCACGTGTCCCTCAAGCCACCCATTGGGCCCCCTCGCAACCCTGTCCTGGTCACGTGCCCTCTCGGGTTCACCTAGACTATCACATCCTTACTTGCCCTCTCTCTGACCGTCACCAAAACCATGCCCCCTAGGGCCCGCTTTCATGCCATACGTACTCTGGTGTCCGAGAGGCTCAAGACGCACCGTTCCATTCTTGTGAGAGTAGCTGGCGCTAAACGCCATAGTGATTCCATTTACGTCACTACACTTAGAAGGTGATCCGATGATCTCAGGGACCTCGTTGGAGTGTAAACACGGCTCGGTTCCTGCAAATCCATTGTGAGAGCCTTGTAGGTCAGCAGTGGATCTTATAATCCACTCGATACTTGATTGGTAGCTAGTGCAAAGACAAGAGAGCAGGTGTGTGATGTGCTCGCGAAACCATGTGTGTCTAAAGACTTGCAGCTGCATTCTGAATGAGCTGGAGTCTGCCCAACACCTTATCCAGAATCCAGAACAGTAACGTGTTGCAGTAATCAAGTTGGGAGAACACAAAAGCATAAATCATTCGGTGACGGGAATCAACTAAGCCGGGAAATATTTCTAAGTTGGAAAGGTTCTAACCACCAAATTTGCATGTGATTACACAAGGTGTACAATATGCATACACATGCACACAGTGGGTACGGATCAAGGATAATAATTATTACCTTTGCCGGATCACCGATCCTGCGATGCAGAAATCCTATTTTCACATGAACCTTAATTATACCCAGCACATATATCATTGTTTTAGCTGGCATGTTAAACATAACTGTTGTATGTGTCTGTCTGTGTATTTTTCAGAAAAAAAGTGCAAAAAGATAACACTTTCAGGAAATTTGAAAATAGACGCTAACGTTGGCAGTCGAGTACATTTTTATTGTGATGAAGGGTAAGATTATATTACTGTTAGATCCATTGTCAAAAGGCATTCGTTGTTTTCATTTAAACTTACAAAGCAATGTTCATTTTCAGTGCCATTTTATATTCAAAGCATGATTTGTATCAGCCTGCTGTTTGATGTGTATACGTTTTATATATGCACCTTAAATCATATTCACTAACATTTATAAGTGTGAACTACATATAATTTAAGTAATTAATGGAAAAGAGGAATTTACCTCGGATTAATATGATCCACACAAGCGTCACCTTTCAAAGGACAATATCACGTTCAATGTGTAATGCGAGCATAAACGGCCTCGCGGATATGACGTCACGGGGGGAGGGGTTAGGTCACGTGGGGGAGAGGGGTAAGCTCTTAAGGGCGGTAACCGGAAGAGACGAGGGGAGAGTGTGGGAATAAAGACAGGAGGAGGCCACGCAGGGCAGAGGGTGGAGAGTGGCGAGATCGCCACGCGGTGGGTCTCGGCACCGTCGGCCAGCGGTGTCCGGGCACGGGTGGAACGGAGAGCAGGGGTGGGGCTGCAGCGAGAGCAGCTGAGAGACTGCACAAGGGCGGAGAGGCTAAGAGGGAAGCCTGCAGCAGAGCTGCATCGGGAGCGGGCAAAGGCTACGTGAGCGACGGCAGCTGTCAAGCTGCCAAGCGGAAGCCTGTGAGTGAGGGCCGTGTGGGACAAGTTGTAAGAACCCAAATAAAGGACAATGGAGACAGACACAGTGAAATAGTCCTTTATTACAAATGTATGGAACATTGTTCTGGCAACTCCTGCAGCCAAACTGACGTCAAATGTATCGGTTCACCGTTCTTTGGATCACGCCAGGGAGGCCAAGAGGGGAGCCCTGTTGCCTGGGTAACACAAGGCCTCCATACACCTTTCACAGGCATTCCAGGTTCACTGTGCAGCGAAAATGAAGACCTCAGCATTACTTCTGGGATGTTGGAACGTCAGGACTATGATGACTGGAGTAACCGACAACCTATATCAATCTACATTATTAGACCTCCTTTGCCAGTACTAAAATATAATAAGTTTCCTCAGGGCACTAACCACTCCCTTGTGTGCTGTAGAGTCAAGCTACAGGCAAAAACATACATAGTCAAATATGAAAGAGCCCTCCATTATGATAGCAGCTCACCCAACAAAAGCTGCAGGCTTTCTCTGTGCCCGAGAGGAATAACTTTTCCACATACCCCAATCTCACAATGCCCAGCAGAAAGGGGACAACCTATGGGACACCATCCACAGCACGGCCTTGACAGCTTTGAGTAAAAAGCTGACCGTCAAACGACTGGTTCGAAGCCAATTCAATGGAACTGAGATGAATCCTGGACGAAAAGTGCATTGCCCTCACCAATTACAAATGTACCCCAAATGTCAAGCCCCTGCATGCTCTCAGAACGGCGAGGAAAAAACTCCAGCAAGTCTCAAGATGCTGCACCAACGACTATTAGCTGCAGCTCTGCAAAGATATCCAAACATCAGCTGACACATGCCACATCAGAGGCATGTACGGCGGCATCAAAAAGGCACTCGGACCATCACGTCACACAACGGCTCTGCTAAAATCAGCCACGGAGAAACTATTTCTGACCACTCAAAACAACTGGACCACTGTGGCAGCTGTCAGCACTTGCAATTACCTTGGGTCCACCATCACCAACAACCTGTCACTCGATGCCGAACTCAGCAACCGCATTGGAAAAGCAGCCTCCACCTTTGGAAAACTGACATTTAGGGTATGGAATAACCAAAAACTCAGTCCACACAACAAGGTACAGGTGTACAAAGCCTGTGTCACAGGCATGCTCCTGTATGGCAGCAAAAACCTGGAAAACATACTCACACCAAGAACGGAGGCTAAACAACTTCCACCTACGCTGCCTGAGGCAAATACGAGGCATCACCTGGAAGGATAAGATAAGGCATTCAGCAATGCTGGAGGGAGCACAGATAGCCAGTATGTACTCTTTCCTGAAGCAGTGACGTCTACGCTAGCTGGGCCACGTCCGTCAGATAGATGATGGACGAATCCCGAAGGAAATTCTCTACTCAGAATTGTCCTCCAGAAAGAGATCAACTGGCCGCCCACAGCTTTGCAACAAAAATGTCTCCAAGAAAGACCTCAAGTTCTTCGCCATTAACACGGACACCTGGGAAGATGCTGCTCAGGACCGTCTTCACTGCGACCTAAGACTAACATATATAAACGTGCTAAAGTTTAGATTTCTAAATAATGTGCTGTAGTTCATATTACGATCAACTATGTTCGAGCAACTGCTGGATGAAGACCTCCTCAAGCGCCACCATCCCTATTGATCCCGCGATTGTAATAAACCGCCTAGCACTGGCACATGAGCTCATTTCATTACTCCATCTCCTTGGTCGTTTTTCTCTTGTACATGTTCCATTCCTTGACTCTTTTAATGGTTTGAATCGTATCTGGAACTTATGTATGTTCTCCGATCCATATGCTCCTCTTTTTCTCCATAATTTAAAGCTTATGTCTTCATGCTTCTTGTGCAATTTATACTTTTTGAAAAAACAACATTTCCATAACAATGTTTCTGAAGTATATGTTATAGAAGGTAAACACTGATTAAAAACAGTTTTTTTAGACATTAATATGCTGCTTTATATGACCAAAGTCAGCTTTGTGAAAGCACTCCAAGGTGTTCTAACCACTTATTTTGTGCATCTCTTTAATTCTGGACCAACGTGTTGTGAAAGGGAACTTCACTGACTTTTATGCGTGTGTTTTTCAGCTATACGCTATTTGGCAGTAATGAAATTGAGTGCTTGCCCACGATAGAATGGTCCATTGACAAAGCACCCATCTGTAAACGTAAGTATTAAACAGCGTTAAACAGTTAAACCTCTCTGAGCCCGGCTCTTTTTGCGGGACAGCTTTTCCATTACGTATGGAATCTTCTTTCGTATGGATTATTAGCAGATTAAATATGTAATTTTAGGTTTGTTAGCCACTCAATTGTCTGTTCAGAAGCATAGTGGTCAATGTTTTGGGATTCGTGGCCGAACTCGCAGGCCGCCAAATCTTTGATGCACCATTTGTGCACACTGCTAATAATAAATACATATTACTCAAGTTAATTTAAGAGCATAAAATTGGCACCTAATTTAATAACTATGTTTACAATATACTGTAATTATGCATCAAAACCTCTACAGTACAGTTTCATCTGAGTCACCATCACCATGAAGCAGATGTTGAAAGCTGAACTGTAACATAGGTGGAAAATTGTCAAGATTTAATGGTGGACTTACATTATTTATTTGTCAACTAAGTGTTTAAAATGTGTAAATATCAGTACACTAACATAGCACATGGTTGACCAAGATGTCAAAGGGCATGAGGGTTCTCTGGATTAATTACATTCTAATTATTATTTGGGTCTTTACCGAAAGTCCAAAAAAAGATGAATTCCTGCAGTCACGAAAGCTTTAAGTCTACATTCTAATTATAATGTTATTGATAAGTGGGGTTAACAAGTTAAGTAGGCCCAGGTGTACATGCAAGCTCGGCCACGTTCTGGTAATGTACTCTGTTCATTTAAATATTTTATCAGAGATTTCTTGCATCATGATACGTTGCATAATGCATTTGACATGACTCAAATAAGCCCACAATGCCATATTTTAGGGTAAAAAGTTTGCCGGTATACTTTAGTAAAAAAATATTCTTCCCATAACGCAAATTATTTACAAATCCTCTGACTTCAGATAATAAGAGGATGTGTGTTTTCTTTGACCTCTGTGATCATTTCTATTGTCCATGTTGTGTTATGTTTTTCTCTTAACAGCGGTGGTGTGCGACCAACTTGATATTCAAAATGGAAGTTTTAACGTTTCTCTGCCAGTTCAATTCAACACTTTTATCGGATATAGTTGCAATGAAAATTACATATTGGTGGGAAACCAAACGATAGAATGCTTACGGACAGGCAAATTGAGTAGTGAAAAACCCTACTGCAAAAGTACGTATTTAAGTAACCATGTTCCTGAATTCTAGACCCTCCCACACTTTGCCTTCGAAGAGTTTCCTTTACAGCACTATGTTATTTAAAAAAAAATCATAAAAATCATTATCGAGATATGCAGGCTAATGTTCTCCCAAAGAAATATTTATTCATGACAAAGTTCTACTCGCCAGTCGGTACAATTTTTTTATGATTCTGGCAGATGCTGGGCCAAGTCAATGCTGACAGACATTTAAACTTGTAATTGTATAATGATTAGCCCACTGCTCTATTGTAATTAAACTCTTCCATTATTTACAATGATGAATGTCATGAATTAAAGGAATTTATTTTTTGCATAACAGCGTGGGACAGCTGCTAACTCTTAAATTATGCATGTGTTTATAAACAGTGGCGGATACGTGTGTAGTGGGTTCCACAGAGGCGCACACTCGAACTTGGAGGCAACACGTGTATTTCTTAACGCAATGGAGTAACCGTATTATCACTCGACGGATAACAATCTAGGGTGGTAACCGCCACGAGTAACTACATAACCACTCGATGGGATGACAACATAGGATGGTGGCCACCACAGTTAACTACATAACCACACGACGGAATAACCATACAATCAGACCAGGTCAGCTAACACGCTGCCTGGTCCACGATGTCGTGCGTGAAGCCCGAAGACCGAGAACCGAAGACCGAGTAGACGTAGCATGGCGGGTTGATTCCAGAAGACAGCCGTGATTGCTCTCAGGCTATCCCTCTTATGCTACCGAGCGTGGGCTTGCTCTGCCTCCGGCCACGATCTTTCCAGAAGGATCTGGAGCCAGCATCACGTGTCTCTCAAGCTCCCTTTTGGGCCCCCTTGCTACCCCGTGCCGGTCACTTGTCCTCTCGGGTTCACGCAGACGTCACATCCTCACCCGACCTCTCTACCACTGTCACCGGGACTATGCCCTCTCAGGGCCCTTCCGTTTCGTACTCATTTCGGTGCGAGAGAGATGCTCCGCACATACAGTACCGCTCTTCTCTCGGTACTGGCGCTACACCACAGTGACTTTATACACGCCACTACATCACCCCCCCCCCCCCTTTGTAAAACGCAGCCGTCCTGGCTGATAGCTCCCATAAGAAAAAAACAGGAGTGTGCCAGAAAAGAATTAAAGCTTTGCAACAGTTAAAACAGACGACAACGGCGCAATAAATAAATCATACACATGATGTACAATTCTCTAGACGAGAGAGGGCAAGGGAAGGGAGGAAAAGAAGAAAAGATTTTCAAAAATGTGAGCAATGTACAATGGCTGGTTTTACCCTCCCACCAACAGCACAATCCTACTCCCATGTGTGTGTCAGCACACGCGAGCACAAGAAGAGCCAGGATCAGACAATGACCTATCTGACTTGCGCGTGTGACCACCAGCAGACGGCATAGAAAGAGTAGCATGCTGTAGGAGAGTAATTTAAATCGGGCAGTCTTTAAGCGAGTTCTTGTTGCGGGGCCCCTAGGCAAGGTGGGCCTGAGCTTCCTGGATGTCCCGGGGAGAACTTGAAGATGGCCTAATGGGCATGGCCCCTCCCAAGGATTCACAATGGTGGGCAGAGAACGGCTGGGCGATGGATGCCTTGCACCCTGAAATCTGTCTGGCGTCAGCATAACCGGCAACGTCGAGGATGTCGGCGCTTCGATCCTGCGGGCAGAATGACAGAACTCCCCTACGGCACGACCTCAGCGGATGCACGCTGCAGCTCATCGGACACACCCAATACATGGCCCTTGGGTGTCGGAGCCCCCTTAGCCTTTCATTTGCCAACTGTCGCGAGGTCGAATTATGCCTAGAAGCCTTCCGTGCTTCTCACACCCGCTGGAGGGTAAGGCGCATGGGGCTAGGCATGTCAACCTTTTTCCTTGTAGGCTCCAGGTTCCCTCCCATGCATTAAAAAGAACGTCGAGAACCTGGTGGAAGCGTGAGGGGCCATCCTTAGGCTACAAGAACCCCCAGTTAAACTGGGCTTCGTTGACCTGCTGACTCAACATAGAAGTCAGGGTTCTGTGCAGCCATTCCACTATTCCATCCATCTGGGGGTGATAGGGCGACCATACGCACTTTTTTTGTACCCAACAGGTCACACACTTCCTTCAACAATTTAGATCAAAATGTTTTGCCTTGGTCAGTAAGGAGGCGTTCCGGAACCCCCTTATCCAACACATAGCCATGGAGGGATGCCTCAGTAATAGCTGCAGACGACTGCTTTGGAAGCGGCCAAGCCATGGGCCAGAGAGAAAAATATTCGACACCCACCAATAAATATTTATTACCTCGCGTGGTCGGAAATGTCATGAGGACGATGAGCGCAACAAGTTCATTTATCTGGGATACACCAATTGATTGCAACAGCGGATAGCACATTCTCGGCAGAGATTTTTGGCGAGCACATTGCACACACCCCTTCAGTATGTTGTACATGTCACCCGACATTCCAGGCCAGAAGAAATCGAGTCTGAGGATTGCAAGTGTTTTCTGCACTCCCAGGTGCATTAGTCGTTTGTGCACAGCCCAAATGACTCTAATCGTGACCTGCATGGGTATGATGGCCCTCTTTTTGCCCAGGTTTATGCCCAGGTTTATGCCCAACTGAGCCTCCATGGGGGGGTCCCTTTCCCTCCCATACATGAGGTAAAACTGGGAGAATCCTGTTGAGGCGTAAGGGGCAATCTTATATGCGGCCAGGACACCGGGAATGTGTAAGTCCCTATCCGACTGCGCCTCATTAACCTGTTGGCACAACATAGACATAAGGGCTCCACCATTCCATCCGTCTGGGGATGGTAGGGCTATGTCCGGATTTTTTTTGTTCCCAGGGAATCGCACACCTCCCTTAACAATTTTTAAGAAAAAATTCGCCCCTGGTCCGTAATAAGTTGTTCCGGAGACCCCTTGTCCAGAACGTACCAGTGCAAAAATGCACCCGGAATGGATGCGGCTGACTGGTCTAGCAGAGGCCACACCACCGGCCAACGGGACAGGTATTCCACCCTGACAAGGAGGAATTTGTTATCCCTCTGAGTGGTGAGAAATGGCCTGAATGTCCAGAGCGACTACCTCTTTGATATGAGACACCATTATGGATTGTAACAGCGGATGGACCTGCCTTGGCAAGGTGCATTAATTTCTCGTGGACCACCCGTGTGAGTTTTCCCCTCAGAGCAGTTGGCACTGCCCCGCCACACCCCCTTCCTGGAACCTACGGCGGGTTCCTGGTGGGCCCCTTCTGTGCCCTTTTCGCTAGATCCTGCTCTTGTGTATATCCTGTCCTGCTGACGTCAGGACTGCCGTATGCCACGGATTCCCTTTTCCACCAGCGCTATGCCACAATGGCCAGGAGCTCTCTCCTCATTACACAACAACGTTGTTGGCCGATGACAGGAGCCAGCTGCCATATGCTATCACCACCGCCCTGCCCGACTGCACCTGGGATAGGATGGTTCCAATCCCTACTACGCTCGCATCTGTATCCAGTGTGAAGGGCAATGAAAAATCTGGATATGCCAATGGTGGCACCTCTGTAAGGAGTGTCTGCAGATTTTTAAAATCCCTGTCCTCTTTTGTACCCCACTGGAATTTCTGCCCCTTAGCTGTAAGTGCATGTAGGGGTTTCTCAATGGCTGCAAAATCCTGCACGAATCTGCAGTAATATGAAACAAAACCTATAAATCTTCTAACATCCGGCACGGATACAGTTGTGGGCCATTCTTTAACACACTGCATCTTTTCTGGATCAATATCTTCCCCCGTTGCACTAACTATGTGCCCGAAATATCTGAGTGAGGGCCGTGCGAGGTGGCATTTAGAAGGCTTGAGTTTTAAATGTGCTTCCCTAATGCGTCAGAAAATCGTCCTCCGGACACAATTACGTCGTCCAAATATATCAGCAAATGTCCTAGTGTAGACCTGTCAGTACCAGCTCCATGAGCCTTTGGAATGTGGCTGGGGCCATTTATAATCCCATTGGAAGACAGTTAAAATGAAATAACCCCTGCGGTGTCCTAAAGGCAGTTTTGTCTTTTGAATCCTCATCCAGCGGTAGCTGCCAAATCTCGATGATAGGTCCAAAGTAGAAAAGTATTTGGCTCCCGCTAAGGCATCCAAGGAATGTCAATCTGCGGCAGCGGATAAGCATCCACCATTGTGATCTCATTTAGTTGACAGAAGTCGACGTAAACCCACAATGAATCGTCTAGCTAATTCACCAGGACGATAGGGTCTTCCCATGAGCTCGTGGATGGCAAGATAATAACGGCTTTTAACATCTCATCGATCGCGTTTTGTACGTGAGCTTTCTCGACCGGCCCCATGCAATATGAATTTTGGAGGATAGGCGGTGCGTTTCCTGTCTCTATGTGATGTGACGTTAAATGTGCCACCTAAATCGTACGGTCCCTTTATAAAAATGTCCTCAAAGTCTTGTAACAATGCCCAATACCAATTGTGGGCAGAGGAGCAATGCTCACAACAATGAGCGGAGTGCTGGGAGGCTAAAATGCAGCAAGTTGGCACTTCACATTGCCTCAAAGTTTAACTTGCCTGGCACAGGCGCCGTGGTGGCATCACCGGCATTTATTGGCGAATGGCGGCTGTTGTTGTTGATGGCTGGTGAGGGAATGTCAAGCAAAAGGTGGTGTATAAGTTGGAAAGTGTGTCGTGATTGTTTTTAACATATTTCATTGTGAAATCCAAGCGGTTACCTCTTTGACTAGACACTGCTCTTTACATGTATTCTGTCTCCATTCCACAGCAATTACATGTGATTCACCCGCTGAAGGTCCACATCTTATAATCAGTTTCCCATCTAGGCTGGAATTTGGCAGTGAGATTACATACACTTGTGAAAATGAAATGACACTAAATGGGCCCTCAACGCGAACCTGTCAAGCCAATGGAACCTGGTCAGGCAAGGACCCAGTGTGTGGTAAGGATGAGTTGTGAACTTTCACTTTTTCTTGCAGTCAAAATGCAAACAAAAAACAATTTTCTGATAATTTATGCATTGTCCTTAAAACTCATTGGTCCACACCAGAGACATCTTTCATTAGAGCCTAGTCTCATATGGTGTTCGACAAGATGACGCCAAAAAGGTTCATGTAAACATGATTCCTTGCAAAAGGTGTCAGTTTTGTTGCCAGAACAAAGGGGAAAACCCCTATTAGTAATATTTTGGTACTGGCAAAGGAGGCCTCATGATATGGATGCTTACCCCGAGCTCTCATTACTCTGATAGTGCATTGTCTTTGAACTTTGCGCCTTTTTGGCGTCATCTGGTCGAACACCATATGAGACTAGGCTCTAAGAAAAGCTGTCTCTGGTGTGTACCAATACGTTTCAAGAACAATGCATAAATGATCAGACTATTGTTTTTATTGTTTGCATTTTGTCTACAAGTATTGTGGTTAATGTAAACATGATTTCTTGCAAAAGGTGTCAGTTTTGTTGCCAGAAAAAAAGGTAAAACCCCTATTAGTAAATAGAGTTACATTTTTATCATGCAGTAGCCTTGCATTGATTTCGTTGTTAAGTACGACTCACGAGAACTTGGTTGGGTAAACACGCACGTTATAAAATATTAAGAGTTGTGAAAACCTTGCCTTAAAATACCACAACAAATATTGATGACAACTACGAATTGACAATTATTTAGAACAATGTAGGTTAACAATTTTGTCAAAATGACATTAATAAAAAAACATGTTTTTTTTACAGTGCACAGTTTAAAACAAACTAAGTCACAACTTTTTAAAATGTTAATCAATTGTAATTGCAAGACTCATTCACAATACATTTACATGTATTGAATTGGATATTATATATGAGGATATTACATGACATAAATGGCTATTTTATCAGACTGTCATGTACCATTGTATTCTGCTATCCTCTGCAGTCTTTAATTGCCCACCTCCATCCGAACCATGGCAAGGATACTGGATTGGGAATGACTATTCCTTGGGGAGCTCCATCACATTAAAATGCAACAAAGGGTAATGTATATAATAATTAATAGTTTTGTACATTTGGTATTTGAGCTGTTAGTGCAAAGATACCACAAAGTCACTATGCCACAGACACAGTTTGCAATAGTTTCACTTTAAGAGCCATGTTGCTCGGTAGAATCCCAGTTGAGAAGTTAGTGGCTAATTTTTCAAATTTGGCAAAAATAGACCATGAAGCCGGCACACAATGGCTACTTGTTTCATTTAATGTCAGGGAATGTGTAATGCACACTGAAGCAGATGGTGTGTGTTTTTGGTTCACACACCCGCAGTAATAACCAGGGCGACCGACTAGAATTGAACCACAAACCTCTTAAACAAGTAGCAAACGACCTCCCAATCGACTAACTGCGGCGAACCCTGTAAATGTTACGGGATGGACAGAGGGATTTAATAAATTGCCCCATCATTTCAACTGATGCACCAGGTGTGCTTAGACCAAGCTTTAAAAAAAATGTCACGCCTCATAACTCAAATGGGGAAAAAAATGTTGGTGCAGGAATCAAATTGTTGGCCCCTTATCAACGTGCATCAATGCGATGTATCGATTCACCAGAGGTCACATTTTATGGCCCTTACTCTTTAGTAAGAGAGTCCTGTTGAAGTGGTCTATGATACCAGCTCACTCTGAATGTGCCACATCTCATCAGATGTCAGAAGCTAAACAGGTTGAGTTTGGATAGTGCTGAAAATACAGTGCCTCATCAAATACAGTGATTCAGTGTTATGTCTTTCAAATCTGGCCTAAATATGTGGAATGTCCGTTATTGGAGATTCCTGATGCCACATTACTTGTTCATTTTACAACCTCTCATCTATCACAGTGGCTGGCTTGATGTTTGGTAGGTGTTTTGTGAAGGTTAATAATTTACTCTTGGTTTTCGCCAGTTTATTGGTCCACTGCTGTTCTTGCACTACACTCACCATCTTGGTGCCCTCATCTGGAAGTAAGGCTTCTAGTATTACGCTGCTGATATTGATCTTTAGTTCAGTATCTCTGACATCTCGGTCTCGCTGCGACTGTTGTCTTGTCACCAACTAAAGCTCAACATGGATTGCAATAAAGTGATTGTATTTCCCACCTCCTCCACACCCACGCCTTGTGTTTTTACCTGTCACTCTTCAACGGCATTGTTAAATCTCGTCCTTGGATCCTTTACCCTGATGTCTTCCTCAACTCTGACCTCTTATTTGCACTTTGCATACACCGCACTGTCATATCACGCCTACCCATTCTCCAGAACAATCACATTTCGCATTGTGTTATAAGCTTCACCGCTGTTGCACTCACATACGCCCTTGTTAGCTCATGCATTGAATACTGCAGTCACATGTCCAGCCTGCCATTATCCAACCTTTTGCCACTTCAATCCATCTAGCACTCCGCATCCAGGATTGTTCCCCAATTCCCCCACTTTTCGCTCCCACCTCCCCCGTCGTTGTTGGCTCTGGCTGGCTACCCATGACATTCTGCAATTCCATCAAACTACATCCAGAGTTGGTTTCAGATGGGCTTCCGTGGCCATCTGGAAATCTGTTCCTTCCGATATTAAGAAGCCACTGGATCTATGCACTTTAAATATGGATTGAAAACACATTTTTTTACAACAGTTTTTTGCGTTTTAGTTTGTTGTTCTTCCCCCCGCACCTCTGCGTTGCACTGTTGGCTAAGTACGACGCGAAAGAAGTTCAACATAAATACATGCATTCCATTCCTGTCAACCCATACGGTCTATCCGTATTATTGTACAGGGAAATTGAGTTTTCAGGTCCATACAATTACTATTTTTTGCCCGTTTCAATACGGGCAAAAATAGTAATTGTCTATTTGTTTGCGTTTCTCCCTTGTGATGGGACTTTGTAGGATGAACGTTGAGATTTATAAGGGCACGGGTGACCAATAAGGTCTGAATTGGTCTGTGATAAGGTAGGCACTGATGAGGAGTTGACAGATATGGCGTTCTCAATATCGCTACTCGACCAGTTGAAATCCCTACCCCCACCCTCTGCCTCGCCACCGCCCAGCATTTGAATCTCTCCATGAAATCCAGGACTTCCACCCCGCGTGGTCTTTCTTGCACCTCCTTAATTCCTTTTGTTCCCACCGTCCCTAACCCTGAATTGTCTTCTCTCCGCACCAGACTTTCTTCTTTGCCAAATGCGCTAATCATGTAATCTCTAAGGCAGTTGAACGTCCTGGATCCTCTGTCCTCTTGTGTATGTAAAGTATGATGCTGACGGTGAATCTTATGCTTTCTCATCCAGTTACATGGTGGCAGGTGCTGATAAACAGACCTGTCGGGAAGATCAAACGTGGTACCCTTCACAGTCCCCTACATGTCAGCGTAAGTTACCACCCTTGTATCATGTAAAGAGCAGTTTTACAAGGAGCTTAAGTGATAATGGTTTACACTCTTGCCAAATGTCGATGTAGTCATAGGGCTTGTATCATTATCTAAATATTTTGAGTTAAGATCCCAGTGTGGCTCTGACTTCCTGGATCTCGTCCGGCCGGCACTTGACGTAGTCTCCGTCCTCCTTGGCTCCTCCCCCCCTCTTACCCTATATACTCGCTTGTCACAAATAGCTCTCTCTACTCACTACAGTAATTTTGTTGTGGCAGTTCCACCTGATGACGGAAGCTTGTGTTGCCTCCGAAACGTCGTGATTTAATTTAGTTGTTTTCATTTTTGTTTTATTACATTTTTTGCCTACGTGACTTTACCGAAAGAACCAAAGAATACCAATGATTAATGTTGCAGCTCACTGGGAAGCTGAAGAACAATTTTCATTAGATAGGACGTTTTTCTTGAGACATGTTAAGCATCCTCGGCACGCGATGGAGGCATCCAGGGAGTCAGAGTTGCACCATATACAGTGGAATCTCGGTATACGTCGTTAATTCGTTCCAGAAGGTAGGACTTATACCGAAAATGACGTATACCAAACGAATTTTTCCCATAAGAAATAAAGGGAAAGGAAATAATGCGTTCCAGAGGAAAATACATTTTATTTTATATGGCATATTGTACATTAATGGGGTTGTATAAAATAATTTAGACTAATTACTAAAATGCATACAGAAGCCACGTGACCGCGCTGCTGCCAGCTGCGCTGGTCACGTGGCGTGCCTCAACCCCGCACGTCGTTCGCGCCTCGACCCGGGGCTCCACCCTCCATGGGGGCAGCCCCCCACGCCCCCCGCCCCTCTCCCCCACGTCCCCCGCCCCTCTCCCCCACGTCCCCCGCCCCTCTTTCCCACGCCACCCCGCCCCTCTCCCCCACGTCCCCCGCCCCTCTCCCCACGCCACCCCGCCCCTCTCCCCCACGTCCCCCGCCCCTCTCCCCCACGCCACCCCGCCCCTCTCCCCCACGTCCCCCGCCCCTCTTTCCCACGCCACCCCGCCCCTCTCCCCCACGTCCCCCGCCCCTCTCCCCCACGTCCCCCGCCCCTCTTTCCCACGCCACCCCGCCCCTCTTCCCCACGTCCCCCGCCCCTCTCCCCCACGCCACCCCGCCCCTCTCCCCCACGTCCCCCGCCCCTCTCCCCCACGTCCCCCGCCCCTCTCCCCCACGCCCCCCCCCCACGTCCCCCGCCCCTCTCCCCCCACGCCACCCCGCCCCTCTCCCCCACGTCCCCCGCCCCTCTCTCCCACGCCACCCCGCCCTCTCTCCCCACGTCCCCCGCCCCTCTTTCCCACGCCACCCCGCCCCTCTCCCCCACGCCACCCCGCCCCTCTCCCCCACGTCCCCCCGCCCCTCTCCCCCACGTCCCCCGCCCCTCTCCCCCACGTCCCCCGCCCCTCTCCCCCACGTCCCCCCGCCCCTCTCCCCCACGTCCCCCGCCCCTCTTTCCCACGCCACCCCGCCCCTCTCCCCCACGTCCCCCCGCCCCTCTCCCCCACGTCCCCCGCCCCTCTCCCCCACGCCACCCAACCCCTCTCGCTTTGTTTCAGTCGTGAACGGGGCATACGCGGGTACTGTATGCGGTGACTCATCCAGACCCATACAAGTTCTAGCAAACGCGTCGTATCCCAAGCAAGACGTCGTATCCCAAGACATTTTTTCTTTCGAAAAAACACGACGTATACCAAATTGGACGTATTCCAAAGCGGTAGTATACCGAGGTTCCACTGTATTTGCATGCCTAACCCACCCAACATGCGATTATGAATAATGATATCGGTTGCAAAAGTATAAATGTTTTTGAATATAGAAATTATTCTTAAATGGTGCCCCGAGTGCCACGAGAGCCATATTGGAATTGACTCTTGGAGACATAAAAGTATATTGTAGGGCAAAGAGTCGTTGTGCTAATCACGTTATTTATAATGTGAATCACTACTCTCCAATATAATATGGGGTATGGTGTAGTTGCTCCAGACAAGCCAGACCCTATGTCACATTGTTATGGCATTACTCATTCACAGGCTGATCGTACAATATAAATAAAAAAGCACGTCTACTTTATAAGTATTGATGAACTATATTCTACATATTAAAAAGAGTCGATAAAGGTGCTTCAACTAAACGTTAGGCACATTGTGGGGTCCTATTTGCAGTGTATATGTACTAATCATGACTTACGTGTATATACAGTGTACATATAATCATATAGCTTTTGACAGACTATTGGGGCAAGTCCTGTCAACGAGCACTTGTGAAGGCCTGCACGGCGCATGAGGGGGTGGGTGGCCAACAAACGCTACGCCTATTTATTGAAGACCTATTGTTCTGGTGAAAGTATCCACAGATACTCTTAACCATTGCAGGCCACCCAATCATATTTATCCAAGATACTAGACTTCTGGAGATCTGAATGGCTCAAATCTTGATCTTGTCCACGTTAAACCTGAGTGGCATGATAATTGCTTCCCCAAGTGATATCTCCAGATGTGTGCAATTTCACACGTAAGTTACGTGTGTTGGGTATTGCGATGCATACAAATGCTAAAATTGGTGCATTCAGTGGAGATGTCTGCATGTGTGTGGGAATGATTTTGAAGCTGTGGGAATCGGTGGTGATGGGGGCCCATCGTGTCAAGTAGCCAAGGAAGACAGTGAAGGCTGTTCATGGGGCACAGTACTGTATATATGTGTTGCTCACCTTTCAAGGAATTGTGGGGGCAACTGCTCCATGGGTGTCCGTGTCTTACAGAGAAAAATGTCACTAACATTCCTGTTAATTAATAGATTGTTTATCTTCCAATTAGATTTTTTTACAAATTTGCTTTCCTCAACAGGTACTTGTGAACAACCAATAGATCCCTTTGGACGTCTTTCAGACCAGCACAAAAGCAAAAATGTTTTCACACAGGGAGATGTTGTGAGGATCATATGCTCAAATCAACAGCGACATGAAGGCTACAATCTACAATGCTACGATGGACAATGGGCCCCACCCGGCTCCCCCGGGGCTTTTACATGGAACACATGTGGTGGTAAATCATATACATTCAATTTCGCACAATTTACGTTCGGGAGAGACAATTTAATTTGACTCCACCGGCACTTCAAATATTTATTACGTGTGGCGCCTTACATGCAAAAATTAGTGAATGAGGTATACGCATTTTTCAGAAGCCATTGTAAACACAAATTCGCAGAAAATGAAAGTGAGGGCTACAAGGCATGTGCCATAATCCAGTTAACATGGTCACAGTATAATTCACCGAATGTTTTTTTCATATAATGATGAACTCTCTGTGGAAAATTTGCCGCTTTCCACGCTAAGCAATTCATGAAGGGACCATTCCACAATTGAACCTTATGGTGGGAACCCGGTGTCCTGAATAAACGGAAGTCAAAATCGTAATTAATAAAAAAAAAATTTGGGGACTCCGTCCCACCACGCACATAAACGCCGCGACCCACCTGGCGCAGATCATTCTGTTGTCGTGTCATCCAAGCACAGGAGCGAGGACGAATGCGCAGAAGAAACAAAACTTTGATTCGCGCATCATATAGAGCTCGTCGAGAGGAATAGATTGCCGTATAGTTCGCCTTCAACAGACATAAAATGACGTCGCAACGCAGTTCATGCGAGAGCCGGGGGCTTATGGGACCCCGGGGACTTATGGGACCCCGGGGACTTATGGGACCCCGGGGGCTTATGGGACCCCGGGGGCTTATGGGACCCCGGGGGATTATGGGACCCCGGGGGCTTATGGGACCCCGGGGGATTATGGGACCCCGGGGGCTTATGGGACCCCGGGGGCTTATGGGACCCCGGGGGCTTATGGGACCCCGGGGGCTTATGGGACCCCGGGGGCTTATGGGACCCCGGGGTCCCGCCATCAGGTTCAATCAAAGAAACCCATTCAGTTGCTCCAAATTTCACATTTGTAGAATGATTTAACCTGGGCGGAGTTGGCTGGAACTAGTGATCATATACATTTTCCACCTTGAACAGAATGACATCACCTCATGTTTTGGGGTGCAGCTTATGCAGAGAGCACTAAGAGGTCATGACGTTTTTGGCCACCATGTTACAAATTTTCAGCATGTTAAACAGCATGTGCACACATGCACATTAACATGTCCATGAAAAGACATACCCCCATTTACCCTTCTTAGCTTTTGACAAATGCTGTTATGCAGGGGGAGGAGATGCTGTAATGTTTAAAAAAATGGGCTGGGAACCTATTACCTGAGTTTGACTTCTGGCTATAACAAATATCGGTGGCTCCTAACCATTTCTAATACTATCTGGAAACGATAAAGTTTAGTAGAGCTTCGAATTTAGTTTAAAGTTCAGCAAGTTTAATGCTTGTGGCACATTGTAGCTCCTGTCCATGGACGCATCACGTGAACTAATAACACCTGAAAAGAAACATTATTACGTCCAATACTGCAAGTCAGTTTTTGCTAAATGTTTGCTTAATTAGAACCGGAGTATAAATTGTACAATAACTCCAATTGTGTTAGTTAATTTTACATGTTATACGTTGTTGTGTGCTTGATTTCCTGCTCAAATGAGTGTGGGGGTAGTGGAAGTTCCACATTACTATTGTGGGGCCCAGTTTCTCCAACGGACAACCACTGCTGCTATCCCACATGTTGGTTACCTCAATTATCACCCAAAGAGGGATGATGGATGAGTGAAACGTTTCCCATTTCGCATGTGCAGTATTCTAGTATTCTAAGTGCGTAACATTAATGCCGAGTGAGCTGTCATTGCTAGAGACAAATGCTTTTTAATTGTGCAAAAGCAGCAGCTGGATTTGTCTCGTGCTTGGTGTCTCCACGTGGCTGGGCATGAGTACTGAAAAAACAGCGAATTGACTAACGTGTGTTCTGCTCTCTGCAGGGTTCTGTTTGAGGCCTCCGTCACAAGTCAAAGCAACGCTATCACCGAGATTCACCTATAAAAACATGTATAATGTGGACGATTACTTGTACTTTGATTGTGACAGTATCTATTCCAGAAGACGTGGGTATTATCTTTACTGCAGACAGGACCATACGAAGCAAACTAATTGGGAGAATGACTGCGGTAGGGGACCATGTTGCTCATGATAGAAAATTTCACGACACTTGTCTTCACCGATTTCCTAATGATAATGCACACGGCCAGATTGACTTATTCTCATTACTTACATTCTATTATAACTGCAACCATGTCGACCATAATATACAAATTTGATATAATTAAAAAAGCGTTTACTGACTGAACAATAGCCTCATTAATCACAGAAATTCCTGATTTAAAAATAAAATTATTTCATTTTAACTAATTGATTTTAGCTGTTGATTTATAGTACAATGATTTTATTGTCGTTCAACATCCGTTGACTGTAGTGTAATGGTTTTATTTTTCTAATGTGCTATCTTGGATTACAATTTCATCAATAAAAAAGCTAAATTAATTTTGTGTCTACAGTGCAAAAGCAATGTCATGAAATTATCACACGATGGGAATGTATTGCCTGCAAAAGAGAAGTGATATTATAAAAACGGCTTAAAACTATTTCCGCATTGAACAGTTGTAAAATCTGATGTGATTTTAATGGCACACGTTAAAAAATGAAATGCAGATCCAACTATACAGCTTTGATCGTGCAATTAATTCAATGTTAAACACCCATTATTGAAGGGCAGATCAACAAAAATTAAACATAACATTGTTATATTAAATGGAGCTCAGAAGTCATAAACCAGAACAACGCTGATGCGTTTTTTGTAAGCGCATGCACGCACAATTATAGTGACATAGATTCACTGCATATTTGATATCTGATACGAATGCAACATTTGAAAAATGAATGCTCAAAATACAGGTCAATGGACAGATACATTTTCATCATCATGATCATCAAGAATTGTTTATCCATTGCTAGCTGAAGGCTTCCAAATGTCACCATTCCGCCATGGTTCTGCGCTGTAACAAGCCCAACTCCTGCACGTAGAACTGATGACAGGGCCCAGCGGAAGCGTATTCGCCACTTCTGCTAGAGGTTTGGGGTTGGAATCTTGCAGGCCGCTCTGGTTAATACTGCGGGTGGATGAATCATAAATACGTGCTCTCTGCTTCACAGTGGACATTAAAGATCTGATATTGTTTAAAATGACTAAGCCATGTTCTGCCTGTATCATGATGAAAAGTTGCCAAATTTGCCAAATAGCAATCTTCGCCTAACCCCTACTGGTTGACAGTCTACTTGCAGTCATCTTGTGGTGCACAGACAGCTGTCACTGGGGAGGTGCCCTTCGAATGTTTGAGATAAAACGTGATGCAAGGTACTCTTGAGTTTCCGAGGCATTTAAGCACCGTACATATATATCCTTTTAAAAGATTGTTAGCACCTTAGTTTAACACGCAGAAAATGTCTATTAAAGCCGATATGGCACACGACAACATGCACAATAACAACTCTTGCACAAATATATGTTCCAAAGTCATGCTCACAACATTTTAAAAGCAGTAAAGAAATAGCTTGACTGTATTTACTTAGACATAGACCGGATGAAGTCACGGCAACGACGTTGAATGGGGGTTGCCTTCAGAATATTTTGACTGGAGGAATCCGATGAGCTATGAAGCGCTTTTTCACAGATAGGAAAGGTAAACAAATCACTTAAATATATACAAATACAACTAAACTGAGGTTTTTTTTCTTACCAGGTAAAGCCCACTGAGATTTTCACTTATTTTTCAGAAGCGACCTGGCCACAAATGGTAGCTCAACAAAATGGCTCATCGTGTGGAAATTTCTAACAGCAAAATAATCTTAATCCTAGCCGGCCGGGCCACATTACACGTGGTTGGTTCACTCGTTGGGGCTCGACGTCCACCACGACGACCTCTTCCCTCTCGTCCACCTCATCACACCGCGCCTGCCACCCGCGTTTCCGTCGTTTCGACAAGACATGCTGGCCTGACTGAGGCTGCTCCGGATTCATCACACCCCCGACGTGCGCTTACGATGCCCACACGCACTCCCACACAGCGCTAGCCTCAGCACAACTACTCTCGCTTCACACAGACAACGGCCTGCTAACCACTGTACCAACTAACAACAACCTCCATTCGCCACTAAGCGATGAGGTCTCCACGGCGCTTGTGCCAGGCTATGTGCACGTTGAGGCCACGTGAAGTGTCGAACGCCCGCTGGCAGGAGGCCACGGGGCAGACCCAGCAGGTGCCACGGGTCGACTGACTGAGATAACTGGGCCGATGCACCATCTGTACCCCCTACTGTGCCAACTTGCTGTGTTTTAGCCACCCGGCGCTCCGCTCGTTGTTGTGAGCGTCGCTCCTCCGCCCTCCGTTGTTGCTGGAGGGCGACTGCCTCCAACTGCCCAGTAGCGTCCTTCACGAGCCTCCTCCACAGAGGCTGATCTTGACACCGCTGGTACCAGTCATCGGCAAGTCCACTCAGCTCCACGTCCTCCTGTACCACATCACTCCATCTCTTCTCTAGCCCGTGCCGCGCCCATTTAGCCCCCTCGATCCTAAGTCGGGTACAACCCGAGAGTGCAGAGCGAGAACATTCTCGAACGCTGCCTAACCCCCCACCCATTTTCTTGGGTTTTTTCGGTAAAGTCACGTATGTAAAAAAATTCAATAAAAATGAATTTTAATTTAAAATTTTCCCCACCCATTGTCTGTGTTTTCCCGCACTTTATCACTCTGACGCGGTTAATCATTTAGTGCCAAAATCCAATAACACCATTAAACCAAATTCGGGAGCGCTGCGATGTAAACTGCCCTGTTGGATCGAGCCAAACGCCTCGCGTCGGGAAACAACTGTCGGATATTCTATGGGTCTTTCGGTAAAGTCACGTAGATAGTGATATTCTTTTTCTATCTACGTGACTTTGCCGAAAGACCCAAAGAATATGAATTTCTGCGGTCACGAAAGCTTTAAGTCAAGATTTAACCATCGGATAGTTCCTCAAAGGAATCCTCGGGAGTAAATACCCGACTGTTAGACCTCGGCGATCTCAATCAGGACAATAATTACTACGACGCGTCTGTTGAGTGGATTCAGTCATGGGGGGAGGTGGGGGCTGAGGTGGGGGGCTGAGGTGGGGGGCTGAGGTGGGGAGTGGGTGGAGGTGGGGGCCAGGGTGCTGTTGTAGGGGGTGGGGCTGGATGCGAGGAGCGGTGGTATAGCGGTTAGCGCGCCGCGCGATGAACCTGGCCACCAGGGTTCGATTTCCGCTCATGGCCAACACCAGTGACGATTGTCTAAACCGGTCTTGGGCCTCCCCTAAGTCGACTTAATCTTAAATGAGTACCTGGTGCGGTGTGTAGTAAACATCCCCAATGGGGAGACAAAGGCGGTTGGGTGTGGCGCTGGCCACCAACACCTTCGTGTGCCATGCCGGCCTTCATAGGTGTTCGTTAACAGCACTTGCCACAACAGTCTGTTAAGGCTAGACGGGGGTGTCACATGGCACAAATTAGTGGTGGCAAGGGAGAATACAATAGAGAGTGGGGTCCACCTGTAACAGGGAAAGGGGGTTATTGAAAATAAGAAACACCTGCAGCAAACAAGGTGTCAATCGCCTGCAATTAATGTGGCCGACTTCCATTAAACAGGGATCTCCCCCCTCCCCCCACCCTGCTCTATGGAAAGAGCGCTCTGTCATAGGGGCCGTCCATAAATGACGTCACGCACCTAGGGGGGGGGGGTCAGACATTTGTGACGATGTGTGACGAAGGGGGGGGGGGAGTAAAAATTCGTCCAAAATCGCGTGACGTCATTTATGGACGGCCTCATAGCGCTACGAGGCTGAGGTTAGCTCCTAAAGGACGCTACCCAGACGATGTCAGGTGTGCACCCGCTCAGCCAATTAACGCAATTTCCGGTAATTTCATATGGGCCGAAGACGTTTCCCTTCGTGCAATGTGAGGGCGCGTGTTCGATCCCAGAACCTGACGCCTGCTGTATATTTGGAGATTGTATGTTCTCCCCATGGTCGCGTGGATTTTTCCCTCGGTCCTCCAGTTTTTTCCCATCCACATTTAGAAGCAAATGGGTTTAGAATATTTGGCTGCTATAAATTTCCACGCGGTAATCCACTTTGTTGAGCTACCATTTGTGGTCAAGTCACTTCTGAAAAAAGAGCTACATAGCTCTCTTGGCCTAACCTGGTAAAATCAAGTAAAAAGTTAATTTTTAATATGAAAAGGCAGTGGTTTCCTCAGGTGTGATACCTGGAGCCATCCTCTGGAATATGGTTCATTTCGTGGGGTATCTGAATTTATCTCAGAGATCAGTAGACATTTCCTCCACCAATTGTATTTCTATAATGTGTTTTGGTTCCATTTTGCTCTCTTTACGGATATTATATCAGTTTGAGGTCATTTTCTCATGATTTTACAGAGTTCTGTGTTATTTTACTTTTCGAACTTTTAGCCTTGTCACGTTCCATTATAACAATAATCACCTGTGCACCATCTACATACCCTTTAATTCACACATGCCGTGTTATGCCCACATTGAGAAGCTGGTTATTTTTTTCATACATTTCATATCAACTTCATTGACACAAACTAAAATGTAAATTACAATGCAAAAGCAGTTAAATATTTTCCACTTTAAATTTTATTGCCAGACCTTTATTCTTGGGAGATTAGGACTGCTAAATGAAATGTACTGTAATTCAGCAGCTTGTACGAACAGAAAATGATACAAAACATTAAATTGGTGTATAAGACATTATACTTGTGCTCATCTTACATTCTAACTATTGTGAATAAAAAATGTGATGGGTGTGACAGTTTTGACAATGCAGTAACTTTGAGGCAGGCTTGGTCGTTCTTCAAACGATGCACGTATTTTCAGTTCAACGTAGTGCTAATAATCAGGAACATAAAATAAGATCAACAAGGGTGTAGGTGTGTCTGCATTGTGGAATTTAATAATTTGTGCATATTGCTACAGAAAAACAATGCATTAAGCTGGACCCAAAGAGTGACCAACGGAGAAGTAAGAAAAAGGTTGCACATAGAAGACCTCTCATGCAGGCGGTGATGAGACGGAAACTGGCACTATTTGGACACATGGAGAATGGACAACAGGAAAATTTAAAGTGTTCAGGGGAAAAATGGAAGGAACAGAAAAGAGAGGAAGACCTACCAGAGAATGTCTTGATGACATAAGAGATTGGTGCGAGAAAGATGTGCACGACTTGAGCATATTGGCACAAGACAGAGGAAAGTTAAAACAAACAAATTACGGAATGTGCAGTGGACACCTCCGGGCTATCTGCCAATGGATTGTGATGATGATGATTTTTATACGTGAGGTTTTGTTCTGCCTACCGGCAGGTGTTTTGCTCCACGGCAGGAGTGGGGGTGTGTGTATACAGGAATTTCCTGTTTTGAGGTTGAGTTTGGTCACGTGACCAGGAAGTTACGATTTGACAGTCTTTCAGCCACGAGGCTAGAGTCCGCCATTACGCAGAGTGCAAGATGGTGGCACAAATCACGTCCCAGTGAAGACAGCTGTAACTGTACATTGTGGGACTTTAAGAAGCATTGTCTGTAAGTTCGTTTATGTTCTTATAATATCGGGAATGCTGTTATAATGTTAGAATGACCGTTATAATGCTGTAAATGCCTTTATAATGCTGTTAAATTGTTATGATAAATACGAGGCCTAGTTAACAACGAAGCCTGCAACTTGCCTTATTGTGAATGTTACTTGTAATTGAATAAGTCGAGTCAAACCTGTACCCAAGTAACTATATTGAGATCTTGAGAGCAAGGATGACGAAATGCCTCATCCACAGCTCTGTGTTGAATGTAGTGCTGTACATTTGGGGTGCAGTGTGATGATTGCACGATGTGCCTTTATTTAACACAGTAGCTTGTTCTCTTGTATAGCTATGCAGTGCTAATGTAGGTGCCTGGTCCATCCAGGATCTATTGTTGAGAAACATGTTATCTCAGGCAATGTAATGATGCTGTAATCTTCATTCATTATATTGATATTTCCAAGTATTAACAGATGCTGTATTTGTGCTGTGTTTTTCCAGCAGGTTTACCTTGTTCAATTCAATAAATTACGTTTGGAGTCGGATGTTCACCCTGGCTCTGAAGGTTTATTGGATGCGAGGTTAACTACTCAGATAGCGGTGCAATGCAGCGCACAGCGAGGCCGAGACAGGTTTTCTTCGGAATTCTAGTTTCATCATCGTGTGAAGCATTCTCAGGCTGCATTTTTTACAGGCTTATAAGCTTCAATACAAGTGGGATTTGCCAGCCAAGACAACAGTTTCAGCCCAACTTATTTCATCTGTGAGCTGCTCCTAACTGTATCAATGCAAAGTCACGTCTGAGGCTGGAATTTCTAACTTGTGTTGAGCTTAAGAGTTTATTAAACACATTTTTGGCCACAAAATTTATTTTTTCAATTACTCAAACATTTTATACGCAAATAGATTCACATGTATATTTTTGCCATTTGCCAAAGTAAAAAACGAAAAGAAAATAGGGTGGCATGGTGGCGCAGTGGTAATGAGTGTGCTTCAACAATAAAATCATGGGTTTGATTCTTGACTTGGGTGTCTTTTCTACATGAACGGTGTATGTTTTGCGGGGGTTTTGTCAGGTTTTTCTGGTTTCCTCCCAAAGCTAAAAACACACAATGTAACTGGTATTGGCCAAACATCCCAATGCTATAAAAATAATTGAAAATTACTCAATCAGGATTACACACAGCAACAGCAGCTGTAACTGAGAAGAAACACTTTACAGGACCCCCGTGCAAAAGTCTTGATGTGATTAGACTTATGGGTAAACAAAGGTAATAATAAAAATAATATCATTTTAAATTAATTTCCACAACACCGTTTTAGGTTCCACGTTGATCATGGTAGATTAATGCTGACATTTTACTGAAGAGCCATCCAGACCGCAGTTTAAGAAAATGATTGCAATGGTGTATAAGCACAAACTAAAGAAAATCAATACTATTGTTATTAACACTGCCTGATAACATACATATATTAATCAAGATACACATTAGCATTACAGCCCAGGCGATGGTCCTTCAAAAGAGCAACCATGTCCGTTGCGTAAATTTTGAAATGTTAGCTTATTACCGTACATTATATATCCGACCATCACATATCCGCACTGACCAATTGACCGCCTGCACCCAGTGCAGTGTTGGTGTTGTGGTGGCGTAACTCATTTTCTAAAGATGTTCACACATCTGCCCATTTCACGCATGCACATGACGATATACCTCAATTTCCAGAAAGTTGCATTTTAAATATTGTACTGAATATGGTTATAAGTTAAAAGACAGGTGAAGATCGCAATGACAACAAAAAGTGGTTGAGAAACAGTGTTGAGGAATTGTCTTGCAAATGCTAATGAGATTGCATCACTCGTTTTATGATTAAACGCAAGTTATATTTTTCTTTTTTTTTATTCAGACCAAAGGAAATGAACAAACGTTCAGAGCAAGATTATCATGTAAGAGTCTTAAACACTTAGTGGAGCTTTCCTAAATTAACAAGTAAAGATGCTTTCAGAAAATAGCTTGCAGTGTCAGCCACACCAGGAGATGCTGTTGTTTGAGCCACACCAGACACCGTCTGGGTAGCACCTCTTGCAACTGCGCCCACCTCCTCCTCGTTCCAGGAGCCAAGGAAACATCGCTTATGTGAGATGCTGCTGCTCCAACTGAAGACCTTTGGAGGGGTCCCCTATGGGCAGTGGTGTTTTGGAGGGGGTAGAGGGAGTGGTGTGTTGAGAGTGCGATGTTAAAAGAGTGGTGTGTTCACAAATCATTGTGGTGGAAAATAGGATCCATGAAGATAATCCCCATACCACCATGGATAAGAGTCAGGCCACTTAATTATCATTGTCACTATTTCAAGAAGGAATCCCACTATAAAATACATTTTAGGACTAAGAAAAAATATAACATCCCCCATGAAAATAAAATATTAAATTTTCAAGTCTATCAGCCTATGAACTTTCCAGAGCAATGTTTTCCAGCAGCATTTGTTTAAGTGGTTACACTGTAGGCTGGTTTAAACTGTTTTGAGTCCCAACAGCTTTGTCAGGCCTGTTAAAACAAATGCTCCTTGGTTTGCCAGATGTTACAAGCAAGAAGGTGGAGAACCCCAGTATAATACATCGGGGTTCACGACCATTACGATCATGAGTTTCTTATGGGTTAGTGTAGGTATAGTGTAAATGTTTAACCATCCCCCTCCACCATCCGACAGCCAATAAAATCAAGTTGTCACATCAGCAAATGAGGCATTTGATTTGTTTAAAAAAAAAAATTGTGGAATGCTGCAAAAAAAGATTTTTTAAAATCAATTTTATACGACGGACATCCAGCAGCATCAGGTGTGAACACAAGCTCTGTTCTCGCATGAAAAACTGTCCTGATCTGAGTCCATAAGTAGGAAGTACACGTATTGCTTGCATTTGCTGAAAAAAACAATCAGTTGGTCTCTTTGCCCATGAGGTGTCGGGTGGTGGAGGGCGATAGTTGCATTTGATATTAATCCTACACGATGATGTAACCTGAAATTAACTATGAATCACTTTGTAAGTTTGTGTATTTGTCTTTGACACCACTACGATTTTTCGATTTAAAGCTTTCGTGACTGCAGGGATTCATCTTCTTGGTTCTTTCGGTAAAGTCACGTAGAAGGGAAGTAATAAAATACGTGACTTTACCGAAAGAACCAAGAAGACCACTACGATTATCTGTGTCCATCTCTCCTTCCACACATTACAACTTTGCGCTCTCATTGAGCAAGCTGGAGTAAGCTTGCTCCTTTTATAATCCCATAATCTATTACAGAACAAGAAGGAGATGAAGAGCAGTACTGTCATCACATCAGTGCCCACATTCAATTGTCTTTCACGAATGCAGCTGAAGGGAAAGAGTCAGATGGCCAGGCCTGGCTACTTTCGCCATACCAATTGCCTATCCCTAAAGGGCCCTATTCTTAGCTACGGCTCGGCGCAGGTTTGACTCTGGCCTAAGTGAGCCAGCTCGGAGCGGTGCTTAACCTGAGTCACCTCTGAGCATGGTCCCAGCTATGCTCAAATTATTTTATGAACCGAGCCTGAGCCAAGCTATGGCTGAGCAGCTCATGCATCTTTGCAATGCAGCAGAGCGGTTCATGCCTGAGCTGATCCGTGTGAGAAAGTCAATCCAGAGTCGAGCCATTGCTAAGAATACGGCCCTAAGGCTGAGTCTTGGAAACAGTGGCGGGCGATGAAGCCGTGCTTGCCTGTGGTGGGCCCTGCATTGTGGTTCCCGGCCCGGTCCTCACGTTGACACACGGGGAGGGTGAACGACCACGTCCCGTCCGCCATGCACTCCCTGGTCGTGTGTCGCTCCGAGATGATGTACCTTGCAGGAGGGATCGCGGGAAAGCAGAGCAATTCGAAGAAAAGCCAGTCGAGTGATTGTGGGCATCCAACCAATCTATGAACAATTAACTACTGTAGCCTGCGCACCTTCAACAGAGGAATAGCACAACTGCATGAACACTCTCCTAAAGCCCTCTCTCGTAGCTCGAAGCATACCTCTAAGTTGACATTAGTTCCTGAAGGTATTTGCCAGAGGCAAGAGGAGAATAGTGTTATAAATGTGAATGTACAGCCCTGCAATTACTTCCTCAATCCACTGCTGGTGGAAGGAACTCCACTACAGAGAGGTACAGATATACCATCGAGAAGGGATTCCCTTGAGAGGGTATATATTGGCCTACTTTTCTAGCCTGGCCAGACATCTCTGAAGACGTGGCAGCACCCACATTTACCACCGGCCGCCCCATCAATTGTGGACAGGCCAAACATTTTTGGAACTATACCAGTTCTTAAAAACAATGGGACAAATTACTTTTGTGTTTTGGCTGAATTTGATGTATGTATTTACGTTGACCTTCTTCGCACCATATGTAGCCAACCATGCTAATCGGAGTTGCGGGGGAAGGACAAACTAAACACAAAAAAACTGTTCTCAAAAAAAAAATCTATTTAGATTTAAAAGTGCATAGCTCCAGTGGCATCCTCATATCAGAAGGAAGAGCGTTCCAGACGGCCACAAGCACATCTGAAAGCGCGCAATGCGATCTTTATTCGATGGCTTGCCAAACGCCGCTGTGAGGATGACCATAGTTTGCGTGATGGTTTATGCTCCTTGCCGAAATCAGCAAGGTATCGTGGTTCATTGTGGAAAGCACTTTGTGTGTAATGTGCACGGCCTTATAATGTATTTGTTTGGCAACTGGAAGCCAATGCAGCTGTGAAGACCAGACATGGTGATGTACAAGACATCCAACACCTTGGGGCTCTGTTTCAGTGTTCGTTTTCTCGGCTCGACTCTCACACTCGCTGCCGAACACTCCTTTTTCCTTTTTTAAAATCCTTTATATTAAGTTCGCATGCTTGCTTGCTTGCGTGCTTGCTTGCTTGCTTACGACCGTGCAAATCTTTCGGTCGTTTTTTAACCCACCTCCCGTGATCCAATCGAGCTGACATTTTCCACACAGACTCGTTGTGCCAGACAATTAATGTTCGTGAAAAAAAATTCCCAAAATTTTACACTTTTTAGGCAACAAAAAATATTTTACATATATTCAAATAGAACTCATTCATCGCTTTGGCTGAACGTCACAGTATAAGAGCCCAGAGCGTAACCCCTCCACAGGCCGTGGCGGAGTAGCGCAGTTGGTAGCGCCCTCGCTTCCCATGCCAAAGGTCGCGGGATCGATCCCCGCGTCCTCCACAGGCGAATATATTTTTAAATCCTTTATATTAAGTTCGCTGCCACGCATATAAAGGATTTATAGTGAAAAACTTTGTTTTTACGGGTTATACTTATTCCCTCTGTTATTCCCTGAGTCCCAAATGTATTTGTCATACACCTCTATTTTTTCCTTGATCACAACGGGGGGTGCTACCCACTATCACACGTGGTTAGGTCGTTCGGTCATCGTGTAACCTGGTTATGTTTTCCATTGTTTTGCCGTGTTAAATATACAAATACAATTAAATGACAAAAAAGGGATAAATAGGTCTTTATTGAGTGCTACACAACGTTGAACGGTACCCTAGAGCAGATGTATCCATCTTGAAGCCACAAAACTCACCCTTCATTGCAGGAGTACTTTACTTTGCTTCCAAACGTGAAGTTGGACTCCGTGAAATAGCCGTTTTCTATTTCGCCGGGGTGTCTGCACTGCTTTGCTGAAAAATATCGACGATAATCGATCATCAGTCAATACACAACAGAGTTATTATATGGGTGCTTTAAAAAAATGTTAACACTTATATGGAAAAAGAACGGATAATACATTGTAATGTGATAACAAATATATGTTCATAGCTTAAAAAAATCAAAGAGTTTCCACTTGTTCGCCATCATTGTCAACACATGCGTGGAATTTTCTCCAGGTGGTCTCCAGAGCCCGGAGGCACATTTCTTGTTGTATTGTTGCAAATTCTCCTAAGTGTTAACATTTTTTGAAGCACCCTTTACAATAACTGGACTAATTGTATGTGCTTCTCAATTAAATTGACTCAAACATTCTGTAATATACTAGGCACATGCCTTTTCTGGACCTGGTAACAGGACATGACCCTGGGACTGCAATTATCCACCAATCCCTTGCCTCCAAGGCGCTGCATCACAGAAACCTGTGACGACCCCCCAGCTCAAAGCATTTCTCAAGCCACGAAAAACACTGTTGCAGAAACTAAAGGTGTGACTTTTCAGTCGTCGCCCAAATTTAGTTGAATATGAAAATATTACTCCCAAATTACTTAACTGGGGGGGGGGGGGGGGGGGGGGAGGAGGCAGAAGAAAACAAATCCACGTTGCAATCATCACCCATAACTATCAGACTCATTCCACCAGTATAAATACACATGTAAAGACAGTACAGGGGACTAGCAGTCACAGGGGGTAATGACAGGGGAATTAGCAAAGGATGAGACTAGGGGCCACAGGGGGTAATAAGTTAAGGGACAGACAAGGGAACGATCTCGGGTCTACGAGAAGGATCGAGAATAGGGGCTGTGGCCAAGCGACAGAAGGGGACAGGTGCGGATCAAGGATCGAGAGCCAGCGAGAGGGTTCGAGAGTATGGGCGTGGACAAGGGTCAAGTGATGGCCACGCTAGGGATAAAAGGGGTCGAGAGGAGAGGCTCGGGGCTGCTACTGAAGTCGGGGTCTTCGCTGTCAAGTGAACGTGTCTTAATATAAAGAATCATCAAATAGCAGTGTCTCCTGGAGTCGATACACATAGTCTGATTGCGATTTGCAGGCCGGCACTGCATTGACCTCGTCAGAGCTTCGAATGAAAAAAAATCATCACCTGGCATGAACCATCACAAAAAATAAAGCAAAATACATTCTTGAACAGGATGTACGTTCGTGCAAAAAACACTTATCAACACGAGAGTTTTCCAGTCAAGAAAGATGAAGACCACAGGTTGGGAATCGGGAAGCACTCCTTTCCTTGTAGGCACTTTGTATCTCACAGGGGCAGCTCATAGCAGAGTCCCCCTTTGGTAAACTGCAGAAGCGCATTGGGCTAAGTACCCTATGAATGCAAATCATAAATCCTCAAAACGATGGCGAGGGGGTGGGGGGCTTGTGTCTCACGCGTGCAGGTGAGGCGGTGGTTGGTCCAGGAGGCCGAGTCCTGGCTCCCGACGCACGAGATGGTGTACGACGAGTTGGAGGATACGGTGTGGCCGGGAGAGCAGCGGTAGCGCAGCACCGTGCCCACCCTGAAGCGCAGCACCGAAAGGAGTCCCGGAGGCAGCTCGGCGTTGGGCACTTGAGGGGGAGTCCCGCACTCGCCACTGGGAGGCGCTGCACACAGACACGTGGGAATCGGCGAGTGTGAGCTCGGGTAAGGGGGCCGTCCATAAATTACATCACGCGATTTTGGACGATTTTTGATCCCCCCCCCCGCACTCGTCACACGGCGTCACTAAAAGTCAGACCCCCTCTCAAATATGACGTCACAAAGCTCTGCCCCCCCCCCCCCCCAAATAAATAAAACATGCTTCAAATCGCTTTAAACTATTGTCATTGTAGTGCGTATTTAATGTGCCGCTGCACTCTGATGTTGTAGGAGAACACATTTATTAAGTCTCTTTAAATTTCGATTTAAAGCTTTCGTGACTGCAGGGATTCATCTTCTTGGTTCTTTCGGTAAAGTCACGTAGAAGGGAAGTAATAAAATAATAAAAATAAAACATAATAAAACAATTCTCACGACGTTTCGGCCACAACGCAAGCAGCCGTCCTCAGGTGAAAACCAGGTCCGTCGAGGCGACAGAGTCTGAATGAAACAGCACACGAGCTTGGAGTATATATATAAGCTGGGCGCATTGACAAAGGAATTTGCATATCAAAAGGAATTTAGCATATTTATGGGAAATGCAGGAATGTGATTAGTACTGCATATGCATGTGCATTATGCAGGATTAACAGCATCAAAGGGAGCTGCAGTTACTGCTGCTGCAGCAGTTGCTGCTGCTGCTGCAGTTTCTGCTGCTGCTGCTGCAGTTGCTGCTGCTGCAGTTGCTGCTGCTGCAGTTGCTGGTCTTGAAAGGCTCAAGACCATCACCTTACCCTACATTGCTGGGGTCACAAAAAAGATCTCCAAAATCCTGATTAAACACAAGATCCAGGTCCGATTCAACACAGTACATAAAATCCGTGATCTGGTCCCGTCTGTAAAAGATGTGGTTCCAGACATACAGTACCCTGGCGTCTACAAACTAAGTTGCCTCTGTGGTAGCAGTTACATTGGAGAAACCAAACGACATGTCTCGGACCGCATCCGTGAACATAAGGCAGACCTGAAACACGGTAGGACAAACACCTCAGCCGTGGCAGATCACTGTTACAATTCAGTGGGCTCACATGACATTGACTTCTCCAAGACAGAGGTTCTCTGCAAGCCATCTAGCTATCATGAGAGATTCGTTCATGAGGCGATCCACATATACAAACACAGAGACAATTTCAACCGAGAAGATGGATTCTGGCTTAGCAATCATTGGAAGGACGTAATAAACCATTTCGGATCTTAACTGATTGTGTTCACGTTTACGGTGACTTTCAGACCGCGTTCCACTCACTGGCATGGTGCAGTGTGCAGAGTAATGTATGGTGTCGTAATTGTACAGTAAACATATAGCAGTATGATACACATTAGGGTGGGTAGAATAATACATAGTGTTATATTAAAATGGATAAGGCAGCAACTGCAGCAGCAGCAGCAAGTGCAGCAGCAGCAGCAAGTGCAGCAGCAGCAGCAGCAGCAGCAGCAGCAGCAAGTGCAGCAGCAGCAGCAAGTGCAGCAGCAGCAACTGCAGCAGCAGCAACTGCAGCAGCAGCAGAAACTGCAGCAGCAGCAGCAACTGCTGCAGCAGCAGTAACTGCAGCTCCCTTTGATGCTGTTAATCCTGCATAATGCACATGCATATGCAGTACTAATCACATTCCTGCATTTCCCATAAATATGCTAAATTCCTTTTGATATGCAAATTCCTTTGTCGATGCGCCCAGCTTATATATATACTCCAAGCTCGTGTGCTGTTTCATTCAGACTCTGTCGCCTCGACGGACCTGGTTTTCACCTGAGGACGGCTGCTTGCGTTGTGGCCGAAACGTCGTGAGAATTGTTTTATTATGTTTTATTTTTATTATTTTATTACTTCCCTTCTACGTGACTTTACCGAAAGAACCAAGAAGATAAGTCTCTTTAATTAAGTAGAGCGTGTTGTCTATATTTATTTAAAGTTGCGCATTTTGATGTAACGTCACATTTATCAAACCCCACCCCCCTCGTCACACATCGTCACAAATGTCTGACCCCCCCCCCCTCCCCTAGGTGCGTGACGTCATTTATGGACGGCCCCTAATTGGTGAGTGTGAGCCCGTGGAATTGGTGAGTGAGAGCCCGTGGAATTGGTGAGTGTGAGCCCGTGGAATTGGTGTGTGATAACTCATTGAATTGGTGAGTGCGAGCCCGTGGAATTGGTGAGTTTGAGCTCACCTCTGCATTTTGGCTCCGTCCCGTTCCACGTCCCCGCGTCTGTGCACATGCGCACGTTGGGCCCCTCCAGCACGAGCCCCTCGTGACAAACGTAGATGACGCGGTTCGGGTTCTCCCGGTCCGTCACCCACTCTCCGTGCTGCAGCTCAGGCGGTGCCTCGCACTTTATGCCTGTGAGTTGTTTGTGTATTCACAAATCCCTCAGTACCGACACTCGCCTTCACATGAATCGTTAACATTCCTACGAGATGTGCTTTTCGGTTTAAATGCGTGCTGTTTGACACGTGGTACAATCCGAGCACACATCGCGAAAAAAACCTAAGAAGTCACAATATAATCGTTTCACATGGTCGTTTTAAAGTATCAAGTCATGTAATTATCCAGGAAACATCTGTGTTACTGTAATCACACTGCTCAGCCACATAGCTCAAGAAAGTAGTTTTCCATCGACAGCTCAGAGACCGCGTGAGAACGGTGCATATTCCACGCTGTTCCCTAACGGCAGAACCGCATTATGGCGAAAACACGTGTAAACACGTGTTAACCGAGGACTTGCCATACTCATACTCTTGTGCGGGATGGGTGGACGTCTTTCAAGAGGTGGGAGTGATAACGATGATGACGACATCAGTGTGAGCAATGACGGTGACTTTTGACAGCCTAGACGGAGACGAGAAGTGACGATGCCGACGATGAAAGCGCCCACGCAGACGACGACGACGACAACGACGGCGATGACGGCGATGACGGCGACGCATTCCCCACGAGTTTGCGATGCTCTGGCCTCACCGGTGCAGGTGAAGCGATGGGCGCTCCACCCGGCCACGTCGTGGTTCACGGTGCACTTGATGGTGTGGAAGGCGCCCTGGGACATGACGTAGCCTGGCTTGCAGCGGTAGCGCAGCACGGTGTCCACCTCGTAGCTACTCCGCTCCGCGCCGTCCGCGGGCAGCTCCGCGTTATCCACGTGGGGGGGTGCTCCACACTCCTCGCGCAGGGCACCTGCAAGACACGGGGCACAGCGCACCAGCCACGCCGCAACCATCGGCCACTGGACCGTAGCAGCGTCGCGCAGTACGAATGAATACTCTGCAAGAAACGCAAACGATTACAGCCAACTCCCGCCGCCCCCCCCCCCCACCCCCTTACGTCTGCACATCGGTTCGCTGCCGCTCCACGTCCCTGCGTTGGTGCACACGCGCACAGAAGGTCCCTCCAGCACGAGTCCCTTGTCGCAGACGTACTTCACCAGCGTGGGGTCGTCGGGGATCAACAGCAACTTCCCGTTCACAATACCCGGGAGTTTCTCGCACACACTCTCTGCGAAACGTAAAAGCGGTTTTAAATTCGTTAATTCCCATCATCACACTTGTAAGTAGAGATGTAATGGGCAAAATTGCACAAAATATGCACTTATGTATGATGAACTTCTTTTGCACCGTATATATAGCCAACCGTGCTTATTGGAGGTACAGGGAAGGACAACAAGGACAACAAACTAAACACAAAAAGCAGTTTGCATGCAGTGCATGTTCTCCCCGTGGTCATGTGGATTTTTATCCGGGTCCTCCAGTTTTTCCCTCCACATTTAGAATCAACGCGCATTTAGAGTATTTTGCTGCTCTACATTTCCACGCGATGACGATCCACTTCGTTGAGCTATCATTTATGGCCAGGTCGCTTCTGAAAAAATATCTATACAGTGCTCAGTGGGCCTTACCTGTGTAAAATAAATGTATTTTTTTCATATTCCTTGGTTCTTTCGGTAAAGTCACTTCGATAGAAGATAAAAAATATATAGATAAAAAAACTAAAATTAAACTCACGATGTTTTGATCGCAACACAAGCAGTCATCATCAGGCGGAAAGAAAAAAGGGGGGCAAGCCTCTAACTGCAACTGCTTATAAAAGGTCTAAAATGGGCGCAAGAGCAGTGGAGCAGCATGAACGGACAAGCTAAAGTTGTGAGCGGGTGGAGCACAAGTTTTATTTTAATTCCTTACAACCACCAGGGGGCTACACTGACGCCACCCACCCTCTGCCACCGGCCGTCGCGGCGGAGACCCTGGCGCCGCCACCCCGCCTACCCCCCTGGTCCATACCTCTGCACCACGGCTCCTCGCCGCTCCACGTGCCGTCCGCCTGGCAGGTGCGCGTCGTCGACCCCACCAGCTGCAGCTTCTCCTCCTCACAGCTGTGCGAGATGACGCCGTTGTACTCGGCCCTGCTCGGCCGCTGTATCACCACGCCGGGCTTGGGTCGCGGCCACTCGCACGTGGCGGCTGTTCCACGTGCGCAGACAGAGAAAGACAAAGATTCCCCTGTATGAGCCCGAAGAGACTTTTGCTGGCAAGCGCTGTTAGCGAGTGGCACCTACGAAGGCCAACACGGTACACAAGGGGGGTTGGGTCGCCAGCGCCATGCCCGACCGCCTTTGTCTCCCCAGCCGACCCGGAGAAAAATCAACGTGACCATGGGTTGTACATGCAAACTCCAAATATACAGGCGTCAAGGTCGGGATGGAACCCACGACTTCCTGGAAACCAGGCAGGGTAGTTAACATCTTGCCACCACTTATGGAGTAGATACTTGGCATGTGTCATTCAAGGCCACGGTGTGGGGGAAGTAGAGGTGCTGTGACAGACAGTGGCAGGCTATGACGTGCGTATGTGCTGAATGGTGGTGCAGCGGTTAGCGCACTGCATTACTTACCTGGATACCGAGGCTACCTGACTTCGATTCCTGCTCATGACCAATAACAGTGGCGAATATCTGAACTGGTACCGGGCCTGTGTGTAAACATCGCCACTCAGGAGACAAAGGCGGTCGGGCGTGGTGCTGGCTACCCCGTTGTGTGCCGTGGCGGCCTTCGTAGGTGCTTTTCCACCCCAACAGTCTGTTAAAGGCTATAAGGGGAACTTTATCTTTACTGTGGTGGGGCCTGCACTTTGGGTCCTGCCCAGGTCCTTACGTTGACAAATAGGGAGGGCGAACGACCACGTCCCGTCTGCCATGCACTCCCTGGTGGTGTGTCGCTCCGAGATGGTGTACCTTGCGGGAGGGTTCGCAGGAAAAGCAGAGCAAGTTAGAGAGGTGCACGAGCAGAGGCATCATCACAGACCCAACACGCACAGCCCTTTGGTCAACGCACTGCTGGACGAGGGCCTCTCTCGCGCCGTGCGGAGCATGGGGGCGAATTGACCAAGCTTCATCACGCCGGTCGGTGCCGATTGGTGAAGGCGGGCAGTATAGGCGTAACATTACTCGAAGTTTAGTACAGTGTGGATTTGCATTATTATTATAATGCAAGGCTATCACGAAGGCACTGTGTACGTACATATGTAGAACTTCTTTCGCACCGTACGTAGCCAACCATGCTAATCGGAGGTGCGAAATGAAAGTGGGCCACGTGATAATGCAGGCCATTGCATGATGTTGGGTACCACTCAAACGTTACCATCTCGGGTAGTATCAAGAAGTAGCTTATTTGGTCTGGGTGTGTCGACTATGTAAATTCCCTTGGTGTGGCCCGTCGAGGTATGGCCCACAGAGAAGCGGTTTTCCCGAGACGTAGGGGGTTGCAGATGAGTGAACTAAAGGAGAGATTAACAAGAGCTAGAGATGAGCGAGTTGTCAGACGAGACAGATAAGTGCGATGTGATACGAGAGATGTATGTATACTGAACTTCTCTCGCACCCTACGTGGCCAACCGTGATTATGGGAGGTGCGAGTGTTTCACAGTCGGGTATGCTCTGCCAGTATGGGGAAATATTTCAATGTGGTTTCATCCGACCGGGCAATAAAGTGTTGTGGCCGAAACGTGAAGAGAATTTTATAATGTTTTATTTTTATTATTTTATTATTTCCCTTCTACCTGACTTTACCAAAAGATCCAAGAATATAAATCCCTGCAGTCACGATAGCTTTAAATCGAAAATTAAACATGCCTCGCTTGAGAGAGCTCTAAGTTCACCAACTCACCCTTTGTTGCAGTAGTACGTGACTTTGCTTCCAAATGTAAATATTGTTCCGGTCATATATCCATTGTCAATTTCACCAGGGTAACTGCAGACCTTTGCTGCAAACATTTCAGTGGACAACAAGCCAGAAATAAGTATTCTGGTAAAAGGCAAAGATAAAGGTGCAGCCCTGCAATTTCTTGCTCATGCCATTGCTGGCGGAAGGGCCTCCAGTACGGCGAGCTCTAGAGAACCCATTTCGAGGGTATGTGGGCCTACCCTTCCACACTGGCCAAATTTCGGCCCCATACTGATGGGTGGCGACATGGCCCAACATCAGTGCATTTGCCGCTTGTTGTAGTGGGTCGTTGTTCAAATCCGGCAGGCTGCCCCGGTTATTACTGCAGGTGCATTGCCCATAATACATGCACCGTCTGCTTCACCATCGACGTTAAAGATTCCACGATGTAATTTTTGACACGAGTAGGCCATTGCGTGCTGGCGTCATGGTCCAAATTTTTAAAAAGTACCTGAAAATTACTCATTTGTGATAAAGCATAGTCATCTTGCACCCCTCTCCTGGCAGATTACTGCCCACATTCAGACTGTTGCTGAGCCACCTTGTGTCGCACAGAGACACCTGCCTCTTTGGGTGCTCTTAAAATGGCTGACAAGAGATGTGATGGGAAGGGCTCCGGGCTGCAGAAATATTTATGCAGCATATCTATCCAAAGGTAATTATTATTAAAGCCACCTCGGTTTCACTGCCCAATATCATCACAGCTTCACTGCTTGTACATATGTATATTGAACTTCTTTCGCACCGTACGTAACCAACTGTGCTAATCGGAGGCGCGGGGGAAGGACAAATGACAACAAACTAAACACAATTAACTTCTAAAGGAATGAGTTATCAATCTAGATGTAAAAGTTCAGAGCTCCAGTGCCTTCTAATTATCGTAAAGAAGAGCGTTCCATGACGGCTAAAGAAGCGCACCATCGCGTCATTGCGGTGTCACCGTGTGCAGTGGTGCTCGCCACATTCGCCTCGTGCCACACAGAGACAGCTGCCTCAAGGGGTGCCCTCGGCTAAATGGCAGCGGGGCATCGGGGACGGTTGGGATGGGATGTGATATTGTGCGCTTTTTAATTGCCGAGACATTTTAAGCGAGCGGCCTATAAAACGCGAATCCTAAATCCCCCATGCGCAATTGGGACGGGCTTTGTGTCTCACGCAGGCAGGTGAGTCGTGGGGTACTCCAGGTGACACCGTGCTCCTGGACGGTGCAGGAGATGGTGTAGGAGGAATCGGAGGTGACGGCGTGGCCGGCGGAACAGCGGTAGCGAAGCAGCGTGCCCACTCTGAAGCTCGAGATGATCGCCAGCTTCAGAGGCAGTTCGGCATTGGTGATTTGAGGAGGAGGCCCGCACTCATTGCTTGGTATTTCTGGTGGGGGTGGGTGGGTGGATGGGGAATTCAAATAATTTCACAATATTCTCTCGCTGTCATAGAGAGAGAACGACTGAGAGGGTGCGAGGGGCCACGGACGAGCAGGAAGGCAGCCATTCGATGAGCCGGCGCCAACAATTTCCCAAGCTCTGCGGTCCTCTAGATATTAAGTTTTTATCGGCCAAATAAAGAGTGTTTCAACGTGGCTGGAAACTGCAGCACCCAGATAAAATGCACGCTTGTGAGAGGGAAACACTCTATCCTATACAGATGGAACAAGGTGGCGTCTACATTTTATGCTCGAATGCTCACCAGCCAGGCTATGGCCTTTCCTCGAGACTCACAGGAAGTTTTTGTAACATTTGTACAGTTATCCACCAACCCTCACTGTCTCCACAGTGCTGGATTACAGGCCATGTGCATAGCCACCACTGCTCATATCACAGGGGCTTTTTAAAAACATATATCGTTATGAATATCATTTAACATAACATAGTCAAACGTTCAATGAGGCGCCAGTTATTATTGTTTAGAGTGAGCTGAAACAATAATAATTGTCATTTATTATAGACCAATCACATAATTTATTAACCCAGCTAAACCATCCAAAGGAAGGTTGGGTGGAAACACAACTGCCATGGTGTTTATACATTATATCCCCCTGCGAATAGTGGCAAAAGATAAATGTTAAATCCACCTTCAAATCTTTTATTGACCATCTATCTTGGTGCTGTGACGCCTGGTATTGGTGAATGAGTTCGGAGAATTTGGGCATATGAACTCATGGAATTGGTGAGAATTAACTAATGGAATTCGTGAGTGTAAACTTGTGGAAGTGGTGAGAATGAACTCGTGGAATTGGTGAGAATGAACTCGTGGAATTGGTGAGAATGAACTCGTGGAATTAGTGAGTGTGAGCCCATGGAATTAGTGAGTGTGAGCCCATGGAATTGATGACTGTAAACTAATGGAATTGATGAGTGTGAACTTGTGGAATTGGTGAGAATTAACTCGTGGCATTGGTGAGTGTGAGCTCGTGGAATTGGTGAGTGAGAACTCATTGAATTGCTGAGTGAGCTCATGGAATTGGTGAATGTGAGCTCACCTCTGCACTTCGGCTCCGTCCCGCTCCACGTCCCCGCGTCTGTGCACATGCGCACGTTGGGCCCCTCCAGCACGAGCCCCTCGTGACAAACGTAGATGACGCGGTTCGGGTTAGCCCGGTCCACCACCACCTCTCCGTGCTGCAGCTCAAGCGGTGTCTCGCACTTTATCCCTGTGGGCTCGAAAAAAACAAATTCCCAATGGATTATCGTGGACATGTGTACACGTAAATGCATATCCCTTTTGATAAATCTAGTGCTGGGTGATGAAGGTATCCCCACTTTATTGGCTTTCGTCGTTTCTTCGCAGTATGCCCGACATCCCACATTACCAGAAAGGTTCTTCCCACAGATTTCCTTTGAGAGATCCTACTGTAATATAGGTCATCTTATATATAAATATAATATATTCAAAAATCACCGTACTCCCTAAAAATAAATAAGCAACTTGTCTCCTTCACCTATCCATCTCTCCACATGAAATATTAAAGTATTTCTTACACGACCCATCAGCCTTCTGGGAGTGTATAATTTCAGTAGCATTGATTTTGAATACTTATTTTAGTTACATATACGTGGAGAGACAGATACGAGATTGAGACACATTGCCTGCTTATTCACGTTACTTATCGTTTGTCTTACCCCCCCCTCAGTCGGGCCTGCCTGGCAATGCTGCACGGCCTAAAACGACATCCCCGGTGAAAACGATCGGCGGCTCGTGTCCTCTCCAGCAACGGGATCCTAGCACAGAGTGTTTGCCACGTGTGCCCCCCCCCCCCCGCGCGCTGCCCGCTTACGGTGGCAGCGTGGGTTGCTGCCGCTCCACACGCCCGTGTCGAGGCACACGCGGACACGCTCCCCCACGAGCACGAAGCCGAGGTCGCAGTCGTACGCGGCCGCCGAGCCGAACGGCGTCACCGCGGTGACGTTCACCCGTCCGTGCTCCAGGGGGGCAGCACGGCACGTGACCACTGTCAGAAACATCAAGATTCTTTGTTTCAGACTGGAGAAATCCCATGAGCTTTGAATCTCTTTTTCACAGATACCCAGTATGGGCGGGACCACTGTGGAGAGAAGCGTAGATGCGAATGGCGCGGACTTAAACTAAACTAAAGACTATAAAAATATATATTGTATTTGACCAGGTAAGGCCCACGGAGCTATGTAGCTCTTTTTCAGAAGCGACCTGGACACAAATGATAGCTCAACGAAATGGTTTATCATGTGGAAATTTATAGCAGCCAAATACTCAAAATGCATATTTATTAAAACATGACCACGTTGAGAACATGCAAACTCCAAATATACATGAGTCAGGGTCACGATCAAATCCACAACCTCCTGTATACCAGGCGAGGCAGTTAACATCTCGCCACCGCGGCGCCCAGTAAATACATGTTAATCCACTGCTCGTTGAGGACCTCCGCTTGCCTGTTTTGAATAAAGTTCAATAGAAACGTCAAGAATTAGCCGCATCCCTATCGAGCTGCACCGGAGTGGCTTGTCCGCCCATGGCGTATGGATATGAATGCGCATTACTCACTCTGACAGGATGGAATAGCACTGGACCACGTCAGGGATGGCTGGCATTCAGTTGTGGGTTTACCTGCCAACTCGTAACTGAAACAGATAACAGATCCAGTTAATACATACTAAGGCAAACAGCCCCATGTCTCACTTCTTTTCATGTCCAACACATGTCTTTCACTCCCAAATTTACTCCATCTCACTTCTCCCACCCTCTCGCTCCCCTTGCCCTATGTTGTAACGTTCTTACCCGCCCCTACTGGACATCTGTGAAAAAGAGCTTCATAACTCATCGGATTCCTCCAATATACATATTCTGATGTCTCACCCCTTTCATCCTGCATCTAACTCCTCTTAGCCTCTCGCTCCCCTCTCCCCGTGTCTCCTCTCACCCTGCATCTCACTCCTCTCACTCTGCGTCTCACTCCTCTCACCCTGCGTCTCACTCCTCCCAGCCTCTCGCTCCGCTCTCCCCGTGTCTCATTCCTCTTGCCCCCATGTTTCAGTCCCGTGTGTACGCCTCACCCTTTGTTACAGCCAAAGATGACCACAGTGCCCACGGTGACTTCGTCATTCTCAATGAACCCATCTCGTGGAGCCGACAGTGCAGGGCATGTTTTCGCTGCGAATAAAGAAACGTGGAAACAATGAAACGCGTGAATAGGTCCTTTAAAACCAGTTCTACGTTCGCATTCTTAGAGCCGATCAGCTGCTCAATAAAATCGCCCTCAAAATCGTGCGCAACTTAACCACCTTCCCCTGCAATTGCTTTGTCCACATCTGATCGAGTAGTTACGCAACGGGGAAATCGCCAAAGCAGGCCTGTGTGTGGCCATTTCTGGGTTTCAATTTGCCCCTCCCCTCCGCAGCAACACCCCGATTTACATCTCCCCCCTTTTATGTCATTTTGCAAATTAATTTTAGCAACGCCGCCACCCGATTTGCGTCACCTAAACCCCACAATTACGTTGCTGACAGCATCGTCCGTCCTCTCTCGTTATCCGTCGCTTCTCGGCCTTCGCCTCCACCACCTACCTCTGCAAATTGCTTTCATTTAGGTCGTTTCGATATCTGTCATGGTTCTTATCAGGAACGCGTCCCCGACGAAAAACCGGGGCATTGCTGTCCTGAAGTTTTCACGGTGGTAAGCTTGCGACGGAATGTGTGTACGTTTGTTGGACCTATTTGCACCGTACATAGCCAACCGTGCTCATCGGAATGCATCCCCGAGGTGAACCTGGGTATTGCCGTCCTAAAGTTTTCACGGGTGGTAAACTTGCGACAGAATGTGTTCGCGGTAACGTTGGCACGCACGTCTGCTTACGTGCGCACGTGGGAGGCCTGCCCAGCCATAGCCCGTTCGCTTGGCAGACCACGATCGACGTGGACTTCACCATCCGGTAGCTGCAGACAAATGCGCCTCCGATTAGAGCGGTTGGCTACGTGTGGTGCGAAAGAAGTTATACATATGTACATACAAACGCAGTCGAGTGTCAAGTTAGTGTTATTTAAATGAGTTGAGGACTGGAGGAGAGACCAGGATGAGTCTCATTTGCAACGGGTGACCCTGGGGTCACCCAAAAATGACAAAAGTAAGGCAAATAAAAGTGCAGCGATCAACAATAACACAACAGCATCGCGCGGTCAATGAAATATATGGCACAAATCATAAATAATTCTCAGACCGATCATGGTACAATTGCAATAAAGTTACAGAAGGAAAACAGATATTGGGTGGCTTTTGTACTATCATCGAATAGTGTTTAGTTGGTTATCATTCACCCGCACCTGTGATTAGCATTGTTGGCTGTGTATGGTGCGAATGAAGTTCAACATACCCACATCTTATCTTAAAACGATTTATATAGCACCTTATCCAAGGCACTTTACACAGAATTCACAATAGTACATATATATATAAAATCGCAAATCTGTCTGTCTGTGTGTGTGTCTGTGTATCGGACCATATGCAGTTTCATTGGACGAAATGTCAGGGATTTGCGAGACACGATTGGTCCGGCAACCGCATTCGCCGCGGGGTGGACGCCATTTTTAATTCCCGTTAAAAATATGCGCACGCATTAACACGCGACTCTGAGGTAAATTCATCAAAGTTTCACGTCTTCTTCACTCCCCCCCCACCACAATGTGTGCAATTACTATTATAGGGTCGGTAGATTATAAAATTATAGCGATTAGACAGTATTATTGTAGCGCGGGGGGGGGGGGGGGGTGGGGACGGCACCCGTACCCAGCCTCAGCCGGGTGGGCAATTTAGGCGAGGCCGGAGGCTCTGCACGGTACTAGGCCTCGACACCCACCACGCGACTCTGAGGTAAATTCATCAAAGTTTCACGTCCTCTTCACTCCCCCGCCACCCCAATGTGTGCAATTACTATTATAGGGTCGGTAGATAATAAAATTATAGCGATTACACAGTATTATTGTAGCGCGGGGGGGGGGGGGGTATTGGCCCCGGTACCCAGCCTCAGCCGGGTGGGCAATTTAGGCGAGGCCGGAGGCTCTGCACGCTACTAGGCCTCGACACCCCACCACACTATAGGCCGTACATACTACTGCACAGCGGCCGAGGAGATCGTGGCTGGGGGGGGGCAGGGGTAGCAGCCCATCTGTGTATATATGTAAGGTTATTAAGAAATATATTTTTCACCCGGGCAACGCCGGGTACTTATGCTAGTGTGAATGTATTGGTGGAGATGAGGTGAATGAAATATATCAGAGGTAGCAATGGCCAAATCTGTTATGCGTGAATTTGGTGAGTTCGAAATTAATGATATTAAATGATGATGAATGGATTTAATGAATGGGGTTAATGAGTGATAGCCGCAGTAATGATAATATGAAGACGGAAAAATAATGGTGGCGGTTATGAGGGGGAGATTAAGGAGTCGTTGGGTGAGCTAGGGAAAGTAAGTGAGTTCTGAGTGCAGAGCGGAAACTAGTGAGCGAAGGTGACTGCTTAATGCGGCGGGGAAAGTTTGTTCCAATCAAGGGGGGTGAGAAGGAAGAGAGGACGCGTGGACTGAGTGCGAGGAGAAGAGAGAAACAGAGACAGCAAAGAATGAGAACGTAGAGGGCGAGAAGACACGTAGGAAGATACAAGTGTAGCTGTTCAGCAGCGGCAACTGCGGTGGACAGTTAGCACACACGCCGTCGAGCATATAACACGGGTGTGGCGGCAGGGCGGAGGAACTGGGGCAAGGGTCTGTAACGCTATCAATAATATGCGTGGGTGACGTCACTTAACAAGGAGCACCCCACACTCATTAATAATCATGAGCGGGTGACGTCCCTCAACATGGAGAACCCCCCCCTTATTAATGATCATGAGCGTGTGATGTCACATATTATGGAACACCCCCTTCATTATGAATCATGAGCAGGTTGACATCACTTAACATGGAGCACCCGTCAGTAATAATACTGTAATAATTTTTTTTGTTCCTGGGTAATAACTGTTATTTCCTAATTGCTTATGCCTCAAAAGTACAAAAGATGCCTATTATTCCCCATAAACTTTGCTTTTGCGAACAGGCCAGGGATATTTTGACATTTACCTATTTTCCAAAACATTCCAGATAGATTCAGTGCCGAGTTAACTTGGAGTAACTTCTAGAACATTCTAGAACTTTCCAGTAATGTAAATAGTAGTATAGATGCAGGAGCCTTAAGCCCACCAGTTCAGTTTAGTTCCAGCTGCCCAAGTGGATACATATCTGCATTTTTCTGAGATGGCATCAAGAGGCTGCAAGCATCCGGCAGACGCATTTTTCTATGTCTGCAGCCAATTTATCAAGACAAGAGCGAAAAAGTACTCTGTGGAAGCATCTGCTAAGATGTGTGAGGCCTACAAGGCATATTTCAACATGCCTGTCGGGGATTAAGACAAACCCTGGGCGGGTGACAAATTATGAGCGGGTAACGTCACATAACATGGAACACCCCCCCTCATTAATAATCATGAGCAGGTGACGTCACTCCACATGGGGGTGGGGGGGGGGGAGGCATCTCCTCCCTCCTCACCAAGAACTTAACCCTCAATAAAAAGCCAGAACCCTCATGTCACGTGAACTCCGTAACGCTACTGAGACATACAAGGAAAAAGGCCATCATGATGAAAAAGAGATATAAAATGAGTCTGTGTTACCGGCCTTTCAAATTTCACACTAATGGCTGCAGTATGACGGCACTGTCTGCTTTCCGCTTGGATATTTCAGATTTATTGCAACACCCGTCCTTGGTCGAGCTATAGGCTAGTCATTATTTAGTTTGCATTTGTGTGGCGCTTGCCTGAGTAATGCCTCAGCGACTCGGCGTGCCCCCCGTCACTTCTAATCCCAACCAATCAAAGCGGACCGCGCCACTGGTGGGTTTGTTCCCTGTGTGTAAGTATATACAATGTTTTCTAATTTAGACAATGAGATGGGGAAGCTGACCCGTGGTGGAAGCTGACTCATGCCCAATTGCTGGCCAGTGCTGTCTATTGTTCAACTTTATGCCGCAGAGGCACGAACTGCTATTACGGGGGATCTCTTTGGCTAACAAAACAAAATTTAGCACAATGAGGCTCTTAAGACGCTTCGTTATGTGTCCAGGGCGCCACATGGCCGCAAAGCATTCTTCTTGTGTTTAGGAAGGGCTCACCCCTCGTTACAGCTGTAGGTGATGACCTGCCCGTAGGTGAGGTTCCCAGTCCAGCGTCCATTCAGGATCGGTCGCGGGGACCCACAGCTCAGCACTGGAAAACGATCAACAGTCAAACCCTGGCCATAGCGTCTTGATACAAGCACTCGCAAGCACCTGTGCATTCACTCGGCAAAGGCCTTTCTTATTTTCTTCTATTCCTTCCATTCTTTAGTTGACATATGATAACTCACAAAATAGTTTTAAGAATGCAAAGTAGTCCATCTAATTAGGTCTCTTTTCGGCAAATTTAACACGTAGGTTGTCACTACCAATACGATTCGTAATTGAGATTTGGGTAAGGTTGGTTAAGTAAAATGTGTCATATGCCCTCCTACACCCAACACAGCCAATTAATAAAGTGGTTAAGTAAACAAATGTGTAAATTAATTGCTGTTCCAGCACATCACCAGTGTATTGGAGAAAATTGCCAATTCTGGAAACTGCCTGATGATGCTGGTTTAAACTACTAGTGAAACGTCATACCCATTTGTTAAATGCTGTGGATCGTTCCCCAACACATCAGTTCTGCTGAACCAGTAATAAACTGCCACGTTTGTTCACGTGACTTCATTGATTGGCTATCAGGGGAAGGAGGGTGAATGACACGCATTTTACTTAAGCGATCCGATCAAATAAAATGTTTTTGTGATATTGGTCGAGAAAAATATTACTTTCACATGTATAGGAAAAAAAAGATACTAGACAGACACACATGTTAACCATCAGCACTTTTCCCCTACATTTTTTTTACAATGCGAAGTGAATGTGGAGTACCATAGTAACAGTCCGGGAATGCAAATGGTAACAACGTTCCAGACTGTTAACACCTCACCACGGTGGTGAGATGTTAGCTACCTCGCCTGGTATACAGGAGGTCGTGGGTTTTATCCCGACCCTGACGCCTGCTGCTGTATATTTGGAGTTTGCATGTCTCTCTCCCCGTGGCCGCGTGGATTTTTCTCCAGCTCCTCCAGTTTTCCCCTCCACATTTAAAATTAACGTGCGCTCAAAGTATTTGGCAGCAATCAATTTCCACATGGTTAGCCACTTCGTTCAGCTATCATTTGTGGCCAGTTCACTTCTGAAAAAAGCTATATAGCTCAGTAGGCCTTACCTGGAAAAAAAATTGAGTTTAATTGTTTTTAAATCAAGCAGTGGGAATAAAACTGAGATAAGAAGAATATATATTTATACTGGAGGAATCCGATGAGCTTTGAAGCTCTATTTCACAGATGTCTAGTAGTGAAACCCTCACAGGTGCACGGCGACGCCATTGTCCAGAGCCCATTCTCCTGGCAGAGCCTGTGGCCTGTGCGGCCGTGCCTGATGAACCTGCATGGAAGATCGCGGGCACAGCAAGTCACTTCCGATAAGCATGGTTGGCTATGTAAAGTGCGAAATAAATTCAACATACATAGGGGACTGTCATGGCGCTTAGAGGAAGATCTGACTCAAAACAGCGATGCCTATGTTATAGATACAGGCACAGGCTGTGTCCCAGGCCTGTCCAATACGAATCTCAACTTTCCACGACCTCACTCGTTCATCTGTCGTTTTCTGTCCCCAGCTGCTGCCGAGCACCCCGTCTGTGACTTCACCACGTTCTGACTCAACTGCTGCAACCTTCTCCTCTACACGGCATCCCCTCCACATCCCTCGCCTCTCCCAGGTCCCTCATCCTCTAAGCGTCATATGATCCAAAAAGGCCACTGCCATACTTTTGGCCCGTATTCATGAAGTGTGTTCGCAAATACTTCAATTCCTCCACTGGTTCCCAGGTGGCTCCGTGATATCTGTATGTAGTGGGTGACACTCGATCGCTGTACGGATGCAGATCAATCCATAGGCACAGGGAGCTCAGGCACCTTGGGCCACCGAGCTCTGAGGCATCACCAAAGGGCACGACGGGCACAGCGGGACACGCGCCACTCACCCGACGTCGCAGCTGCAGTTGACCTGCGCATTGTAAGTGAACGCTGACCCCGTGCATGCACCGTTCTCCATGACAGGCTCTCCGCAGTTGACGACTGTGAATGGTACGAAGGAAACAAAATCCTTGCCAGTGCTCAGCGATCCACGCTTTCAGGGGTTTGCACCGCGTGTTTCTTTTTGGCACACACATTATCGTTCTCGTTGGATATGGAAGCGATGAGATTGGTTTGTGTGCGGGCACTGTGCGGATTGTTGCATGGCAGGATCGTAATAGGTGATTTTAGTGAATTTTGTGTTTAGTTTGTCATCCTTCCTTGGCTAGGTACTATGTATGTTGAACTTTTTTTGCACTATAAGTAGCCAACCGTGCCAATCGGAGGTGCTGGGGAATGGTGAACTAAACACAAAATGCAGTTCTAAAGAAATTAGTTGTCAATCTATATTTAAAAGTGCATAGCTCCAGTAGCTTCCTAATCGTGGAAGAGTGTTCCAGACGGCCGCAGAAGCGCATACGAAAGCGGTGTGGTAACCATCTGTGTTTGATGGCTAGCCAAAAACCGCTGTTGATAGGATGACCAGAGTTTACGTGACGATTTATCTTCCTTGACGAGAAAATGCTATTTGACTCTTGGTAAGGAAATGCTTCCCCACCCGTGCTTTAAGAAGTCAGGTGTGAGCAGGTAAGGGTTGGGGGGGGGGGCTGCAGTAGTGCAGGTGTGTGGGCGGGGGGCTCACGCTCGCAGTCTTGCAGCGGGCGCGACCAGCGTCCGTCTGAGCCACACGTGGTGTTAATGTGATCCTTCCCACCAATCTTGTACCTGGCATCATGACAGAGGGGTGGTGGGCGTGGGGGGGCAATGGTGAGTGGCGCCGATTACGATGCACCATCCCCCAATACTCTCCTCCACTGAAAAATCCCGATACGAGTTGGTGCAGGGTCCTCACACTACGGATGGTTTCCTCTGGATATTTTACAATGCCGGGCCGGATTCCATCCACGATTTGTTCGGAAAAATAATATTTTAATTGAATAGAAGTTCACCAGGGCGCGACACCAGCGCAGCCTCACCCGATGTTGCACACGAACGTGGCAGAATCTCCCTCTGTGAACGAACTTCCCTCCAGCCGCCCATGCCTTGGGCTGCCCGGGTTCCCACAATCCTCTTGGGAGAGAAAACATCACACCGCAGCTTTAACAACACCGAACACAGAACACCTGGACACACAGGAGAATTCTCAAACTTAATTTGGAGCTTTCGTGACTTTATTATTTTATCTTTATACGTGACTTTACCGAGGAGAATTCTCATCCAGAGCTGTGGTTTCCAACGTCCATTGACCACTGGTGAGTCCGCAAGGCTATATCCAATGGTTTGATAAATCGTTGTAGTTGCAATATATTTTACGAAACGCCATATTGTTGCTGCATGGTCAACGAAAATGTTCTGAGGCTTGTCAGTGACCTGCTTGTTGAGAAAGGATGAAATCCACAGCTCTATTATAGTAACAATAAATAGTTGAAGGCACAGCCCTGAAATTACTTGTGAATGCCACTGCTGGAAAGACATCTGATTGAGAGAGACATCCTATGGAGTATGTTGGTCTGTCCTTTCACATCCAGTTTTTTCCTTAACATTATAAACATGCGTTTAGAGTATTTGGCTGCAGCACATTTCCACGTGATAAGCCACTGCGCTGAGCTTTAATTTGTGGCTAGGTCACTCCTGAGAAAGAGCTACATAGCTCAGTGGGCCTTACCTGGTTAAAGTGAAATAAAAACAATAAAGAGACCAGCCAAACATATTGGAATAGGGTGAGAGCTACCCTCACTTTAACCCACCATGCACGGACTTGCCAATACAAACCACGGTGCAAACCCATTTCCCACGCACGTGCGCAGAAGAGCGTCGCAGGGCTCCACCGCACTCCATCGCCCTGCGTGTTGCGCAGGCAGCGCAAGGTCTCGCTGGGCGGTGCCGACGCTGCCCCCGTGCGGCTTGCACGGCACTCGTAGCGCACGGAGCTGCCCTCCCAGTAGCGCCCGTCGTCGTTGGCGCCCCCCACCAACGTGGCTCCCGGGATGTCCGGCGGCGCCGGGCATAGACCTACGGCTGACATGGCGACCCCGCCTGCTCAATGTTTCGCAAGGAGTAGGAGGATCTGATGAGATCGGGTTAGTGGAGAAACGGCCAGTCCCCCCCTCTCCGGGCTGCCGGGCTGAAAGTAAGAATCAGACTCTTTCTTTATACTGGAGGAATCCGATGTCCAGTAGGGGCAGGTCAGAAAGCTACGACAACAAAGTGTACAAAAACACCATAGGAGTCCATAGTATAGGAAAGGTAAGCAAATCATATTTTTCATACCAGGTATGGTCCATTGAGCTATTAGCTTCTTTTTCAGAAGCTACCTTGCCGCAAATGATAGCTCAGTGAAGTGGCTTATCATTTGGAAATGTTTAGCAGCCAAATAATCTAAACGCTTGTTGATTATAATTAGATGTGATGGGAAAAACCGGACGACCCCGAAAAAAAAATCCACGTGACCACGGGAAGAAAATGCAAACTCCAAATGAACAGACATCAGGATCGAACCCACAACCTCCTGTATACCAGGCGCACTACGGAGAGAGGGGGTGAAAATGGCTACGTATATTTGTGCTCACGCCTTCTCCCAGGTGGGGCAGCTCCAGGTATGCAATGGTTCCTCAATTTAAAATCGGTTCTTTCACTCACAATACATGCGTTGCATTGGTGAGTGTAATAAACGATTAGTTACAATTCGTGCAAATTATCTGGTGCAGACTGAACACGTAATCAATTAATATAATTAATGAACAATTATAACTATGATGATGACGACAACGTTTGTGACGCATCGTGATCGCAGCGAGCATTGCCTTCCAATTGAGCTCTATGCTCGGTTGGCTACGTACATTGCGAAGGAAGTTCAAGGTACACACATGCATACACGGATTCAAATTACTGTGCTTAATTTACAGAGAACTCTTTCAGCAATTGCCTCAATATTTGACCGATAGCTTTACAATTCTTCTCGGGGATCTGAGATCCTCACGCACCGTGACCGTGCTAATTCTGTCAGGTGTGTGTTTTGGTCCTCGGTCCTCAGATTTGGAACGCTCTGCCTGAAGAACTGCACCTGACTGCTGAGATTCTCCCATTTGGAAAGAAACAAAAAATAATTTTATCTAACATGTCATGGGAAGGAATTTTTAGATTTTTTTTCCTTCTGCACGACGTTTTGAAGCCCTTTTTGGGGTCTGCTGCACCACAGTGGCGAGATGTTAACTACCTTGCCTCGTATACAGGAGGTCGTGGGCTCAATCTCAATCCCGATGCCTGTATATTTGGAGTTTGCATTTTCTCCCCGTGGTCGCGTGTTTTTTCTCCGGGTCGCGTGTTTTTTCTCCGGGTCCTCTGGTTTTTCCCTCGACATTTATAATCAACATGCATATCTGGTATTTGGCTCCTATACATTTCCACATGATAGTCCACTTCGTTGATCTATCATTTGCGATGGGCAGGTCTCTTTTAAAAAAGAGCTATACAGCACTCATTGAGCCTTACCTGGTAAAATTTTCAAATCGTTTATATAGTTTAGTATATATATTCCACTATATTAACACTTTTGCAGATTCATTAACTTTTAGGTATCACTTCCTCCCACTTCCTCCTCCCTTGTGGGCTCACATTCATGACATTACAGCACCTATTTAAGGCCCAAGACTGGAGGACACTTTCACAATCTTAGTTTATAAAAATGTCAAGTAATAATAATAATGATAAGGGGTGGTCATGGTTCCCGTGCGGCCTACCGATGCACGTGGGCGGCTTGGACCAGATCCCGGAATCGAGACACGTGACGTGGGCCTTGCCGGATATGGAGAAGCCATCGTGGCATGCGTACAAGACGGAGTCGCCCAGCGAGAACGCGTCCTGCACCATCTGCACGACCTCGCCGTTGGCAACGTCTGGGGGCTGCGGGCAGCTCAAGGCTGGGGAACGAGAAGTGAGAATCGATACGAGCGCTGCGAGGCCGAGATCCTGGGGTCAGGATCACGGGCGGTCACCAGTGGTTGAACCGGGCTCTCAAGTTCAGTTAGGGGCCCCATCCATTTAGTAGGTACGCAAAAATCTGTCAAAACTTGACCCCTCCTCCCCTCCCTGTGCGCACGCGTACTTTTTACACACCCCCCCCCCCACCTGCGTACTACGCTTGACGCACCCCCCCCCCCGAATCCTATTAGAAGGGCCGATATTTAATCCACGCAGAAACGATCAAGGATTAATAATATTAACGTGTTTAAGCAAACAGATAGTCCACCGCCGGACTATCTAACTCATTTGAAGGCCAATGTAGACAAATTATTATCGAGAATTCACCCCCCCCACCCCGTTTCCAATGCGCAAGTACATTGTCAGTAGACCCCCCATACGCAAGCGTACGCATTTAGGTTAACCAGCCCTCCACCCGCCATGCGTACGCACTAAATGGATGGCCCCTTGGTTGATTTTTCTCCGGGTCATCCGGTTTTTTCCTACACTTTTATAAACATGCGTTTAGATTGTTTGGCTGCTATACATTTCCACATGATAAGCCACTTCGTTGAACTATAATTTGTGGTCAGGTCGCTTCTGACAAAGAGCTACATAGCTCAGTGGGCCTCACCTGGTAAAAGAAAAAGTGTATAGTTTTATAACTTTTAGGTATCACTTCCTCCCACTTCCTCCTCCCTTGTGGGAGCACATGGATGACATCACAGCACCTATTTAAGGCCCAAGACTGGAGGACATTTTCACTATCCTCGCCAACTGCCTGACGATGCTAGTTGTAGCTACCAGAAAAAAAAAACATCGTGCACAATTGTTAAATGTTGCAGATTGCTCTCCGACACACCGACAGCGCTGCTGAAGCAGTAACAAATTGGCGCATTTGTTCACATGACAGCTTTATTAATTGGGTGTGTCGGGCGGAGGAGTGTGTACGACACACATTTTACTTGCGCAGCTACCTGACCCGTTTGGACGGTAGATGTGGCCCCAGCGGAAGCGCGTTCACCGTTTGTTGCAGAGGTTTATGGTTCTAATCCAGCGGCCGCCCTGACTAATACTGCACGTGTAATAACCATCGTTATGCCATGTGCCGTCTGCTTCACAATGGACATTAAAAGTCTCCTGACGTCATTTCAAAACGAGTAGGCTGTTGCATGTCGGCGTGATTGGCCAAATTTGGGAACTTTTTTTAAAAATAACACTGCAATTTGATCAATTGGGATTACACATTACATTAGTGGTCCCTCCCGGCCGACTATATCTGTCTGTGAAAAAAAATCCCACAGTGCCTTTGCCACAGCCCTGTAAGATATGGTGTGAATACTAACTGTGTTAAGTCATTATTATCGCACCCTCGCAGACTGGGTCGATGTCACTCCAGATTCCATCCTGCGTGCAGCGTCGGAGCTGTGGCCCCACCAGAGAGTATCCGTCGGCACACATGTACGACGCCACGCTGCCGTACACCGGCTCCGTCGCCACACTGATGAAGCCGTTCTCCGGCTCAACCGGGACTTTGCATGTCACCACTGCGGAACACACATGCGGAAAATGGACGGTATGATCATCGTGGATCTTATATCATGCGATGTATCGTAGTGTCGCTAATTGAGGGACACCCTCAGAGTTCAAGGCGCTCGTTTTGTCATGCAGCCACAACACACATTGTGAATTTTTTTTATCATATTACGAATAATATCGTGGCAACCCTACTTGTAAACCATTATCACGTAGGATAGATCATGGGAGATCATTATTTGTTCTGTTAGCTCTGTTAAAGTTGTGGTTTTTTAAATACTCTATTTTTTAAAGTTAATCCTAGTTGTGCTATTTGTTTCACAAAATGTCTTACGCCTCAGCGGCAAAGTGAGCCGCAAATCCTGGCTGAGGGGTCAACTCAGCCCATCATCACTCTGGGGCTGATAAAACGAGCATAGCTTTGTGGGGATTTCGACAGTGGTTGCTCTGTGAACACACTCAGCCCAAATAGAGAAATGTGAAATGTTCACCACTGTTTTTTGTGAATCTCTGCATGAGAAAAATGATCGTCGCAAAAGGCCTGGTGTTGTCGTTGTCGTTGGCAGCAGGTAAGATTGTGAGGCTCTTGTTTGGGTGCCCAGACCCGACACTCACACACGCAGGAGAATTTGTGCTTTGTCCAGCCGCCCTCGATACACCGGATGCTGTAGGAGGAGCCGCTCACGGTGTAGCCCATGTTACAGTGGTAGCTTGCGAGCTCCCGCAGGGAGAACCACTGCCTCCAGATGAACTGTGGGCTCAGGCTGGCGAAGGCCACTTTTTGTGGTCTCCCACATCCTTCTGTACGAAACGAAAAAAAGGGTTTTTTGTTTCGTGACCTTTGTGGAGAAAACGACGCTCCGACCGAAAACTCTTTGGAGAGACGTTGCAAAATACAGGTAGTCCCCGAGTTACGATGGTCCGACTTACGATATTTCGATCTTACAATGGCGATAGCTATACGACAAAATTGCCATCAACAACCTAACATCGTTCAAGTATGCAGACGACGGACAGAAGCTTGGCGAGTACAGTACAATACGATACGTTCGATGCATGTATGATACGTAGCTTTAGAGATTTCATTTTAAGGTTATCACGATACGATACGTTCAATTCATGTTAAAAGTTTTTATAGCAGATAGGATTGTTTCCTGAACAAACTTTCTATTAAACTGCAGTTCATATCGGTAGGATAAAAATGTACCTAGTTTTTTTTACTTTACATTATACTGTGCAATACAGTATTGTAATTAATAAATACATACAGTATATAGTTTATACAGTACGGTACGTTAAATTTCTCTGTTTTGCTAAATTATCACCATTCTTTAAGACTCCTGGGTAGGCGAGACCATCTTGGACTTACGATATTTTCGACTTACGATGGGGTCGTCGTAACGCATCTCCAGCATAAGTAGAGGACTACCTGTACACCTCTATTACGGGAACTGTATTCAACTCCGTTGTCCAGTGCCGAGTTGGGTTCATAAGGAAGCATAAACTCCCAGCCCTAAAGTCCCCAGTGGCTGTCGAATTTGCAGTTATGCCAACTATTTAGTGGCATTCATTCTACTCGGGGCTTAATTTCTCACTCGATATTTTGCCGAACGCTACGAAGTAGGCTCAGAGTAGGCACTGTCAGGGTAAGGCACGACCACTCGAGTGTAAAGGTATGCCTATCCATAATGATCTTATGCTATCGAAAGTTGCCAAATTTAATAGACACCCTTAAAATTGTTACATTCAAACAACCAATTGTAACATCGCCCCCTACTGACAGACTAACGCCCAGTTAGTTGTAGGTCCGTGCTGTGTCCATTTGTGCTGCACAAGGAGAGCTGTCATAAGTGGGTCCCCCCCCCCCCTCGTCTAATAAAAGATAAAAACGGTTGGGATTTGGAATGATCGAGATGAGATGTAAATGGAAGGTGCTTTGAGATAGTGGGGCATTTAAGCACTCAATTAATGCAAAATCCTCCTTCCTTATTAATGAACTATTAATTAAATTTGTGCTCGTATATCTGAATCAAACACAACCAATTGATATCCAATTTGAACGGTCAAGCAAAAACATTCGCACAACACGAACTCACTTCTCTTGGTGTCGCCAGGCTCAAGTGTGATTTGCTCCTGTTCTCCTTTTGTGTCGAATTCTATAATCACACGAGTGAGGTTAGTTTCTGAGGATGAAAACAAACAAACCTTTGTCATGTTGAATTCAAGAGCAGACTCGTTCTGTCGCTCGAACGTAAGCGCCAAACACCCACGTGTCTGGGGTGGCGAAAATTCAGATTTGAGTTGTGGTAAACTGTGATCAATGACACTGTTGTAGCATATGCTGGGCGATGCTGTCGTGGTGTAATGGTTAGCACGATGGGCTTGCAATACAGAGGTCGCCAGTTGGATTTGAGCTATGGGGATATTGGGAAAGTTTCTTAACTGTACCCACCTCTGTCAACCCACCACAAAATGCACACAGAAAGGAAATTTTGTATTCGAGAACCAACGAAAAATTAGAAACATTACGCAGTAGTTCAAACACCACACTATAAACTCGGTGATTCAAGTTTAATTCTTAACCGTGGCTGACATCAGTGACCAGTCATATCTGAACCTGTCATGCCTTTTTACCAAACTACACTTGCAGTCATAATTAACAAAAGTTAAACAATCCCCATGTTTTGCACGGTGTGGGGAGGCCTTTATCCATAAGTCGATTTGAAAACGCTGTAAATTATATGTTTATTGATATTTATTGAATAGAATAATACTATTCATTAAAATATTTTATCTGGATAATCCTTTCAGATGGAATATTTAATTTGTAAGCATGTCCAGGAAGTCAGGCGACACAGGCAAAAAGACAAAGACCCCCCCCTATCGTCTTAACAGACTTTTGGGGCAAGTGCTGTTAGTGAGCACCTATGAAGGCTGGTACGGCAGAAGAGGGGGTGGGTGGTCAGCACCACGCCCACCCGCTATTGTCTCCCCAGTGGCGATATTTACACACTGCACCAGGTACTCGTTTGAGGCTTGGTCGCGCTAGGGGAGGCCCAGGACTGGTTCAGATAATCGTCACTGGTGTTGGTCGTGAGCAGAAATGGAACTTGTGCGACACATGCACAGTAATCTACACGTGCAGTTGGTACAATATCAAATACATGTGTAGTGGTTCAACTCAGAAGCAGTAATTCTTGGAGGCACTTCTTTTATTATACTCATAATTTCCCTTCACACACCCTACAGTCGCCTAGGCTACACACACCCTAGCCTATACACAACACGAGCCGTCTAACACCAATGGCGCTGACCGATACAGCCAACAACTGTATAACAGCGCAATATCAAGCGACGCTGACTGCGGCGACTAAGAGAAGAATGGTGACGGCAACGACGGACTTCAGCAGCACAACGGGGATCCCACTCCATACAACAGCCCCGAGGTCCCCTACAGGGGCCCCTCTTATACTGTCAGCGTGGCCTGGCTCCGCCCCCGGCCATGTCCTTCCTTCCAGATACCCACCAGCGGGTTCTTGGTATGCCCCTTCTGTGACATTTCCCCTAGATCCCCCTCTGGTCTATCACGTGGCCTGCTGACGCCAGGGCTGCTGTAAGCCGCAGATCCCCTTCCCCGCCAGCAGCCATCGCTATGCTGCTACATTACTTATTCTATGCCACTACACATGTATCCAAAGACAATAACAGCTAACAAAAATGATTTTAATGAATGATTGATGAGAAAAAAAACATTTCACACGATAATTAAAATAGACTTCATTGTAGCTGGTAAGTCTCATTGAGCTAAGTAGCTCCATGACAAGGACGACCACAGCCGGCAGTTGCAGGACTTTTCAGGGAAAGGAATGTGCAAACTAGCAAGAGCAAAAAAACCCCAACATATTTACACAGATTTTACACACTGTCACCCTGTTCACCTGAAATTTGTGTAGATCCTCCACGTGTGTGAAATTCTTCATTCAAGTGACTGAAATCAGTGTCTGAGGACGAGAACAACAAATAAACTCTGGGTTGGGTTCAAAAACCAGACCACCCTCTTCTGCCGCTTGGACACAAACGCACCTGGTAATGTGGCAGACGATGCGAGTGTTGCCAGCAGGCACAAGCCCAGGGCCTGCACGACACGGGCAGATGCTGCTGCATGTGTCCAGCCTCCATCGCGGCGGTGACCCATTGATTATCTGCACGAGAAATCAAACACGCTCGCGCATATGCACGTACAAATGGCCCCATTCAGGTATAAATAACAAGCAAAAAAAACTCGTTCATCAATAACACCGTGTAGCCTTAAAAAGGAAACAAAATATATGTGCAACGTTTCGACCACTCGCCCTTCTTCATGGCACACGTGGGGGGTAATGTAGTAGGCAGTGTTTTTTTTTCCAATACTCTATGACCATGGCAGCTTAGATTCCAATCCTTGCAATGAAGCATCAAACTATGACTTCTAGTATTTGTATCTCTCCATCTCCTGTCACTTATGCCCCTTTGCCATGCCAACTCTACCAAGTTGAACTCTGGCCTACCTAACCTGACTCCGCTCAACGCATAATTTGGCATCCTGAGTCCTTAAGTACATAAAAAAAAACTGCGTTAAAATTTACCAGGCAGCAGTTTGCGTCCGCACCGAAGTCACGTGGTGCAAAACTGCAGCATATTTGTGCTTTGAATTCAAGCCACAGTGATTGCTAGGGACCGCGTCACCACTCCCGCGACACCAGCCAATCCGCTGCCAGGAAAATTATCCGGATGCAATATGGCCACCGTTATTGCATTAAGTTCCTGTGCGACATGACCGCCGAGATGTCATCGCTCGTGCACCCTTCGGGCTGTGTGATTTTTGCACACGTATTTGCGTGCATGTGTGAGAGTGCATGCACGTAATTGTTCTGGTGTGTTATTTTGCATGGGAATGCCTTTATGTGCCTAATACATTTGGTACTACGGGCGCCTGGTTCCTCCCCAGATGTCCGTAAATGTCCCTTCAGTCCTAGGCATGGCTCCACCACTATTGCTTTTGGATGCCCTGGCTCCCCAGGGGCCGTCCGTCACGGTAGCGAGATGTTAACGACCTCGCCTCGTATACAGGCGTGGTTGAGGTAGGGGGGTGTAGTAGTTCAGCAGCAGCCTATGAATCAGCCGAGCACTTGCGATGCATTCTGATGCATGCTGGTGGATCTCACCGGTAATCCGCGACCAACAGCCACCCGGATTCACCCTGTGATGTACTCGAGACATGGAGTACTACTATTGATCGACGTTAATGTTTTCAATGTTATTTGCCATGAGCCGTACCGAAAATTGTTAAACTACATTTATTTTGTTAGGTAAGGCACACCGAGCTACAAAGCTTTATTTTTCAGAAGCGACCTGGCCAAAAATTATAGCTCAACGAAGTGGCTTATTACTTGGAAATGTATAGCAGCCAAATATTTTAAACGCATGTTTCTAAATATGGAGGGAGAAAAAACGGACGACCCAGAGAGAAATCCACGCCACCACGGGGAGAACACGCAAACTCCAAATATACGGCATGCGTCCGAGTCGGGATCGAACCCAGGCTCTCGTATATACCAGGCGCGGTAGTTAATATCTCGCCACCGTGGCGCATCATACATTAAGGGGCATTGCCCGAAACGTCGCCTATAATGTATATTGACTGGAACGTGTTGATATTTCGTGCGCTGTATCGTGAGGGGCCGCATGGGATCTTACCAGCGTTAGGTCGAGGATGAATGCCAGCCTCGTACGCCAACAGTCACAACATGCACACGCCTTATAAGCCAGCTCCCCACACCACCACGACCACTCCCCTTCCGCCTGCTCCATACAGGGCGATGCACTCCGTGTAAACAAGTAGACTAGATATACATCTCCTTTCTAGCGAATGATTTGGTTTGTTTTATCCATTTGCAGGATAGATACAAGGTAGAGTTGAATCCCAGCAACTGACAATGCTTGCTTACGCTAGTAGAGGGAGCTCGAGAGAACCTCTCTTGGAAGATATGTTGGCCTTCTGTGCCACGTTAGCCAGAAGGGCGAGTACCCACATTCTACCCCACCCGCCGAGCCGACTGTGGCATACCAATTTGTCCAGCTGGGTGCATGGACAGACACACACTGGCGGTGGGGGTGGAGATGTACTGATGTGTCGGGAGGTCGTCTGTAAGTCGTGTGACAACCGTGGTAGCTTCACGATATAGAGGGGAAACCCCACTTAAGTAATCATAATAACTTGGAACCGTCTGAACAAAAATATATGTTGAATACAACAGGGTGTGTATGAGTGCAAAATACCGATACACAAAAATTGTGGAAATAAATTCGAGAGAATTATCGCTTTGGGGATTTTGCAAGGAGACATTTGAAACGCTGCAGAACGCACGCGCCTGAAGATACGTTCTCGCATCAGGCTATGCCAAAGGTGGATCGTTGAAAAAAACCTCCCTGGGGGGGCCATTGTCCCCATTACCCCCCTGCTGCCAAAAAAATCTGCCACAGGGTTCTGCTGATAAGGTATGAAGAGTTCGTGAAAACCATTTCCACTTCACCCCTACCATGAGCGAGAGCTCAAATTCCCAAAGGCCTCTTGCTTATTTTGAACGAATGCCGAGCATTATTTGAACATTCACATTCCATGCAGCTTGCCTTCTAAACAAACCCGCTCTGCACAAACACAAAACGCGCTGAGCACACAAATTGTGGATCGAGCAGTGGTCATTTCCCAGCACTCTCGGCTTACGCGAATAGAACCTCAAAAAAGTTGACTTCAGTAAAATAATCATTAACCCACCGTCAAACATGGCACGCTGCACCGAAAACCTGCAAACGAGAGCCAATCTCCTTTAAATGGCCGTTGTGCAGAGGAACAATAATTTTACATCGATGTGACGAGGCAGATCCTTGCATCAGGAGCAGCCGGCGTATCGCCATGACGCACCCCCCCCCCCTCGTATCTGTGAATCGGACATTGAATTCCATCGTACCGGTCCTGGGTAACCACACCGCCCAAGAGTTGATTTTCCATTTGTGCAACATCAAGTATCCATCTTGATTTGAAGCTTTCGTGACTGCAGGAATCCATACTCTTTGGTTCTTTCGGTAAAGTCACGTGGGTAGAAAAAAAAGAATAGATCACGACGTTTCGATCGCAACACAAGTGGTCGTCCTCAGGCAGAAAAAATAATCCAGCAGTGGAACTGCCGCTACCCACGTAACTTTACCGAAATAGCCAAATAGTATCAAATATCCACGTATGGAATAGTTTGTGTAGATGCGCTTTAGGGTTGTCTGCAAATGGTGCTAGATAAAAGCCAGGTATCATCGATTCGAGATATTGAGGTGCTTAGCCAATGTGAGAGAGCAACTATGCATATTATGTTTTTTCCGGTAAAGCCACGTAGAAAAAAATAAGTGAATAAAAAAATAAGAAAAAAATATCACGCTTCGATCGCAACACAAGCGGTCGTCTTCAGGAACAGACAACCGCTTGTGTTGCGATCCCCTTTTCCCGATGACGATTGCGTGTGTTGCGACCGAAACGTGATATTTTGTTCTTGTTTTTTATTCACTTTATTTTCATTATTTAAGTGTTATTTTTTCTATCTACACGACTTTACCGAAAGAACCATAGAATACGAATTCCTGCAGTCACGAAAGTTAAGTCAAATTTGAGCAACTATGCATGTTTTTCATAATCAACGATTTTTGGGTTTAGATCGCGTTTATTTATGTGTCGTAACCCTCCACCACCCGACACGGCCAATCAGTAAAAATGTGTCACGTTGACAAAGACAAATAGTTCACTGCTTTAGCCCACCGGTGTGTTGAAGCAACAACATTTACAATTTGAGTACATTGGTCGCGAAAGCCTACGTGTTAAACTATGCATTTTTTACTTTTTTTTTGCACCGTACATATCCAACCGTGCTAAATCAGAACTCCATTCCGTCTCCACATAAAAATATAAGCGGGTTTAGTCCAGCAGCCTATTTTAGCTTTTCCAAGCAAGGTTATGAAGCAGCAGTGTTGTTTGTAAGCAAACCGTACTGGTTTTAACCGACTGGGTCATCCGGCAGTAGGGCGTACGGACGAAAAATGTTGGTCGATGTCCGAAATTAAAGCACCGTCTAAATTGCGTGTTCCTGTTCAATGCAAAGCAATAGATGGAATGTGGAGGCGATGAATTTCTGCTTGTTTTTATTTGCGTTGACCCAATGCGGTCAGATCACGCAGAAGAGCCGTGTCAATCTTCCCGTGTGGGAGGGGAGATGGATTGCTGTGGTTTACGAAGCTTTCGTTCTCAGAATGCATAACGGACTAGAATATAATCTAAAATGTTAATACCACAGATCCAGGCACGTTTGTGGCATGGGATTTACAATTTTAAAATTAGGCAGTGTTGATACGTCATAGCCCAACGGTTCCAAAAATGTAGATCATAACCTTTGATTCTACCACACTGGACTTTAAACTAAACTGTTTGATTTTAACCGGACAAGGACCATTGATCTATGTAGCTATTTCATCAGCGACCTGGCCACAAATACCTCAACGCGATGCATCGTGTGTACATTAATAGCAAACTCTAAAAGCACATCGCTTTCAAAATGCGGTGGGGGGGGGGGGGGGAAGACAGGAGGACTCGGCGAAAAAGCCACACGACCACGAAGAAGAGCTATGTAAGCTCCAAATACAGACGCCAGTCAAGTTCAAACCCATGAGCTCCTGCATACCAGGCGAGGGAGATAACATCTCGACACGGCGAGGTCACCGTGCGATTTCCTGGTGCGAGTTGAACCAATTTGATAGTTGGGCTTTTGCGACCAATGTCATGCCTGCGTTGTATGGGTCGGATCGTACAAGTGTGCGTTGTTAAACCACCCGACATACAACCAAGTTTCGTCACGTAAACAATTCTGGCAAATCGCCCAATACCAGCAAAACGTCGGACTAAAATTGTAATTGTGGATTCTCGCCAACACACCGGTGGCCTGAACTCGTAACCAATCGGCATGTTTTGGTCACGTGACAAACCCGATTGGCTGGTGGGTTGTGGCAGGTTGACACTGACGCACTCGACCCAAAAACCATTAGATTTGAAACAATACTGTCCAAGTACCTCCCTCCCAACCACCATCCACCTCCAGCGAGGAGCACATGGTATACCCGCAGTGCTGCTGCCGCTCTTTGGACACCTGGCCAGCATCGGTGTTGGCCAAACACCCTCCAGATGTCCCGCTCGTTTGGTTTGAACATGCCATTACGGGGGTGCCAAAGTGGCGAGATGCACTACCTCGCACCCTGTAAGGAGGATGCTATGGGTTCTGTTCTGCGTCACTGGACCGCCTTTATATTTGGAGTTTGCATGGCCCTCTTGCCGTGGGCCGCATTGATTTTCTCCAGGTCCGCCAGAGTTTCTCCCCCCCTCCTCCACATTTTATAAGAATTGACGTGCGTCGAGTATTTGGGCTGCTCTACATTTCCAAAAGTCTATTTTCGTTACCAACATTTGTTGCCAGGCTTCTATTAAGGAGCTACATAGCTCAGGGGGCCCCTTACCGGTAACATTTAAAGTAAAAAAATATAGTTTCTGGACAACATTCCTCCAGTCTAACTAAATATTCAGATTCTGAAACCGTTCGAGCCACAAAAAAAATAAAGATTTCAGGGTCGAGGGGGGGGTGAGCAAACATTACCACAAATGAAAGGCTGACAAAAACCGAAAATTGAAAGTCTGGCCTGTAATGCAACACACTTTATTTCAGGAGCCACGAAAGGTTATGCCAACACGAAAACGTGGGCACAGCTGACGGCATCAAGGTTCGGGACCGCAAACGGGACACCATGCATACACAACGTGCCATGTGCATGTACCAAATAAGGGGGGGGGGGAACGGAAATTGCTTCAAATATGAGTGATGGCAGTGTTGGACTGAAGTGGTTTTAGTTCGAGGAGATCTACTTGCAGCTGCCAGATGCCAGTCACTGTTTATTGAGAGGACCGGCCCGCTTGACCAAAGGGCTGTTCAGTCAGTAGGTGTCCACTTTGCAGCGTTCAGCTTTTAACCAGGCAGATGTCCAAACTGGGATCATCTTTTGCAAGGTTGTCTGTAACCATTAGCCGCAAGTTGTAAGTTAAATGCAGGTTATGGGCATTTTTCGTCATTAAAAGATTTTAAGACATTGGGCACACAATGGTCAACTTTAAGTTTAGTCTTTAAGTAACATAAATCATAATTACACACGTGTTACATAAAACCGGCTCAATCGCAAATGCTGTCCATTAGGGTCACCGGCATGGATAAAGCTACAAGCCAGCAATTAATGAGAATCAGGCAGAGACCAAAAAAAAACTGACTCGCAAGATCTGTAGTCAAGAATTAGGGGGAGGTGTGACGAAGTGATGTTGACAAGCACTCGGTGTTGGGACCACTGTGGGTCTGCAGTCCTCGATATCACCTTGCGACCTCACAAAGAGGCATCTGGGAATTGCCCAAACTCCGTTATGGCATCCTGCATACGTGCACACAAATAAATGCATCGAGTCCTTGAGCAATTGTTCCAAACATTAGTTCATGTTGGCAACACCTAGGATGGAAAATGTTAATGAGACGTTGGTCAAACCGTCTCGCTCACAAATTCAAATAAAAATTGTACGGGGGGTAAAGGTGTGAGTGGCGTTTTTGGCAACGTGTTACAAATTTACCAGAATTTGAGAAGCAAAAGCCTTTCAGTAGTTAAAAACACTTCAACTGCCTTACAAGGCCCGGCACATTTGCACCCCCCTCCTCTTTTCGATTCATTGCTGGAGGATTAGCGGCAAACAATTAGAGTGTGTTCATGGCGCACGCTCGAGTCTGCACCGCTTACCTCCACAGGGCTGTCGTTGCTCCCATCATCCGCACATCCAGATGCCAGGGACTGCTCCATTGCATTCCCTTGAGGATCCATGTCGAGCGGAGGTTCCACACCCACGCAGGTGGACACCTCAGTCTCCAGGCTTGCACCTTCATCCAGCAACGCCATCACGGAATCGTCGTCATCATCATCATCATTTGTGAACAGCGTCATGCAGGGAGGGTTCATGTAGTCACCCGGGCATAGATCCACAAGAGGGGGTGGCTCGCGCTCCTGCTTAGCTTCGGCAGGGAGTGCCCCCGCATAAACCTCACTGCAGGGCTCGCCACACGTGTTCATCATGCGCACCACAAACACGTCCTGAGCGGGACACCCCCTAGACCTGGCGGCACCACCCAGGACTTCGACTCCCTGTCCTGGACAAGAGCCACGCTCGTCCGCAGCCACGTCGATTTCTTTTTCTAAACATCCCTCTGCCGTGGCTTCAATCTTCCCTTCGGGAGGAGCGCCTCTCTTCTCCACACCATGGGCCCCTCGAACCCCACGAGCCCCAGCCCTGCGCTGCTCCTTGGCCGTGCTGGGGTCCCACAGTCCCCCAAGGCCACCCTCTCCAAAAGGCCAATTGGACGCAGGTGCAGATGCAGCCTCGGCATCCCTGGACTCGGACATGCTGCCCGTCCAACCCAGCGTGTGAAGGCTGCACGGGGCATTTTCGGTGGCCTCTTGTGCTTCAGGAACCTCACCCGGAGCAGAGGATTCACAGGCAGGTTTCTCTGCAGCGGGAGCCTCCGGCACGTCTTCCGACACAGGGGTCTCAACCACCTCGACGATCTTCTCCGGCACGTGCTTAAAGGTTCGGTTCGGGGCACGGGACCCAATACCACTCTGTACGCTGTGGCTCCTATCAGTCTCCACGATCCTTTCCGGAATGCGGGGCCACCCGAACGATACCGGCGAGTACAGGGACAGCCCCCGCGATCGAGGCAGGCGGCCAGACACGCGGTTGAGCTTCGACGACGTCGACGACTGGGGGAGGAGAGCGGACCCGGCACTCGTGCCGCTGCAGTTGTTGCTCGCGTCGGCGACGTTGCGCGAGCGCTGCGTGGTGCCAGTTGCGGCAGCGGCGGGCGCTGCGATGGTGCGGGCACCCAGAGAGCACTGCACGGACACCTCGCGGCGAGGCGTCGCCTGCACTGCGGCGTCGCGAGTCCCGGCCTTGACGATGCGCGGTTTCAACGCCGGGTTCACCTGCACCCCCCCCCCAAAACAAGACGGCCACACTTCAGCTAGGGCTTTCTTAGTTATTCTTCCCACAGGAGATGCCAGGGTCGGACCTGCCTCGGATGTCTAGTTGGGTCGGGTTCAACTGCCCAGGCAATGCCGGGTTCACCAGCCCTTGGGAGATGCCCACCCATGTCTGCAGTAGGGTCTTACTAGTTATGGTCTGCCACATTGTGTATGCCTTGGGTCACATTGCACAATTATGTTATGTTGATTTGACCGAAGTCAAATTACATTTTAGGCATAAACATCCATAACATTAGATATTTTTAACCACAACGTCGTTTTGTAGCGACCCAAACATTGGCGTAAATGCAATTATAAAAAAAACGAATTTGTTCCAATGCCTCGAGGATGCACTCAGTTAGGGAGGGCAGTGGCGATGCGCAGTAACGCGCGATGGATTAATTTGCGAACCATTAGCACATTAGAGCCCTGCATAAGTTTCCAACAATTCGGCTCCACATTTGGGGGGTGGGGTGCAGCGTCCGCCCTCCCTGCCCCCTCTGTCCCCACCCGTCCCGCTGGGGCAGTCTCCCAGCTCGCCCCACCCTTGACAAATTATCAAGAAGTTCCAGCAAAGTGGGTGAAATCACCCCACCATAAAAGTTAACCCCCCCCCCCCCCCCCCGCTATGCAAGGTCTCCACCTGGCTGGGGCAGCGGGCACCTTTTAACCCCCCCCCCCCCCAATATTTCACCGACCCTCATCCGATCTTTTTCTCCCGCCCCCTCCCCCCAATCTTACCCCCCCCCCACCCATCTCTCACCCCTTCCCGCCCCCACCTCTTAAAATGCTGCGGTCGCGTTGGGATCGCTTTTGCGCGAACTTTGATGCCCGGCTGAGTGGAGCCATGCATGGCAAAGGCGCTGTAACCTGGCCTCGCGCTTTCTTACAACGCAGCAAAGACAAACCGAACCCTCCAGCAAAACTGAACGCGGAACGCGAGAGAGAGAGAGGCAGAACCTGTGCGATGAGCGCGCGGAAGTGCGCGCGTGTGAAGTTCTCGATGTAGTCGCCGGTGCGCTGCAGGTCCACAGCCACACAGCGCGCGTCCCAGTGCGGGGACGGCGGGAGCAGCTGCGGGGGTCTCGGCGGGATCCCCGCGTAGCGCACGGGGGTCCGGGGGAGCGCGTAGGGCGAGCGGAGTATCCCCTCCATGGCCTCTCGCCCATGCGCACAACGAAACAAAAAGCCACCAGAGGAGTGGAGCCGTCAACTGGTTAAGCACGAGCGAGCAGATTTAACTTTTGACCCATTTACGGTCCTTTATACGCGCAAGCACCAACAGGCTCAAATCCTGGTGGAGGGTCTACTCAGCCCATCACCTCTCCAGGGGCGATAAAACGTGCGTAGAGTATTTGGCTGCGATAAATTTCCACGCAAGCCACTTCATTGAACTATCATTTGTGGCCAGGTCGCTTCTGAAGAGCTATATAGCGCAGTGGGCTTTACCTGGTAAAATAACGTTTAAAAGCAAGTGGTCTTCAAGGCAAGATTCGAACCCGCCATAGGAGTGTGGAATTTCCACCACTGGCTCGGGTGCTGTAAACAGGATACGCGCACAGCATCCAAGCTAATGAGCAGCAAATTGCCTCGAGTTTCCCGCATTACCACGCACAAAGACGTCACTTTATGTCAAAAGGTGCACCATATAAAAGGTCCACGGTTTAAACCTGGTAAAACTTAAAATGGGACGTTAGGGCTCAGTTCGCGCAGCACAAAGCGGTTTCGTATTCATCCACCAGTGGCTAATACTTCACCCCACGAGCCAGTGCGAGTAGGTAAAGGTGGTATACGGAACAATGGATGAGGTTGCACTGCCCTCTACCGCCTTTGAAAGGCAAGGTTACCGTCCGAGCAACTTGTCAAATTTCAAACGGCCAAGCCTCACATTTCTGGCTATATCGGGTGCATTCCAAGAGATTTCGCCCGATACAATTACCAAAGCCTCATTTGTACCCGTGGTCGGACAGCCCGCGGCCAGCTTAGACGCAGAAATAGTTGTGCTGTACTCCTATGCTTGCTGCGAGCCACTTCCAACATTGTTTCGGTTGCATTTGCGCTTTTAAAAAAGGAACGTCACAAGACGATCCGAGGTGGTGGAGCGGTGGCGCAGCGGTTAGCACACTGCTCCTCGAACTCGCGAGTCAAGATTCCCGGCCTCGCATCCCGTAGTCGGTGGCGGTCCTCAGATTGCGTTTGCCAAGTCGCACGGATCAGCGTGGCGAGGTACGGTCAAGAAATTCGCCCTCACCCCACGCCCAACACGGCGTGCACGAGTCCTAGTCGAGTAGTGGATTTACAGGGTTCAACTTTCACAACCTCGCAGAAACGCTAGAGTAGTGGTTGTGGACAAGTGCCTCCCCCAGTCAACATGCAACGAGGTTCTGCCTTGGGTGCTCTGGTTTAGTCCCATTTGTATGAAAAGGAAGTTTGCCGAAAACATTTGTTTTATCTTGAAATGCAGGAACCTCCTGAAAAAATGGTTCGACGGCATGGAGAGTTGATGGATAAAAACGCGTGTTAAAAAAAAATGGACGGAACCACGTGGGGTTGGCCCAACAACGGTCCACGTGCGCCGGGTCATTACTCCCATACCACTTTTTAGCCTTAAAAAAATATTCTTCGCGCACCACCGCTCACTTCTCCAGTCACAAACAGGCAAATTAAGTCTCTCGCTCGCTCTCAGATGGATGCCACACAGACGCGACTCACAAAAAAATCGATGCTACGTTGGCACCACGAGCCTTGTTCCTCCTCCTCGATCTACGTCGTGCGCACCTCTGTTCACACGGCCGGACAGTGGCGGCCGACCCACACGTGCGTTGTGCATGGGTAGTAGAGCGCGTTCCGTGTGCTGTGTGTGTATATATACTGCGGGGTGTGCTCGCGTGGTGGTGGGGTGGAGGTGGGTGGTCGGCCACTCACAAGCAACACCTGCCCATCACAATTACGGTTTATAACGGCACGTGAGCAATTATGGCTGAATGAATGAGAGTCAATGGACGCAATTACCGCAGTTTCGGACGAGATGGATGTTTTCTTATATAATCACGGCCACTGTGCACAATATACAGAAGTGCCCCCCACCCCCCTATCCCATCCGAAGGCTCCAAACGTTCAGCAACAAGAGTAAATATTAAAGTTGTAATATATATTACAGTTCATACGTTTTTTTATTGAGTAAGGTTATAATCATTTGTGAGGGGAGGGAATTCCGCGTTCGATTCCCGCTCATGGCCAACACCGGTGACGATTATCTGAACCGGTCCTAGGCATCCGCTAGGTCGACTCAGCCTCAAATGAGTACCTGGTGTGATGTGTTAAACATCGCCACTGGGGAGACAAAGGCGGCCATGCGTGGTGGTGGCCACCCACCCCTTCGCGTGCCGTGCTGGCCTTCATAGGTGCTCGCTAAAAGCACTTGCCCCAAAAGTCTTTGTCTTTGCCTTTTGGTTGAATAACAGCGTCAGCTGAGACGAAACTGAATCCGGTGGACCCAGCCCTCGACTTGGGTCGAGGAATCAATGTTGCAAACCGTGGCAGTAAAATTAGTAACGTGACGTGTGTATCATACCTAGTTGGTCCAACGTCAACAGCGTTTGCTGGGTAGCGGCAATGTCGTTAAACCCGCCACCAAGGTTTGTCACGTAAACAAAACATGCCAATTAGTTACTCATTCAGCACACCGGTGTGCTGACAAGACATTATGTTTTGGCTGTGTCGGGTGGTGGCGGGATTAACTACACATTTATATTTACGCGATTTAACCTCCCCCACCTCTATTATGGATAATATTGGTCGCGAAAGCCTTCGTTTATAAACTGAGCGGCAATAAAGATCGGTCATGCATTTGTTCGTCGAGGTGCACTCACCAAGCCCCGTGTAATTACATAATCACCAGTCCCGGCTCATTCATCGCAGCGGCAGCAGCAGCAGCAGAAAATCACACACGGAGCTGCACGCGTGGAATTAATCACTCGAGTTTTTATAATTTTCTCATTTGAATAAGAAAGGAGCTTTCAGAGGGAAATCCCTGCCAGGTCTCGAGGCTTCAACAAAAGGAAATATTATAAATGCTGCAAATGCATTCGCCTGTGTTTCTCCTAACCCTTAATTATATTGTAATCGTACCCGTTCTAGTCACGCGATGCCATGCGGAGATTCCCATTCGGATGTCTCGCGGAAAGCAGCGCAAGCATCGCCGCGGTGTTCGAGAGAACGCTCGTGGAAGGTGACATCATTCAACTAATTCTGAGGTCGCTTCAATTGAGTCTCATGCCAGAAATTAGCCTGGAAAGGTGCACCACCCAGTGTGGATAAGCGGCAATTTACTGGTAGGAACCCACTGGTTCCACCTAGCCCACAGGGGATTATTGTGTCCGTCCGTCGTGTAGGGAGGGGCTGGGTGGGGAGGGTGGGGAGGGTGGGGAGGGGAGGAGCTGGTCACCCCGTGGTGCCCTTATAAAACTCAACGTTGAACCTACTCACGCCGGCTTGTGCCCGCCCTCACAGTCGGGCATATTAGCGGAATATACCACGCCTGCCGTTGACCCTGGCCATTGACCGAGCAACCCAACGTTCCTACCAACTCCCTCCGCAGGAATGTGTTTATTATATCCGAGAACACATTGTTGCCAAGCTCAAGAATAGAACCGGGAATGCCTATTTATCTACGTACTAAGTGGCGCAATCCTCCCACGTACCATTAGTATACAGATCAGAGACGTTCGCCACAGGGCGATCACCCCAATATTGCTTTAATCCTCAGAGATAACTGGAATCACATGCAATAGTTTGTTTAACACGTAGGCTTGGGCGACAACTATTATCCACAATAGAGGTTTTTGGGTTAGATCTTAACAAAAAAACCTCTTATGTAATAGTTTGGTAGGTTCAATCATTGACGAACGGTCCAAAAACCATAATCGATGCATTTGTCCTCGAGAGAAAACCGGTTTATCGAAGCAGCAATTCGTGCAATGTTGTTTGCGGTGATATTATTATTGGTATGCGGCAAGGGTGGGAGTTCGATCAGTCTGGGAGAAGAGACGTGCCCGGAATGCTTGACTTACTCCTCTTCTTGGTTCTTTCGGTAAAGTCACGTAGAAGGGAAATAATAAAATAATAAAAATAACCAATAAAATACAATTCTTACTTTCACCACGGGAACAGCGCTGATAAGCAGCGATAGTTAAACATAAAAAAAAACATTTAAAAAAACTGTACCATAGTTTAATAGAGAAGTCGGAAATATACCTCGGGTTAAATTTGCATTAAACATGCCATACACCACGACGCTTGTGCCAGGCTATGTGCACGTTAAGGCCACGTAAAGTGTCGAACGCCCGCTGGCAGGAGGTCACGGGACAGACCCGGCAGGTGCCACAGGTCGACTGACTGAGATGACCCGGCTGATGCACCACCTGTGCCCCCTTCTGTACGATAAACAAAGACAAAGATCCCCCGTATAGCCTTAATAGTCTATTGTGGCAAGTGCTGTTAGCGAGCAGCTATGAAGGCCGGCACGGCACACGAGGGGGTGGGTGGCCAGCATCACGCCCGACCGCCTTTGTCTCCCCAGTGGAGATGTTGTACACACCGCACTAGGTACTCATTTGAGGCTGAGTCGATCTAGGGGATGTCCGGGATCGGTTCAGATAATCGTCACCGGCGTTGGCCCGTGAGCGGGAATCGAACTCGAGTCGCCGGGTTCGTAGCGCAGCGTCGCGCTGACCGCTACACCACCGCTCCCCACTATAAAAAGCAAAGACAAAGGTTCCCCCCGTATAGGCTCAACACAGGCTGCCGGGGCAAGTGCTGTTAGTGAGCCGCACCTATGAACAGCGCACGCGCGCGCGCACGCACTTTGGGAAACCCCCTTTGGTGTTTTCGGTAAAGTCACGCGGGTATAAAATAAAATAAATCCCCTCTCGTCTGTAAGCGATATCGCACGTGCTTAGCGTCACGTGCACTCCTTGAAGTGACTTAGGTCACCCATAGAAATCTCTCCCCTTCGACTCTGGGCAGGTAAGGGGGGCGACAAAGGGACGCGTCGAGTTGACGGAGGAGCAAGCGCGCCATGAAGCCGTTGCTGCTGTTCTCCCTCGCCTCGATTGTCATCGCCTCCTCGTTGACGTCGTTCTGCGAAGGCTCGCTCAGCCAGGGTGAGGCGATCATCCACGGCGTCGTGTGTAGCCGCCACTCGCGTCGCGACCATCACAGTCGTCGGTGTGATCGCTTCCGCAACATGACAACCCACACGGTTTACCCCGTATTCTTGTACAGGGAAATTGAGTTTTCACGTCCATACAGCGTACTTCCGTTTTCATACGGGCAACATATTTGTTTGTCTATTTGTGTGTGTTTCTCCCTTGTGATGGGACTTTGTGGGATGAACGTTGAGATTTGTAAGGCGGGCACGGGGTGGCCAATAAGGTGTGAATTGATCTGTAATAAGTGAGGGCACTGATAATGGGTTGACAGGTAATCACACGGCACATCACAACCATCACGCAGTATTCAATGGAATCACACCGCACACCACAACAGAGTTTTTGCTGTGGCTCTGTGGTTCATGTTTCGGTGACACATTTACGGCTGACAGACTATGGATAGAATCACGGCCAGAATTAAAATGTACGATAAATCAATGGTTAAGTCAAATAGCCAGTACTGCGTGATATGGTTTGACTTGAAGTTGAGGCCACGCTTATCGCGAAGGGTTTGGGCTCTGGCTCCTGTTGTGGGATTCTGTTGGACTTTGTTCCTGAGCACTGTTGAATTAAACGTCAGCTTCAATCGCTAACTTCGCGACTCCAATTTCCTCCAAATAGTTTTCACACACACACATATACATGCGCTCTGAGTCATTTGCTACGCTCTCTGGCGCGCTTTGAGAAATCTAAGTTGTTGTTTTTGACGCATTCACAGCCATGCGGAGCCTGTGTCCGTATCTGAACGTCCCCCTGTCTCCCCCTGTGCCTCCAATCTTCTATGTTGCCAGCATAGCCCCACTGCATTATACATTCGTAGTTCACTTTACAAACGTACGTACACAGTGGCTATGAACCTAAGTGCTGTTGTACTGCGTTGCCTGTGTGCTGCTTGTAGGTGTGAGTGGGGAGCGGTAGTGTCGCAGTTGGCGCGCTGCGCTACGAACCCGGCGGCCCGAGTTCGATTCCAGTTCACGGCCAACACTAGTGATAGCGATTGTCTGAACCGGTCTGGGCCTCCACTAGGTCGACTCAGGCTTAAACGAGTACCTGGTGCGGTAAAACAAAAAAAAACGTCGCCACTAGGGAGACAAAGGCGGCCGGGCGTGGAGTTGGCCACCCGCCCTCCTGTGCTGTGCCGGCCTTCATAGGTGCTCGCTAACAGCACTTGCTCCAACAGTCTGTTCAGGCTATACGGGGAATCTCTATGTGTTGTTGTCTTTGTGTGGTTATTCACGAGCCCTGTGGTTTCGGTTCCGCCTATCAGTTTGAATCGGGGACTTCCCATGCCTCACCCATACAGCGTGATCCATTTATAGATACCTCAATATCTTGGGGGTGCTAAAAAGCTCAAGAGAAACCCGACATTCTAACACAAAGCATTTACACGTCTCGCGCCAATCTCAATAAACTTCTTAAATCCTAAAGCAATAAGTTGATTTGATTTGTCTAACATCGCTGGTGTGGTTTGCTTGATTCAAGGGGGAGCTATGGGTTGTGTAAAATAAAACTTTTTTTTGTATAAAATATAACTTTAATTTGTATGTGAAAATACGGTTATATGAAGGAGACATTAATTCTGTTATGATGGGTTTTGCTATTATGTATTGTTACATATATTCCCAACAACGACGCTCGTGATTATTTATACGTGGTATAGAAAGTTTGCATTCACCTACGGGCCATATCTTGCCAATAACATCTCGTAATTCACCAGCATTGATTCAAACAAGCCTGACTGTTGATGAGACGCCGTATGTCGGATCCAGTGGAACATTTGCTTGGCCTGACTCAATGCTGCTGTAATGATGCATTCCCAGAAGGCCGTGGACCTCATGGGTTGTTTAAAAAGTATAAAGGAGACATTGTCTGATTATCCAATCATTAGAATTAAGTTGGAAATCTATAAATGGGTATCTTATTACAGGCACGTAAATGTTCTCATGGGCAGCAGAGTTCAGTGTAGAAAGAAACATGCAATGTTGGAACGTACTTCCATGCTGCCACTTTTGTGCTCCATACTTTCACCGACTCGCAATGACCAATGTGGTGAGGTATGGTCAAATAACCACCACAGTTAACACGGTGGCATTGTAAGGCCCTCATCCAGCCATGTACTGTATTGACAAAAAGTGCTCTCTGTATGTAAATGGTTCCCCATCCTTCCTCCCCTATTCCCCCACCACACCACAGCTTTATTAATCGTCATGATATGCGGGTCAAACGCAATTAATCTTCTCGTCTTAAACGTTTGTGTAATGCCTCGTTCGTGTTGTCTTATTCTGCCACGTTTGTTATTGTTCCATCTGGTTTGTTCTGACTGTCTTATTTGTACGGTGTCTTTTTGTTTGGATTCACCATCTATTTTGTCATCTCAATTTTGTTTTATTGTCTGCATAGAACAAAATTGAACTGTTTCTCCCATTTGTATTGTTTCTTACATTTGTAGTGTTTCTCCCATTTCTATTGTTTCACTCATTTCTATTGTTTCTCCTATTTCTATTGTTTCACCCATTTTTATTGTTTCTCCTATTTCTATTGTTTCACCCATTTGTATTCTTTCTTCTATTTCTATTGTTTCTACCATTTGCATTGTCCACCTGTCATATTCTCTGTTGCACATTGACTCGTGCGTATTGTCTCTCTCCTGTGTCCGGTATCATTTGTATCGTCGACCACTTTCGCTGCGTCTTATTTGGACGACAGTAACACAGAGATTTGCGTCTCCCCCCTTTCGCAAATACGTCGTCACGTCATTAACACCGTCAACAGATTTGCGTCGCATCAAACCCCACACTTACGTCTATGACGACATCGTCTGTCGTTATCCGTCGCCTTTCGGCCTTCACCTTCATCACAGTACCCTGTGAATCGCTTCGATTTACATCGTTTCAAAGTTCATCATCGCACATTTCAGGAACGCATCCCCAACTCAAGCCGGGTATTACTGTGTAATATTTTAATCAGTCATTACAGGTACAATGCAATGCGTGCATGTTGAGCCAACGAATCGCTATTGTGCAATGGATTGATTCTAGATTTGAAGCTTTCGTGACTGCAAGGATTCATATTCTTAGGTTTTTTCGGTAAAGTCACGTAGGTAAAACTTTTATTAATTTTAATGTTTTACCTACGTGACTTTACCGAAAAAACCTAAGAATATGCAATGAATTGGTTCCCCTTTACATAGCTCATTTATTCGAATACACAACGCCAACTCATACATTGCCTCGAGTTAACAGAATGCAGGACGTTATGGTGTCGCAACGTACAGCAGCCATAAATCATTATTGCAGGGTCCATTTGAATTAAGGGAAGCTTCAATTCGTATCAGGCCTCTAAGAGAGTCTCTAGGTTTGGGATATTAGAGGGAGCGGGCCCACGATTACGTAAAACTGAGAGCATCTATCTGTAGCAACGCGCCATTTCCTCTTTTGTTATGCCTATGACTGAGTGCATGTCCAGTATCGTGTGAAATCATAAATCACGACTCATATCACAACCACAGTAACAACTATTCTGATTAAACTAGATATCTACCATTACAAATCTATGTAATATTTCATTCTAATTTATCTGAGCCAATATAACTTTGAATCATTTGCCACGATAAATTAGAATAAAGTTGGCTTAACCCAAATATAAATTGGGCACTGCGGTGGCGAGATGTTAACGACCTTGCATGGTATACAGGAGGTCGTGGGTTCGATCCCAACCCTGACGCCTGCTGTATATTTGGAATTTGCATGTTCTCCCCGTGGTCACGTGAATTATTTTCCAGATACCTCCACATTTATAATCAACATGCGTTTAGATTATTTGGCTGCTATAAATTTCCACATGGTAAGTCACTTCATTAAGCTATCATTTGTGGCCAAGTCGTTTCTGAAAAAGAGATATATAGGGCAGTGGGCTTCCGCTGGTAAAATAAAATAAAGTTTAAAGTTAAATTCTAAATGAAATCGTGTGGCTGGCAGGGCTGGCCTACTGGCGCATCCGTCACCGCATGCACGAGCTGCGACGCAGGCAGCAGCATGCGGAGCTGTGGGGGTCCAACCCTTCCCTGCAGGGGCCGGCCAGCAGCAGATTCATGAGCTTCCTGAGGAACGTAGAGCTAAAGCAGCCGCTCGACCACCTCGACCCGGCCTGCAACAAAACCTTCAAACAGGTGCTGCCTCCGCGCTCATTGCACATAAAGTGCTCGCCACATATGAACTGCAATGCCTTGCGTGATCTCATCAAGGAGCATAAACCATCACGCGAACTCTGGTCATCGTCGGAGCGGCAGAGTTTGGTTGGCTAACCATGGTGGCGGTGTGTGTTGGCTGCAGCGTGTCTGGGTGAACTCGCTGTTTTGGAAGCGGCCTCACGGCCCCGTCTTCCTCTACATCGGTGGGGAATCGGCCCTCAGCTCTAACGACGTGTTTGTGGGTAAGGCAGCTCCTTTCTGACTTAACGGCGCAATAAATCAATATATGTATGCGTAAACAAATGATCTGGTGTTGATGCTGCTGCTGAGTTGGTAGTGGTGCACAAGCATGATTTACGACAACAAAAACTCAACACCATCGTCAATAACAACACTCAAACGGCGATGTATTAGGAGTGGCCCTTTTTCATAGCACATTTTCAATTGACAAACGGCCACTACCAAAAGAGAAAAATCCATTATCCGAAATGTAAAAAAAAATTGTCGAAGGCGAATATGTTCATTGTTATTTATTTATTTTGAATTGTGCCTTTCACGATAGGATAAAATAAATAAACAGCACGGAGTATCGGCCTAACAAACGGCAAATTTATGGTGGCCTGGAGGAGATTATCGCTGTTGGGCCACGTCACTCAGATGGACCGTAAGAGATGGTGATGACTTGCGGAGACCTTCGGCCAGTGGTGAATAGATGAGGTCAATGATGATAAAATAAATGGGATGCATAAAATTTGCTGCACCACCCTCTGCTGCCCACCACATAGCCTCTAGCTCAATTCAGCCACAGATGAGTACCTGGTGTGGTGTTATGGGGGGAGACAAAGATGGCCAAGAGTGACGCTGGTCCCACCACCCAATAGTGCATAGTGCATCGTGCCGGCATTAATAGGCGATCACTAACAGCGCTTAATTCCACGGTGTGTGAAAGTGAACAGGGATTTATTTTCGTCTTGGCTGTTGTGTACACTTTTGCGCGTTCCCCCATACTCTGTCCGCAGGCCAGCACGTTCGGCTGGCGCACAGCCATGGAGCTCTTCTGGTCGCCGCTGAGCACCGATTCTATGGCAAAAGCGTCAACGAAGAGGGGCTGTCGGACAAGAACCTGCGATACCTGACCATCAGCCAGGCGTGAGTGTCTCGCCAAGCACAGGAGTAGCACCATAAGTGCTTCGTACTTTGTCCCTGGTGCAAGGAATGAAATGAAGTTAACTCAATGTGGTCTTATCACTGTGTAGGGAGTTTGAATGCCGGTATCCCAGTATGTGGTGAATCTGAGTGCCCCCGGCATACTCGGGTTCCGTGAATCTGAATGCCAGTCACGCATGCGCATTTCGTGCGTGCGCGTCTCCAATGATGTGGTTCAAGGGGTGGGTTATTTTTTGGGGAAGGAGGGAATTTATTCACTGGATGAGCGGTCAACAATTTTATTCAAAGGAACATAGTACCCGAAGGTAAGAGTGGCCATCAGAGTACCCAGAAAGACAACCAGGGGCACAACACCCAAAATGTCCACGTGGTCAGGTGCGCAATCCCATGCGCTCAGCTGCCACCTTGTGGCCACCCCGCAGCACTAACCCAGTTGGTTTGAGAGTGTTTCACAAATCTACGTGATCCGCCAACCCTTGCCTCCAAAGCAGTGGATTCAGGGGTGTTGTGCCGCCACCGCCGCCGCGGCCGGCTGGCGCATGTCCCCTGCGCAGGCTGGTGGATCTGGTGCGCGTGCACCGCTACGTGAGCGACGAGTTTGGCCTCAAGCAGGGCCACGTCTGGGTGTCGTTCGGCGGCTCCTACCCCGGCTCCCTCTCCGCCTGGTTCCGCCTCAAGGTGCGACACCGTACATCTTGTTTTATTATTTTCAATATTTATAAATGTACGTGTGTATATTGAACTTCTTTCGCGTCGTACGGAGCCAACCACGCTCATCGGAGGTGCGGGGGGGAAGGAGGACAAAATGAGTACACTCGAGGCAGATTGTGGCTCGGCTTGGGTCCTGCAGTTGAACAAAAAAAAACGCCCTGGCGAACCCCAGAGCCGCGCCGGCCTGGCTCGGTTGTGCAGTGGAAAAGAGGTACTCGAGGGCTACGCGGAGAAATCTTTGCTGAACAGCGTCGTTGCCTTCTGTGTCTGCAGCATCCAGAGCTGATCCACACTGCCGTTGCCTCGTCGGCGCCAGTTCAAGCTCAGTTGGACTACGCAGGGTACGACGAGGTGAGGCTCGCAGGCTCCCGTGGCAGACACGATCAACAGTACCGCGATGAAGGTAAAGGTGCAGGCCGGCAATCGCTCGTTCCCGCTCACTGCTGGCGGAGAGGCCTCTGCTAGAAGGAGTCTCAAGAGAGCCCCTCTAGAGGGTACGTGGCCTACTCTTCCACGCTGGCCCGACTTATTGGAGAAGGTTGGGAATACCAGCACGCTACCCGACCACACTTCAGGCTGCTGATCGACTAAAGGTGGTGAACCCATTTATATATGCCGAGTGGACGGAAGTGTGTGGATTTAGAAAACTTGCACAATTGTTTCAATGGCCGTTGCCGGGAGATCGAATTAAACTGGCAGGAAATGCAGTGTGCTACTTCATCACTGCAGCACCCCTTCACTCACAGTGTTATGTGAACAAACAGCACCGTTACTGTTGGCGTTGATGAACATTGATGAGAATGGACAATATGGCGATGGTGGTGCATGCTTGTAATCCAACACTGCGGGGGCGAGGGTTAATGGATTGCACACACGTTACGAAACTTTCTTCCCGTCGGCAACGAGGTGCCATACCCTGGCTCGCCAGGAGAGGGCAGTGTGTTTCCTCCTCGCTCAGGGGTGCTCCTCTATAGAGAACCGCAGAGCTTGGGCAATTGTTGGTGCCGGCTCATCGCCTGGCCGCCTTCCAGCTTGTCTGATACCTGCCGCCTCTTAATTGCTCGCTCTACGAGAGTGAGCGAATACTGTGTGCAAAAAATATTTTAAGTATTATCATGAACGCGTTTTACTTTGTGGTTTTCCCCTCACCCTCAGGTTGTCGGGCAAAGTCTGCGGAATTCGGTGGTCGGAGGATCTGACGAGGTAACGCACACTCCTATCTTCTCCTGGGGGTGGTGGGGGGGGGGGGGTTCTTGGTAATCTCAGGAACCTTGGGAACTGGTGCTGGTTTTCTGTTAACATTAGAGACCAGACCTGAGCCGTGCCACTTGATTCCTCATTACAGCCCAGCACGGCTATATCGCTGCCCCAACAAATTGACTCTCAAACGCTCATCCCCCACCTCACTGCTCTACGCTGTTGGATGAAAGCGACTGTAATTTAGTATTACAAGTTGTAGCACCTCCTTTGGTGTGATTTTACACGACCCAAAGCTAATATATCATACATCGGTCATTCCCTGGCTTTTCTAAAAATATAAACTCCGGCCGTGAATTCGACCTATCACAGGGGAAATGTGCTGCATTGTTTCACGCACGTAATCTGCACGAGGTGCACAGCAGGGGGCGATGTGTCTATGTCTGTACTCCCAATCAAGCAAATTGCAGATAACCTTTCCAATTTGGCAAATTGTCACTGTGATGTATGTATATGCATGTATGTTGAACTTCTTTCACATCACATGTAACCAACCGTGCTAATCCACAGTGTGGGGGAAGGACAACAAACTAAACATAAAAATCAGTTCTAAAGAAATTAGTTTTCAATCTAGATTTAAAAGTGCCTAGGTCTAGTCGCTTCCACATATTGGAAGGAAGGGCTTTCCAAAACGGCCGCAGAAGCGCATCTGAAAGCACCGGCACACGATGGCCGACTCTTTTACGAATAACGTCACGGGTTCTTTTGATGTCAACTGCGAAGCAGACGGCGCTTACATTTACGGTCAATGCAACCCGGTTAACAGTGTAGTATTAACCAGGGCGGTCATGATGCTTGAACCGCGAACCCCTGCAGCAAGTGAGAAACTGCGCTTCTTCTCGGCCACGTCACTGCTCGACAGTGTGTGAGCAGCATGCGAGAGGGCTTTGAGCATCTGGATAAGCTCCTGGAACAACGCAAGTACGAGGAAGTTCAGAACGACTTCGAGGCCTGCGGAAGCCTCCAGAAGGCCCGGGACCGCGCGACGTTCGTGGGCACCCTGGCGAGCGTGGTGATGGTGGCCGTGCAGTATGACGAGCCTGGATTCCAAGCACAACATCGCGGAAGTGTGCGACAAGATGACGGACCGGACCGTGGGCGAGCCATACCAGCGCCTTGCCCACCTCGCCAAGGTGCCACGTCGCATGGAGTTCATGCATTGATTCCTCCACCCATGTTGAGGACTTTCGTCTCATCTGCACTGTTATTCAACCACCACCCCGTCACACTGCAGGTCACAACAAGACTCCCACCCACTCAACCACACACTCACCCACCCACCCACTCACACATTCATCCACTCCCCACACTGCAGATCATAACATACCCCCACTCACTCAACCACACACACACACACTCACTCACCTGTTCACTCATCTACATACCCACACTTGCTCAACCACCCACTCACTCACCCACTCACTCATCCACTCACTCATTATCCACACTGCAGGTCACAACAACACACTTGCTCACTCATCCACTCACTCGCCACACTGCAGGTCACAAGTCTTCTCATCTGCTGCTTTCCTCGCACTGCACCACTTTGTAAGTTCCTTCCCATCAAATTGTCTGCGCTCATGGCTATGCGCGCATATAATCCGGCACTTTGGATGTGAGGGTTGGTGGATCAAACACATTGGCGTGTTTTGTTTACGTGACAAACCTTACTAATTGGCTGTGTCGGTGGTGGTGGGTTTAATGACACATTTATATTTACGCGATCTAACACAAAAAACAACCTGTTTTATGGATAATATTGGTCGCGCATGCCTACTTTGTTATTAAACTGACATTCGTGAAATTCCACGCGCCAACCTGTATGTGTTGAGGTCACGATCTCTTGGCTTGCCCAGCGTATGATGGCAAGATAGCAAGTGGGTTAATTTACATCTACTCAGGGATGACCAGTTGACTCCATCGCACGCGTGTGTTTTCTCCGGGTACTCAGGTGTGTCATCCCAAGTATAGGACTGCAGAGTTCGGGACAATTGTCAGCACTGGCTTCTCGCTGCCGCCTTGCTTCGTAGTTTCCCGCACCTCTGAAACATTCCGTCTCTCAGAGAGTGGACGGAAAACTGCGCACGTTACAATTTCAACAATCATCCTAAAACGTATTATTACACGCGTGGCTGCGCACGGCGGTATATGCTCGTCGTCGCTCTCATGTCCCCTCTGCTGTGCCGCCGGCGCTTTAGACGCATCTTCTGGACGACACCAAGACGTGCGTGCAAAGCTCGTACGACGAGTATCTGCTCGCGCTGCAGAACGAGGCCGCTGATCCCGAGCTCTCCGAAATGCGTCAGTGGTTCTTCCAGAAGTGCAGCGAGATCGGAGTGTGTGAGTACCCGCGATTGGTCGCTCGCACCACTGCCGGTCGAAGGGCCTCCTCTAGAGGCACTCTACACAGCGCACATCGAGAGTACTTTGGTCTACTCTTCCACGCTGGTCAGACATCTTGGAAAGAGATGGGAGCACCTACGACTTACTCTTAGTTTTTTTTCGGTAAGTCACGAAGGTGAAAACAAAATAAAATAAAATAAATATATATTTTGTTTTCACCTACGTGACTTTACCGAAAAATCCCTTGCAGTCACGACAACTTCAAATCTAGAATTCACCCATGAATTATCCCATAACACTTAATCTGACATTAGACTGAACTGCGGTGTATCCATTTACACTGCTGGATGGACAGAGGTTGGTAAGAATGTATGAAACTTGCACCATTGGTAATTATAGGTGCTCTCTAACCGCACTTGCCGCTACAGTCATAGTAAGGCTATCGGGCATCCGGACATCGTGCCGGTCATACGACCCCACCATATGTCCATGCTGACCTTCCTAAACAGGTGACAAAATAAATGACCAACATTGCATATCTATCCCTTTACGTGAAGAAAATAATATTTTTTTACACATATCATCAATCAGAGGACATATTTTTGAAGGTGTATTGTCTGATTATGTATTTTGTTACTCATTCTCCGCAACTATGCGAATGTATATCATATAATAATCCTTAATAAGTGCTTTCTAACAGCACTTGCCTGTACAGTCGATAAGGCTATCCGGGGAATCTTTGTGTTTGTGTGGGGAGCGCGGAAGTGTAGCGGTTAGTGCGCTGCGATCGGGAACCAATAACAGCAGTGAAAATTTTAACCAGTCCTGGGCCATCCCTAGATCGACTCAGCCTCAAAATGAGTACCTGGTGTTGTGTGTAATTATATTATCCAGCACTGTGGAGACAAAGGCAGCCAGACATGGTTTGCTAGCCACACCACCGCTTCGTGTGCCGTGTGCCGTGCCAGCGTCCATAGGTGGTTCGCTAGCAGCACTTGCTCCAGCATCGCGGTGGCAAGATGTTAACTACCTCGCCTGGTATACAGGGGGTCGTGGGTTCAATCCTGATCCTGACCTTGACTCCTGTATATTGCATGTTCTCCCCGTGGTCACGTGGATTTTTCTCCGGTTCCTCCGGTTATTACCTCCACATTGAGAATCAACGTGCATTTAGCGTATTTGGTTGCTATAAATTTCCACGTGATAAGTCACTTCGTTGAGCTGTCATTTATGGCCAAGTCGTTTCTGATAAAGAGCTATAGAAGTCAGTGGGCCTCACCTGGTAAAATAAAAATAGTTTATAGTTTAATTATAAATGAAATTGTGGAGCTGGCAGGGCTGTCCTACTGGCACATACATCACCGCGTGCACAAGCGATGACGCAAGCAGCACGCAGAGCTGTGGTGGTCCGACCCTTCCCTGCAGTGATAAGCCACTTCAGTAGGCTATCATTTGTGGCCAGATCGCTTCTGAAAAAGAGCTATACAGTGCCCAGTGAGCCTTACCTGATCAAATAATAAGTATAACCCGTAAAAACAAAGTTTTTCACTGTAAATCCTTTATATGCGTGGCAGCGAACTTAATGTAAAGGATTTAAAAATATATTCGCCTGTGGAGGACGCGGGGATCGATCCCGCGACCTTTGGCATGGGAAGCGAGGGCGCTACCAACTGCGCTACTCCGCCACGGCCTGTGGAGGGGTTACGCTCTGGGCTCTTACACTGTGACGTTCAGCCAAAGCCATGAATGAGTTCTATTTGAATATATGTAAAATCATTTTTTTTTGCCTAAAAAGTGTAAAATTTTGGGAATTTTTTTTCACGAACATTAATTGTCTCGCACAACGAGTCTGTGTGGAAAATGTCAGCTCGATTGGATCACGGGAAGTGGGTTAAAAAACGACCGAAAGATTTGCACGGTCGTAAGCAAGCAAGCACGCAAGCAAGCAAGCATGCAAGCAAGCAAGCGAACTTAATATAAAGGATTTAAAAATAGTGTAGTGTAATCTTGATTTGAAGCGTTCGCGACTGCAGGAATCCATACTCTTTGGTTCTTTCGGTAAAGTCACGTAGATAGAAAAAAAAAACACAAGCAATCGTCATCAGGTGGGACAACCACAGCAAACAAAAAAACTGCTGAAGTAGGAGAGATCTGCCGTGGCACGAGGTTATATAGGCCTCGGCAGTAGGGGGGGGAGAGAGGGGGCGGGGCAGAAAGTGGACCCCGCGGCAACACCCGGGTCACTGGAGTAAAGTGGACCACCGCGGCAGCACTAGAGAGATCGGCTGCAGTGGGGGAGAGATTGGCTGCAGGGGAGGAGAGTGTAGTGTGTAGCAGCCTGTTAAGACTATACGGGGAACCTTTGTCTCTGTGTGCGCATCCAGTCCAGTCGTGCTACCCGGAGCGGGGCTGCCCGTTCTCGCGTCTGCTCACGCTGGAGGCCGATGTGGACGTGTGCGTGCGCGTCTTCGGCCTGTCGCTCCAGGACGTCTCCCGCGGCGTCGACAGCACGAACCGCGTGTACGGAGCCAACCGCCCCAACGGCACCAGAGTCATCTTCGTGAACGGTGACTCTCTCTCGGCTTTGTCGTAGCGCCGTTTCCACTGACGCCTCCGAGCCGAGCCGTCCCTGGAGGCCTTCGTAGGTTGCTGGTGTGTTTTTTTTCCCACACCGGATGTTTACCGAGCAGAGCGAGAACGTGCTTTGTGCTCCAAAGCCAATGCGGTCTATTTAGATTTTTTTTTTTCAGCCCAATTGTTTTTTGGAAGAGGATTAATCTCATGTTATCAGACAGGCTGGGGCTGACCTCTTTGAAGGAGTATGAACTCAGAACTGATTTTTGTATTCAGTTTGTTGTCCTTCCCCCGCACCTCTGATTACCACGGCTGGCTTTGTATGGTGCGAAAGAAGTTCAACATACGTACATACAACGAACATGTAAAGTAGTGCCGCGGAAACGTGCCAGACAGCGCAGCAAATAAATAGCCTTTGTGTGATCACCCTTCATCTCTCGGTTGCGATGAATGGAATACTACATGTCGTCAAAACCTAAAAATATATATTTAGCGTTCCCCAACATACTTATGGCTTCTTTCCACTGTACAATGAACCCGCACCGGGGCCATGCTGAGGCAGCCCCTGGCATGGCTCACATTTGTTTTTTCCACTGCAGAAGCCGAGCCACGCTGCTGATGTCACACGCAAATAAACCGCGTCAGTGTTGTCGATTAATGCCACATACAATGAACGCAGCATTAGCTCAACCGCTGGCCTTGCTTGACCCCGACTCTAATATATTCTGAGGCCCAGAGTTTCATGGCTTAGTTCTGGCTCGGCTCGGCAAATAGCCGGTGGAAACCACCCGTTACAATGAGAATTCCCATCCTGCCTTGGCTCGGATGTGCCAGTGGATAACGGGGTATTGACCTCCGCCACCACATATGGCAATGCCCCACACCCACCCCCCCTCACAGCATCATCACTATGGTTACATAGCAAGGTCTCGAATCACCAGGGTGCCTATGATGCCAATGATTTGGGTGTAGTGAGGATGGGATTGTAGAAGTGATGCCGATTATGACGACGATGGTGTCGGTGGTGGATGATGATGGTGATGTTCGATTGTTTATGGGCAGTTTAAATGCCCCTAAATGAATTGTGTAATGACTTTAACTTTAACTGATTCCTAACAGTTGGCCCAACTTTTTTGATGTCCACGCAGATGCTCCTGGTGTGTCTGTTGTTGGCAATTTATGTTTGCTGGTGATTATAATGCGCACCTCAGGGTATATTAACACATGTTATTTGCAAGTTGAGCAGTATTCAATTATTATTTTGTAAAAAAAAAAAAGTTGGAGAACAGATGGTTTCCATTTGGGAATATAATTAAAGTCTGCTACTGACAGGAAGAGATGTTGACTCGGTGTAATGATTAACGCACTGGAGTTGTGGCGATGGTTAGAAATGATGATGGCGATGTTTGACAATGATGATGATGTTGGTGAAGTTGGTGATGGTGGTGATGATCATGATGGTTGTGTTTATGATGACGGTGGTGGCAATGGCGACGACGATGATGGTGGTGCTGACGATGGTTGTGACGATGCGATGTTGACGACAACGACGATGCGGCCTCCAGGTGACATCGATCCGTGGCACAAGCTGAGCGTACTCAAGTCGCTGTCTCCGTTGCTCCCCGCGATCGTCATCAACGGCACGTCCCACTGCGCCGACATGGAGACGCCCAAGATGAATGACATCTATGCCCTACGTCACGCCAGACAGGTGTGCACTGCCACACAGGTGTAGACGCAACACCCAGGTGTATGCATCACACAGTTGTGTACATCTCACAGTTGTGTACATCACACCCAGGTATACACATATCACACAGTTGTATACATATAACACGGGTACACACATAATACAGATACACCACAGAGATTCCCTACATTCTAAAAATTATACTATCCTACACGTGAACTCTGTATGTCTGTTACGAGGTCTTTAGGTAATCGAGCTATTCAGTACCCATGACAACGGACTCCCAGACTGGTTGCCATTGGGGTTTTTAGACCGTGGACTGTTGAGGAAGAGTCTTTTATTGAGGACTGCGTACTATAGACTGACAGATTTGTCTCTGACAGTGGGGGTCTCTCTAGACCACTGGTTCTTAACGTTAACTACAGCCTTGCACCCCTATGGTTCTCAATCGGTTAAACCTGTCTAATATTAATACATACATAGGTTTCATGAAAACAAAGTAGTTGTACTTGCATGCCCGTGTTTTCAGTTTTTCGGTTTAATTTATTTGGTATAGCCCTGTGAGCCATTCGGCTCTTGAATCGGGTGCAACCGCAACAAACAAAAAACAAAAACATGAACAAGAAAACATCTTAAAGTGACTATGTGACTATGTGCAAACAGAAAATGCAAGAAAAGACAGCAAAATATTGCAGAAAAAGCACCATACACCAACGTTGTGTGCAAAAATCCCAGTAGGGATGCAAGTCAAACAACAACAACAACCACAAGACAACTTAGATTAAGGCCATCAGTCTTACTCCGTACTCCAACAAACAAACATGGCCAAACCAAATAACTTTTCGAAGTCACCAAAATATAGCCATAAAAGCAATGTAACAGTGATCATAGGAACTGTGACCGAATTTTCACAATAAACGACATTAACAACATGTACCACCAAACCCTGCAGCCATAGCTGGCTGCATGAGTGTTTAATTTGTGTTTCTAATGATTTACGTTCGAAAAATATCTGCCCATGTCTACGCACCCCCAGAAAGGGCATCTCGCACCGCCAAAGGGTGCGTGCACCCCAGGTTAAGATACAGTGCTCTAGATTTTCGACTCTGGTGGCATATGTAGGCAGTAGATTGACAGACTAGTTTCTGGTGAGTAGGCAAGTATTTATTATGCCAGTTAGTTAATATTTCATGACCCTATTAAAAGATGACATGTCTCTGGTGTGTGTTCTGGATTGTCACTACGGTGCCATAATGACGTGCCTTGACCATGCCCCCCCCCCCCCCCCCCCCCGACTGTCCACGTGTGCAGGAGATCGAGAAGCAGATCGTCCAGTGGCTGCAGTGACGTCAGGGATGAGGGACTCCACTCGACAGCGTGGGAAATGGTGCATCGGCGAATAAACAACACACTCAACCTGACCCTCATCCCATTCAACACTAAACCTGACACCCATCCCATTCAACACTCAACCCAACATCCATCCCATTCAACACTCAACACGACACGCATCTCATTCAACACTGAACCTGACACTCATCCCACTCAAAACTCAACCTGACACTCATCCCATTCAACACTGAACTTGACTCCCATCCCACTCAACACTCAACCTGACACTTATTTCATTCAACACTCAACCTGACACTCATCCCACTCAACACTCAACCTGACACCCATCCCATTCAACGCTCAACCCAACATCCATCCCATTCAACACTCAACACGACACGCATCTCATTCAACACTGAACCTGACACTCATCCCACTCAACACTCAACCTGACACTCATCCCACTCAAAACTCAACCTGACACTCATTCCATTCAACACTAAACCTGACCCTCATCCCATTCAACACTCAACCTGACACCCATCCCATTCAACGCTCAACCCGACACTTATTTCATTCAACAGTCAACCCAACATCCATCCCATTCAACGCTTAACCAAAAACGCATCCCATTCAACAATGAACTCAACACCTATCCAATTAAATACACATCCCATTCAATATTCAATCCGACACGCATACCGTAACTCTCAACCCATTCAACTCTCAACCCATTTAAAACTCAACCCGTTCAATGCATGAAATATATCCTATACTGTCCTTCGCGTAAACACTTGCACTTTGAGGGGGAGAGGGTGGATTTAAAGAAATGATTGTATTCTTTTCTGTTAACTTTTGGTATTATGGATGTGGGGCGGGGTGAGGGGGAGACTGTGTAGGGTGGGTGGGGGTCAGTCACCTCTTCAGAGACTCCACAAGCCAGTGGAGCAGTAGGCCTAGCTCAGGACGAGGTGATAGTGATGTCTGCTCTGCGTGCTATTCACAGCTCTCTGTCTGGTTGCTGGCTTCTTTTGCATACTTTTTTTAACTCTTTAAAATCTTCCGCAACGCTTTTTTTACGAAGTGCTTTGAGATGCCCTTGGCGCAGGAATGCAAAGCCTGCACGTGATTTATCTTTACATTTTTAACGCTCCTGATTTTAATGCGATAATTGTGATTTGTGCGTGGTCATTTTTGACAACTTTTGAACAATATTTTTCCATGTGAACGTTTTCATTCCATTAGTGGAACTCGTTGCTGTTGACCAGGGTAAATCTCAATGTTTTTACGAGACAATCAACACCATCATCAGCCATGATCAATCCACTGCTGGATGAAGGTCTCTCCGAGTTTATATAGCGCACTGATTTATAACGACTCCTCGTGTTGCTGTACATGTCGTATCAATATTGTGTGAGAGAGATGGCTCCGCATGTTGAAAGGTGGAGCCTTTAACGTTTCATTGCATGTTTGAGGAATGGTGGGAGACGCGCAGAGGGTTTTAAATCAAATAAAAGTTTTATCTTTTTCATTCTCCCCAGTTTTCTTTGTGGGGGGGGGGGGGGTTATCTATCAAAGGATCTCGCTGTGTAATATTGTTTTCGTTGTTGTGAATTGTAAGTAATGTTTTGTGCCGTTGCGTGACTTATTTAAATCTACATATATAGCATCTATATATCGTACCTCTCGATTAGCACGGTTGGCTACGTACGGCGTGAAAGAAGTTCAACATACACATTGCTATTCTTGGTTCTTTCGGTAAAGTCAGCAATCATCGCTTGTGTTGCAATCGAAACGTCGTGAGAATTTTATTGTTTTATTTTTATTATTTTATTATTTCCCTTCTACCGAAAGAACCAAGAATATGATTCCCTGCAGTCACGAAAGCTTTAAATCGTGCACGATGGTCAACAATGATACCGGGAGTGGCAGCCAAGGAATGGAACAGAATGAGAATTATTTAATGTATGCCGGAGGAATCCGATGAGCCATGAAGCTCCTTGTCACAAATGCCCAGTAAGAACGCCCCCTGCGAGTACATCCGTCGAGGAGATGGAGCGATGAAATCGACGTGCGAGTGCTGGGTGCATTATTTAATCGCAGGATGACCAGAGGTGGCAGGTCCTGATGACGATCGCTTGTGTTGTGATTGAAACGTCGTAATTTTTTTTGTTATTTTGTGTTATTTTCTTTCAACCTATTTACGTGACTTTACCGAAAGACCCAAGTAAAAATTAACCCGTAAAAAACAAAGTTTTTCACTATAAATCCTTTATATGCATGGCATCGGGGCGGCTAGAGTCCTCACGTCCTCTGGCTTGAGATGGCTGCCACCTATGGGTCATATGATTGTCTGGCACCATTAAGCAATTGGTAATTAAATATTTTTAAAAAATTCCCTAGTGTCAAATTTTGGACAAATTTTTCACGAAAATTAATTGTCACGCACAACGAGTCTGTGTGCAAAATGTCAGCTCGATTGGATCACGGGAAGTGGGTTAAAAAACGACCGAAAGATTTGCACGGTCGTAAGCAAGCAAGCAAGTGAACTTAATATAAAGGATTTAAAAAAGAGAGAGTTCTCTATAGTGGAGGCGCTTTTGTCAGCAGCGACGTGAGCCGACAATTTCAGAGCTGCACCCAGTGCCGTATTAAGCAAGTTCAGGGCCTGTAGCGTATGTTATAAAGGGGCCCTATAATAAAAAAACACACAAATATTTAAACACAAATTTTTTACTTGCATAGTAAAGTAATTATATTCTTCTTCTTGGTTCTTTCGGTAAAGTCGCGTAGAATGGAAATAATAAAATAATGAAAATAAAACATAATTAAATAATTCTCAGGACGTTTCGGTCACAACGCAAGCAGCCGTCCTCAGGTGAAAACCAGGTCTGTCGAGATGATAGTCATTCAGACTCTGTCTTCTCGACAGACCTGTTTATTATGTTTAATTTTTATTATTTTATTATTTCCATTCTACGTGACTTTACCGAAAGAACCAAGAAGGATGAATCCCTGCAGTCACGAAAGATTTAAATCGAAATTTTATTATATTCTTTCATTTGCTACACAGCCAGATAATACGACAAATCGCTAACCTTAAACAAGTTATAGGCAATATAGTGCTATAGGAATAGAGCAAGGGGCCGTCCATAAATGACGTCACGCACCTGGGGGGGGGGGGGTCAGACATTTGTGACGATGTGTGACGAGGGGGGTCAAAAATTGTCCAAAATCGCGTGACGTAACTTATGGACGGCCCCCAAGTGCAGAATCACTGACACGGAATTGATAGCTTGAAAGCATTTAGCGCGGGGCCCTTGAAAGTGTGGGGCCCGTAGCATATGTAGCTACTTTTGCTACGACGATAATCCGGCACTGGCTGCAACTTTACCGCCCACAGTATTGTGTACCGTGTGTAGGCGCCACGGTGGCGAGATGTTAACTCCCTTGCCTGGTATCCAGGAGGTTGTGGGTTCGATCCAGACCCTGACGCCTGCTGCTGTATATTTGGAGTTTTCTTGTCTCTCCACGTGGTCGCGTGTATTTTCTTCTCCTCCACATTAGAAAAAGACGCGTTTAGAGTATCTGGCTGCTATGAATATCCACGTGATAAGCCACTTCGTTGAGCTATCATTTGTGGCCAGGTCGCTTCTGAAAAAGAGCTGTATATCGATTTAAAGCTTTCGTGACTGCAGGGATTCATCTTCTTGGTTCTTTCGGTAAAGTCACGTAGAAAGAAATTAATAAAATAATAAAAATAAAATAATTCTCACGACGTTTCGGCCACAACGCAAGTAGCCGTCTTCAGGTGAAGAACAGGTCTGTCAAGGAGACAGAATCAGGTGAAGAACAGGTCTGTCTCCTTGACAGACCTGTTCTTCACCTGAATGTGGAACAGTCTCCTTTTTTTTTCTACGTGACTTCACCGAAAAAACCAAGAAGAAGAGCTGTATCGTGTGCCTTAGCTGGTAAAATAAAACATAGCTTAGTTTTCGCTCAATACGCTCTGGTTCTTTCGGTAAAGTTACGTGACTTTTGTTTTATTGATTTGAAGCTTTCGTGATTGCAGGAATCCATACTCTGGTTCTTTCGGTAAAGTCACGTAACAAATCAAGATTTGGTTTAATAAACAAAGTAGTTGTGACCCGGTGACATCACCAGAGGGCGCTATTGCACATAACTAAACGGCAGTGGTGACGCTTGTGCCTCGCAACAAGAAGGACCTGGGTTCGATTCCTGACAAGGGGACTTTTCCGTGCGGAGTTTATATGTTCTCTCTCCCTGTTCCACATGAGCTTCCTCCGGGTTATGCAGACCATGCAGGTCTATTGAACAAGATTCCGGCTGCATCCATGCAACTGTTGACCTTCTTGAGCACTGAGGGTGGACACTGGGCTCTGAGTACGTGTAAGATTTTCTTAGACAAAGGTGATCATGGTAATTAGCAATGGGGCACCTGTGATTGGACTCCATGTCACGGTAGGAGGACATAGGAGTATAGGTGGTAGGTGAATGTGTGCTGAGCCATTGATGCCTCTTTTCCTCGTTGCAAGGCCCGCGCGGGCCACTGGCATCCCATGGTGACCTTTAGTGCGGCCCCTGACGTGCGCCTCCAATAATACACAAAATATGAAAACACCACCCCCAGCGTGCTGTTAAACCCCAACGGTTTGAAACGTGTAACAGCTCTCACACTGAAGTCACCCCCCCCACCTCCTCCTTCTGAAAATGAGTGAAGAACACTGCCCCTACACAGCGGTCTATTTATTATGGTCAGGGTGGGGAGATCGTTGTGGTCTGTGGCATTGTGCTCTGTCGCCTCGGCAATGAACACGTGGACCTTAGGGACACAACACGCACGACGGAGGGAGAGGGCCCCAAAGTGACCACGGGCCAAGGTCGGCACGACTCAAATGCTACGAGTGTCCGCCACGGGCAGTATCCACCGTGTGTATACATTTGAGTGTGTGTACACGGTACACATCTTGAGGCCAAAGATTTTGCCTCGTCCTTGGCTAACAAATCCGTGAAGGTAGGTGGGAGGGCGTGACCCCTTCTCCCCCACACCTCCTCCTTTGAGACCCAGAAATGTGAAATTTTATTGATATTTTATTGATATTTTCCCAATAGAAAAATTAAGTAATGTAAATGAATTAATTAATGTATTGAGCCGTATTGAACAAATAAAATAGATGAAAAACTTCTGGACACTGCCTCTCCGTCCGTCCCTTCCCTTGGCAAGTTTATCGATCCGCCCGCGTGGCCGATGGTCCAGAATAATAGCGGAGCGACAGCCGAGGGATGGAACGCGCACGCTCCCGAAAGCGCGTCCCCTCCAAGGAGACGGAGCGATGAAATCCGCGCGCGTTGCACCATCGAGGTGGATTATTCCACCATCGCAGGATGGCGAGCGGTAAGCGGTGGCGGCCGCTTGCGGGGATGTAGCTTTTTTTTAATCCAGCAGTGGATTAACCACACGGCTGATTTTGATGGTGGTGGTGAACAGGTGGTGGTGGTGGGTGGCGTGATGCGGGATGAGAAGCAGCGACGCAGCGTGGTGGCTCCGAGCAATGTTGACGTCACTCGCTTGAGCGGGGATCGGGGGGAGGGGTATGGGTTTGGGGTTAAGGGAGCGGTGGTGCCACCGTTGTGCAAAGCGATCCGCACGCACGCGCACGCACGCGCGTGCACGTCTCCCGGAGGAATCACGGAGCCTTTCGCCACAACCACAGTCTGAACCACCACCACCACCGACAGCTACAACCGCAACATCATCCATCATCAAATACTAAGTCCACGTGAGCCAGAGACGAACAGCAGCTGCAGCAGCAGCAGCAACAGAGCGGGATGAAGACGTGAACAGCATCGGGCATCTCTCTCTCTCTCGCTCCCGACAACAGCGGCGCTTCAGTGTGGTGGGGACCGCGGCTCTCATCACCAAATCCCGGGATACGTTATTATCATCAACAACAACGAAGACGTTGTTGTTGTCCTTCCTGGTCGCCATCATCATCATCAGCATCGTCGTCGTCGTCATCATCGCGCTGTGTTGAGCAAACGGAGGCAGGTGGCGGTGCCTGGAGACGAGGTGAATACGGGACGAGGACGAGGAGGAGATTTGAAAGGTGACCACAAGAAAGAGTTGGGGGGGGGGGGGAGACGTTGACTGAGAAGGTGACCGGAGGCAAGAATGACGAGGGGAATTGATATGTGGTGACGAAGAGAAAGAGTTGGGGGGGGGGGGAGACGTTGACTGAGGAGGTGACCGGAGGCAAGAATGACGGGGGGAATTGATATGTGGTGACGAAGAGAAAGAGTTGGGGGGGGGGGAGACGTTGACTGAGGAGGTGACCGGAGGCACGGATGACGAGGGGAATTGAAAGGTGGTGACGAGGAGAAGAAGTTTGGGGGAGACGTTGACTGATGAGGTGACCGGAGGCAAGGATGACGAGGTGTAATTGAAAGGTGGTGACGAGGAGAAAGAGTTGGGGGGGGGGGGAGACGTTGACTGAGGAGGTGACCACAGACAGGATGACGAGGTGTAATTGAAAGGTGGTGACGAGAAGTTGGGGGGAGACGTTGGCTGACGAGGTGACCACAGACAGAATGACGAGGGGAATTGAAAGGTGGTGACGAGGAGAAAGAGTTGGGGGGGGGGGGGGGAGACGTTGACTGATGAGGTGACCGGAGGCAAGAATGACGAGGTGTAATTGAAAGGTGGTGGCCAGGGAGGAGGTGACCACGGGTGAGGAGTATGAAGAAGATATATTGCCAGGAAGAGGAGGAGGTAGAGGAGGTGATGGACGAGCAGGGGGATATTCGGCGATTTGGGGTTGGAGGGAGGTGATGTGGAAGACGCGAGCAGGGAGGAGAATGACGAGGTGACGATTAGGAAGGAGCTGAGAGGGGCGATGAGAGTGAGGAGGCACGAGATTGAGAGCAGAGAGGACCAAGTGATGACCAAGGGGAGTAGGTGAACGTGACGCGATGTAAGCCACGAGAGCAAGGGAGGATGCTAAATCCCACCAGCTGAGTAGCTGTCGGAGTGAGAGAGTTGTGTGTGTGGGGGGGGGGGGAGGTGTGAAGGACGAGTTGAGTTGAGTTCTTCAAGTTCCTTTTGTTACCAAGGATGACAGCTCGCGAGACCAGAGTTGAGCCTCGTCTGCAATAGTGACGTGTTGCTCGGCTCGGCTGATGTTGGTTGTGGTGCTCAGGGTGGTTGGCAGCGGCGGCGGTGGTGGTGGTGGAGGCCCTTGCCAGTGCCATGGGCTGCTCGCTGAGCGCCGAGGAGCGCGCCGCGGCCCAGCGCTCGCGTCTCATCGACCGCGGACTCAAGGACGCGCGGCACCGCTCGGCACGGGAGGTCAAGCTGCTGCTCCTGGGTGAGAGTGCGCCACGGCGGAGTCGCGGTCCTATTGTGGCCACCAAGCACGGACAGACAGATAGGGCTGTCTCAACCACAACCACGGCCAGAACGACAAGCCACAAGCACGGACAGTCACGTGCACAGGCGAAGCTACAGCCACAAGCACAGGCAGAAATACAGCCACAAAGACAGGCAGAACTCTAGCCACAAGCACAGGCAGAACTACAGAAACAACACAAAGCTACAGCCACAATCGCAGACAGAAATATAGCCACAAGCACAGGCAGAAATACAGCCACGAAGACAGACAGAACTGTAGCCACAAGCACAGGCAAAACTACAGCCACAAACACAAACAGAACTACAGCCACAAACACAAACAGAGCTACAGCCACAAACACAGACAGAGCTACAGTCAAAAGCACAGACATAAATACAGCCACAAGCACAGACAGAAATACAGACACAAGCACAGACAGCACAAACGGTCACATGCACGGACAGAACTATAAGCACAGACAGCTACAGCCACAAACACAGTCACATGCACATCAAGATCTAGAACCACAAACTCAAACATAAATACAATGCACAATCTCAAATACAACCATAGCAACAGCCACAACCCAGAACTTCGACCGTAACTACATCCAAAAGCACAACAACCACCACTACCACCACAGCTATAACCACAGCAGAGAGCCTCCACAACAACCCCAGCCACAACCACAATCCACACCCTCAACTACAACCACAGAACAGTCACAGCCACAACTACAACCACAGTAAAAAAAAATCACAACCTTAACTACAACCTAGAGCCACCACCGCAGCTACAGACCATAGCCTCAACCACAACTACAGAGCTCAGCCTGAACCATAACCACAGGACACCCTCAACCACAACCACACGAGACGGCCTCACGCACAGCCACAGAACATAGCCTGAACCATAACCACAACCACAGCCACAGAACACAGTCTCAACCACAGCCACACGACACAGAACTACCGTCACAACCACAATCGTGTATTGTGGGGTTTCTCTTTACACTCACCATACATTATCCTCCATGCATTTGTTTTGCTCTGATTCCTATTCACATCATTGTTGTACCCTAGATTTATTATGTGTTTCTTTTGTGGTTTTTGGTGACCCATGTTACTCTCGCAAATGCCACTCAACTTGGCCTCTTGAGTTATCCCCTGGCTCAAACAAAATTAACCTGAAACTGGAACCCAAACCACAGCCATGCATTAACGTCCGAACAAGCGTGCATTGATCTTGCAACCCAACGACACAACTGCACGTTAACAGCGGCCAATTGTTAAACCCAAGCACTTCATTTTATTTTCACGATTGGGCCTTTAACCGCACGCATTTGCTGCTTTAACGTGTTGTGCTTAAGGGTCAAAGTCCCAGGGAGCTCCAAAGTGTGCATGTGTTACTGTCACAGTGTTTGGCTGTGATTTTTCTACAGAGGGTGCCAATTAGCAAGCTGCATTGAAATGAACAAAACGCAGGTTCACGAGCCAATTATTTCCATGCCACCGTCAAACAAACTCTTGTGTCGCAGGATCCCTGCTGTGTGCCAGGTGTTGCCAAAACTCAGCGCCGCTGTGAGTCGGGGATTTGTTTTTAAACCAAAATCTATGGACCCAACATTTTTCAAATGGCCGAGAGCTACGAAATGCCAAGCGGGTCACGGGGGGGCTGGGGGCTGTAACGTGGGAGGGGGGGGAACACGGACGGTACAATATCTGCAAAAGCAGCAACAGCCCGGGGAGACACTCGCTTCTGTTGGCGGAGCCACAGATTTCTAATTCAAATCTGCACCGCCGACCGGCCCTGGAGACGACTCGACTCTCCGCATCTCGGGGCCTGTTAAGCAAAGGTCATGATGCCCTTTGGCATAATGTTTCGTACGAGTAGCCGCTCACGCTCCAGAGTTGGGGCGCAGCGCGCGAGGTGAGGGCGCGTGGTGCGCGCCAGGGCTGGTCCACACGAGCTCTGCACGGGCATGAGACCTTGGGGAATTTAATTGATTCAATTACTCTTTTTTGTACTCGGGCCAGGTGGCTTTGTTGACAAGGCAGTGAATCGGTTCTTTGTGTGCGTGAAGGATACCGTCAGTTCGGATCACAGGGGTTCATTGATAGGTCAATGACAATTTGTTCTCAACAAAAAGCGATGTATGCATCAATTTAGCTTTGCCGAACAGCATGCTCGTTTTCTGTTATCTGTGCTGCATGCAAATGTTATGGTAATCGCCTGTTAATGTAATGTTAACGCGTCAACCGACAAGGCACAGGGAGAACAGCATTGCGAATGAAAACAGAATGAGACGGGCGTATGAATGAAAGTTTAAACAGTACAGAATACAGACCAGACAGGACTGACGAGGAGACAGGACAAAACTATGAAGCTAAACGATTTTTCTATTTTGCCAGGTAAGGCCCACTGAGCTATATAGCTCTTGTTCAAAAACAACCTGGCCACAAATGATAGCGGAATTAAGTGGCTTATGATGTGGACATTTTTATAGCAGCCAAATACTCTAAACACATGTTTCTAAATGTGGTGGGGAACAACCAGAAGACCTGGAGAAAAATCCACGTGACCATGGGGAGAGAGAACATACAGACTCCAAATATACAGGTGTCAGGGTTAGGATCGAACCCACTACTTCCTGTATACCAGCCGAGGTAGTTAACATCTCGCCACCGCGGCGTCCCCAAGAATGTGTTAGGAATGTGACGGTGCATAGGAGACAGCACAGGAGACGGCAATAAAAGAGAGACAAAAATACAGCATGGAGAATGAAATTGGACAAAAAAAATACATTTTAAATTAAAGGTGGAGCCCTGCCATGACTTGCTGGCGCAGTTGCTGACAGAAGCGGAGGGTGTTTTAGCATTCCTGTTGCACACTGACTCGATGTCTCGGAATAGGTAGGAGCATACTCTTAGGTTTTTTCTGTAAAGTCACGTAGGTCAAAAAGTAAAAAAATAAAAGTAATAATATCAAGTAATACAGTAAATCTAGCTGTGACGGTCCCACCTGATGACGGAAACTTGTGTTGCCTCCGAAACGTCGTGATTTATTATTTTATTTTATTTCTATTATTACTTTTATTAAATTTTTATTTACCTAAGAGTATGAATCCTTGCAGTCACGAAAGCTTCAAATCTTGAATTAGGTAGGAGCACCCACAATTTTACCACACGCATGGCCTGCTCATTGACGTAACTGAGCGGCAACCAATTCATGCCGCCGGGTGGACTGAGGCGGTGAGACGGGTTTAAGAAACTTGCACCGTTGTTTTAACTGCCGCGACGGGAGGTCCTGGAAAGAACATTCTGATTTGATAAAATGAACGCACCCCCATTGGTTATTGTTGGGGGAGGGCGGAAAAACACTTGTACGCAGGAATAAAATCTGCACTATTTAGGGACGTGATACATCAAATCGCCCTGTGCCCAAATCACCCTCAATAATGCACATTATCTCGTCATTGCCTGGCGAGAGTCGGTTGGGCAACTGCCGTGCACAAACAGCCTGTCACGGGGTTGTGAAAATGTATGGTGGGCAGTAGCAGAGAGCAGTGCAACAAAATGGGCTCTTGTACTCTGCTCCTACGATTCTGCGACTGTGCTCCGCGCCTTCATCAACCGCGCGTTCACCGGCGCGTTGAAGTTAGGCTCAAGTGACCTTCGTGACCCGCAGCAGGTTTTTCCGGCGAGGCCCTCACCCGGCAGTGGATTGAGTAAAGGAGCCCCCCCCCAAGGTGCTTGATTGGGGGTGGCTACTCGCAGCATTGGGCCCCTGCGCTGGAGTCGCAGGATCACCCCAGTGGCCAGCGAGAGTTCTACTTTAACTTGTGTGGCCCACCAAGGTCGGACGATAAATATTGTGATGATAATTCAAACGACATCCTGAGTAGGAATGGATCGGGTGCGTGATTTAGAAACCGCGTGGAAGAGATTTGTGTGGGTGGAGGTGAAAGCTGGGCTTGATGGAGGAAAAAATAAGAGTTGTTTAATTATGCAGTGTTAGGCGTGGTGGAATTTAATGGAATTTGATATACGGGGGCGTGTGAGGACGTTGAGGTTGAAACGTAGGTATATTGAGGTTAAAGTGAACAATGCCAAATCAAATAAACTTGACGTATGATGACAAGAATACAGTGCCGCCGCAAATCACAACAACAACAACATTGAGATCAAGCATTGCACAGTACACCGTAGCGTTGTGGATCAGTTGGTGGAGATGCGTGGTTCTTTATTGTAAGAGATATGAGTTTAAATCTTGGCCATAGCCGATTCATCACCTATCTTTTCATCTTCATCATCATTGTCAACCATAAACAATGATGTATGTCTTGACTTAAAGATTTCGTGACTGCAGGAATTCATATTCTTTGGGTATTTCGGTAAATTCACATACATAGGTTCAAAGAAAATAACAAAAAACTACGACCGCTTGTGTTGCGATCGAAACGTCGTACTTTATTGTTATTTTCTTTGAACCTATCTACGTGACTTTACCGAAATACCCAAAGAATAGAAAAATTATTTATGTATGTTGAACTTATTTCGCACCGTAGGTAGGTAGCCATCCGTGCTAATCTGATGTACGGGGGAAGAACAACAAACTAAATACAAAAAAGCAGTTCTCAAGAAATTAGTTTTAAATCTAGATTTAAAAGTGCATAACTCCAGTGGCATCCTAATATCAGAAGGAGGAGCGTTCCAGACGGCCGCAGAAGCACATCTGTAAGCGTGCGATTCGGTGACCGTCTTTGTTCGATGTCTTGCCAATTCCGCTATGAGGGTGGCCGGAGTTCACGTGATGATTTACGCTCCTTGACCAGATCAGCAAGGTATTGTGATTCAATTGTGGCAAGCACTTTGTGTGTAATGAGCTCCTCAACGAGATCGATACAGATGGATGAAGGCCTCCAAAAGCCATCTCCATCTCTCGCGACCATTTATTAATGTAACATTAGCAAGCAA